AACTTGGAAATACTCCGCTCGTGATTATTTTACCGTGAAACCGTTTGGTGTTGACAAATCATCCATGCTTTACACTTCCATTAACTAAACTAAAGGGGATACAGATACACCTATAACATATAAATAAAACCAACACACACGTATACACGTAGATATATACACGTGTATATCCTGTGTATCAAAAGGATTTTGCTCTTGTATTATACAATGTATAGGTATTCGTGATGTCTATACAGTTACTATAAATACTTCGAAGATTATATTGGATAGATTAATCTCAGTTCAAAGTGGAGAATTAGAAGCAATTTACCTACAAGTACCAGTTCGGAAGAAAGAGCAAGGGATTTAAATTGTATGTTTTGTCGATTTTAGCTATTGCGGTCGATCTGTAGAAGTAATGGTAAATTAAAAAAGAAAAAGGGTGAAGAAATTTCTTTATGCTTTTCAACATTTTAACAGAGAAAATCCAGCAAATAAAATAAAACACGTAGAAATAAGCGCGGCGGATAGCCGAGTATAAAGAGATATGTTTGTGTGTGTGCGTTATGTATGCGGTAGCGTTAGTTTCGCGAATCGTAAATAGAGTACGACATATCGGGCCTCGGTGGTTTTCCTGTCTTCCGGCGAGCCGAGAATGGGGCCGGGAAATGCGCTAACAAATGGCTTTGTGACATCAAATTTACACCCTCGGCTACAAAAATAATATATGTCCGCTCGAATCATTGAACACGAACTGGCGCGTCGGGCGACGACAGCCCGCAGGAGACCCGGAGAGCGCGAAAATAGCGAAACTCCCATACGAAAAACATCTCCGCCGCACTTTCCCCGGGAAATGTCTTTTTCGAATGAGAATTATTTAAGTTTTATTTTTATTATTATTGATCTTATTTATCTATTTGTTGCTTGTCAAAGCGCAACACGAATGCGGATTGGTAATAAAACTCCACTCGTAAAAATGCTTCCCACGGAGATAGAAAATTATTTTGTATACATTTAAAATAGTTTAAAAAAATTTCAAATTCAATAACACAAACAAGATACATCCCTTTACTGTACCTAAAGGTTTCTGCAAAATGCAGTATAAAACAAAAATAATATCGCGCGAATCGACAATTCACACTCTGTTGTAAAACATGAGTTAATTAATTTAATTGCCGTTTCTCTTTTAGCAAAAATATAGCGGAAACAAAGAAAATTGATTCGGAAAGGGTCTACTACAGCATGTCCTGCATTACGTGTAGATCATAAGAATGCCTATTGATCAGCTCAATGAATACGCATTACGATCAGAAAGGTGGAATAATTTAACGATGTACAATGTATACCGGAGGGTCCTTTAGCAACAGGACCACACAGTTGCACATCTTTACTATGCCTGTACCTATACTGCAACACTTTATAAAACGTTTATTTTGAATCGCATTGTATAGAACTCTACAGGTATTTTGGCATTTTATTTAATTAGGTTGGGTATACTGTAGTATTCAAATAATTATATTATCTAAATAAAAAAAATCTTAAATTAAAAATCGTAAATTTTCATCTTTAATGATGAATTTAATAATGATTTAATCTTTCATCTTCTATATGATATTATTTTTTGTTAGGAACTAAAGATAAGTGCGATCGATTTTATGTAGAAAAATCTAATCTGAATTTTTAATATTTCATAAAAAAATGATCCTGTCAGTAAACTGAAACGGTTTCTTTTATATTTCGTGATATCGATCTTTACGTTTAATTTAACGCCGTACGGGACAAACTCGAAGCGACTGGATGTATTTTTTATTTATTTTTATCGACTTCTTGGTGGTCGTTAAGTATCAAATTGCCTAGGCTGATTAAATTAACAGGTGGTTTTTATAAAGTATCTGGTTAAATGTCAAGACTTGTTTAGCTACCGGGGATGGTGGATTTGTTATATCAGCGTTTTAAGATACCTTTGCGTACGAGAATTACACCTATATAATTACTAAAGTAAAATAAATAATTTATACCATGCTGCAGCACAAGATAATCCGCTTGTATCAACATGAATGCATAAGGATTGTCGTATTCAATTACAATTCTCTTATGCGCATATTAAAATAATAAAGCAATTAATATGCTATCATAACAGGCGTGGTTTTGAGAAGTCCGCCCGTTTTTATATTAGGTAGAAATAATGCGTATGTGCGCCACTCCCTATTTCACTTACAAACATGTTTATGAATGACCGTGATCATTCTACCCATTTTTCGAATATCATTAACTTTCCACATTTATAATCTAAACCCCAACCGCAGCATTGTAAAATTTAATATAACTTTTGTTATGTATATAAATTAGGTCGAAGTCAAATTTATTATACCATTCGAATAAAGATATTCTAAAATATAATTTGTTAATTTACCCACTACTTTTATAGTAATTTTTTTGGTCTACGTAGCACTAACTATAAGTGTATACCTACAGTTTTGATTAATCCTTTATGATAGTTGTTACAGTCAACAATTTATAGTAATAATTATAAAATACCTCTATGTATAATATACCTATGTAGGTACATCCCTAAGATAAGCGTTATCGCCGGCACGTATACAGCATATATGCGCTTGAATGTACCATCCATCATGCGGTAATCTTGTGACGGCAGTCGCTGCTGCCGCCGCCGCCGCCACCACGCGATATTTCCCGTTAACCCGCCCATTCTGCTGAACTAGCCTGATAATGTACTCGGATGATTTATAAGAATTTCGACCACCTAAAATGAATTAAATTTATATTTTATAAGGAAGAATGTGTAACATTATCCTGTGGATGCATTCTACCTCTACTTTATTAAATTATGTTGTTGTTTGTTCACTAAATTTTGGTATCTACTAATTTAAATGGATGAATCCATATAGGTGTAGATTGTGGGTGAACAAAAATACGAGGGGAAGTAAAAATGATCTTAAAAATAGGTATATTAGTTGTTCAATGTTATACTATAAAATAATTTTTCTAAACTTTTATACATAGGTATACCAGAGCGCAATTATGACATGGAATCGTCATTAGTGAGTAACTGAAAATACCGTTATAATTTATTCTATTCGATTTGAAACTGTCGCATGGTACCTATACAAGTCAATATAGAGGAACCCAAGATAAAGAATTATTAAACGTGCCTCCCATAGTTCATTACTCTTTTGTTGCCTTTTCGCATTCAGTTTGTGAAGTCGACTAAAATGCACTTAACGTTTTTATATTCCATGGCAAACAAAAAATAGTGCTAATAGCATGTCTACTATACAAACTTTAAGTGTATAGTTATATACACATAAAATAAGTGTATTAGACACGTGAGTGAAATAATTATAATACAGCTCACAAAATAACTTTAATTAGGGCGAAGTATAATCAGATGTGCGCATCAGGGAATAAAGGAGATAATGGGAAGGAATTCTTATTAAAGAAAGGATTTATAAGGTTGTGGATCTTTGAGCGTTTAGTTGACTGCAATGTAGAAGTATTATAATAGAGAGTATAGGTATTTATAGATTTAAGGATTTTCTTATGTTCCTTTTCAACATAGGTAGATTGTTCAAGGCCTCCAGCATAAATTTTTGATTGCAATAGGTTATACCTAAGGCTATGCTATATGGGTGCAATAAAGATAAATTCGGCATTAGACTGCACTTATAAGTAAAAAGAAAGAGTGATAATGTGGTCGAATCATAGCAACTTTTCACTCAACAACTGTCATTTTAGTAATCTTTCGTTGTTTAACCCATGGAGATGACCAGCATTGCGTGCGCGCGGTCTGAAGTGAAGCAAGGTATATGATTTGTATCATTATTTAGACAAACTAAATAACAGCTATAATGAGGGTATAGTTTTGAACGTTTTTATGCATGTTATACTCTTACTCATCATCACAATTCTCCTTGTTATAGGGAGATATAACAAGGTATAGCCAACTCATGTATTGAGCATTGGTTGGAACCAAAAAACTTAATATCAATAAACCAAAGACCAAAAGACCCTATATTTATATGTCTTAGTAGGTGTTTGTGCAGCTTTGGAAGGTCCTTATAGCATCTTTGTAGAAACCAAAGAACCAATAATTATAGGTATGGATACTACTTTAGTTATGCTTCATAAATCATAATTTAGCATCCTTAAAAGTTTAACCATCAGATTGGTTATAGTTAACCCCAGCTCGATCCAAATTGTAGCATCGAAATTTCAACAAAACTTCTAACATAACTGTTCATTAAAATTCATACATTTATCAACAAGTTATAGTAAAATTCAGCTCAGTTGAATACAGCTGTAAAAATGCGCACAGACGAAACTAAAGAGATAGGCGTGGTTTTACCCCAAAAGTATGACCGGCGAACCATCCACAGTATACCCGATAACAGCGAAGGTCGAGTCGGGGTTTATTTGTAATTCATTATTTGTTATTTGCATCGAAAACATCGGCTGAGCCCAGCCTCTTTTATGATGTTGTGCGCGGAAAAACACGTGGTGTATTCAACTTAGCTGAATTTAACTTTATTTACTTTACTTTTTCCACTATACAACGCGACATAAACACGATTTCCCTAAAAGAAAAAACCGACAAAAAGGAAACCGGCATCAGAGGTATAGAGTAGAGAGATTCGAAGATCGCAACATCGGTATGGTATAGCATAGCATATAGCATAGCATCGCAGCACCGCCTGCCTTCAACCCGAACCGTCCGATAACATCGGTCCAGCATTCTCTTCAGCACCCTCTAGCTAACGAGATACAACCAGTAAACGAGCGAGCGGAGTGGCGCCCTCTTAGCGGCGATAAAACCTTCCGCTCCAATGATCAACTAATTCTGAAAAATCGATCCGACGGGTACGCCTTCGGCGCCTTCCGATTGGAGAGCGTCGTCGACGTCCCGACGTGATTGGCGGGCGAACGCGAGTGCCGACAATCGTAAACACCTAGAAAGGTGTACGGAACGGCGCTCATATGGTCGCATGATAGATTTTCCGAGTTGTTGTCCTGCATGATTCAGTTTAACTCGCGGAGCGTCGAAAGTGACATTAAATTGCTCATATATATACATAGTTGACCTTTTCTTTTCGCGTTGTTGGTATAGTCGAGAGCGTCTCTCGATTAGTAATGCTTCATTAAATTCCGATACTTACGTTACCATATTTAGTCGAGTATTAAAAAATTGCTTAATTGTGTAAATGATTTGTTTTCGTTCGAAACAAATACGATTTGTTTTTTTTATTTAGTTCTTTTTTTCTCTAGTCAATTGGGACTCTTTCGGTTTGGTTATTTTTCGTATCGAATGACTTTTGAGCTGTGAAATATTTATGTGCAATTGTTCTTACTAAAAATGCTTAAAGGTGAGTGCAGATTTTCTTATATAAACCATGTAATTATTATCAATTATACTGGTATTAAATAATTGCTTTTATGCAATAGATATATTACTCATTTATACATGTCAGAGAAACATGCACACCTTATAATTGTGTGTAAACAATAATCAAAAGTAATTTGAAACTCTTATTAACCTACAGAAACACTATAGGATATATCTACCACTAATAATAAATCAAACTATATTAATTATACCTATTATAACAGTTGTAATACCTATATGAAATTTATAAATGTTATCTTATTATGTAAATATAGAAATTCAATTTTAACTGAATAATATACCCAACTATTGCTAGGTATACGGTAGATATTTATCTATTATTATATTCGGTATATTATGTAGGTAGGTATGTTAAAAATCTAAAAAGCAAAAGAAAATTATTTACCTTTTCAATCGGTCGGCAAGAGTTAAGGAGCTTATGCAGAAACGAGCGGCATCTTTACTGTATATCTTCAAAAATATCCGAAACTATTATTAGGTATCGGTAGCTATATCAAGAAAAAAATACACGTGTAAGTTCGCTTGAATAATGCTTTGGAATCCTTTTAGAGCAGGTATAAACCAGTAATACCACCAATTTTTAAGTTTAACATTATAGTTTGTGCTAATATAGTTATTTTTCTTTGCATGGAACGGATAATAAATATCTATACACAGCATGTTTCATTGAAAAAGAAAATAATGTAATAAGTAGATATAAAATAAAAGTTTAATGCCAACAGCAAATGTTTATGCATAATCCAGCACTTAGTTTAAAGAAAAGTTCGGTGTAACAATAGTAACTCTTTTTTGAGAATTACCATCAGGTAGGTTTAGGTATAGATATTTATTAAAAAGGTACTTACTATTTTTAATAATTGTTCTACTAATTATTAAATATTGGATTCAATTTTAACACCGTTTTATATTGATTATTCTAAGTATGTTTTTCATTATCTACAAACACAAATCTATAGTTATGAGGCACAATTTATATGGGAATAAACAGAGAAAAGGCAATAAAATCTTTGCAATTTTTTATCGCATCTCTAAAAACAAAATAGATATCTAAAATAAACCTCTTTATTAGACCCCTAAAATAGACATCTTTATTAACTGTACACTGTACATTGATCACAAATAAAACCATCATAATCACACCATCCAGATATATAACTACTTATTAAATTCCCCTCGTATATATCGAAGATCTAATAACAGGCCTGTGCGAGCGGAGACCATTGACATATCCTTCCTCGGACTTAATTTCATTAACTTTATCAATAACGGATTCGAAACGGAATGGCTACGCAACTAAGAGGTATTTAAACATTAAACACCACCCCCGAAATTCCGAGCGAAGCGAGAGTCGTGAAAGCGACGTACAACACACACACACACACATAGTATAGTACATAAAGGGTAGGCCGAGGGTGAAATTCGATTGGTTTGTAGATGGCATGTAACTCGATTTCTCCGCGGATCAAGTTTAATTGTATTTATCCCGAGAATTTCCGTTTTAGGTCGGAGAGTTTTGCTTTTGATTCGAATACGCGCTCATATTTTAAACTCCCCGCGATGCTGCGGTTGTGCACCAGAACGTACAGCGTGGACCAAAAATACCTCTATAATGAAAATTCAATACTGGATCTTTGCATCGGGATCTTTTAATTTGATAATTTTTATAGATATTCCAATATTTTCAAGTGGTGTGATAAAAACATAAAATTTATAGGGGAAAAAGAAGCACTTTCTAGCTCTATTTCTAGTACTAAAAAGACATGTTGTAATTTTTTCAATACTAAAACGAAAATTCCTCTTTTTCAGATTAAACATAACGCTTCGTTTAGTTAATCATCATTCTTCCTGCACAGCAATTGGGAGCCGCGGTGGCACCATGGCCATCCGGGATCACCTCCGTCGACGACATGGCTCATAAAGGTATGTTTTTCATTCCTTTACCACACCCAAACCTGTATGAAAAACCTTAATACCTCAAAATAAAAGCACATGCAAATGCAATAGAATATAATCAGTAATAACTGATGCGTTATAAAACCTTGCATAAGAAATAACTTCTTAATTACCAAGTTTTTGAGAATACATTGTATTGTAGTATTATAGTATGTACATATGTACATTTAAACATAATTTAAAGTTACAGACTTTTTCGTAAAAAATATTTAAAAAAATTGTCGTGTGGTGCTAATACAGTGGATAAAAAAATTCAGCACATCCCCATTTTTTACCGACGAATCCATTCCGAACGTCTGCGGGCCGATCTATAAATATTCTTAAGAAAAGGAAGAGACACTCGAGTTGATTTGTAGAGAAAAGGAAATGCGAGCGGGAAAAATCTCCCTCGTCCTTCGGCCGTTCTGGACTTCGGACGCACAATCACGTCATTACAAAGGGATTCTCGACAATGAAATTCTTTCAGAATTCTGCCACATTTAGGTTGTAATATTCGAACATCACCATCACTTCTCGCGCCCGACACTCTGCGTGCAAGTACAATGAAAAGGATGAAGTGAAGAATAAAAAGGGAATTTCTTTGGCTACATTAAATGCATTTTAAGCTATAATTTCATATCGGGGTAAAGTTGTTAAGAATTGTACGTTTTCTTCGAGGGTGGAATATCTACACAAACAGCTTCGCGGGAATGTAAGTTATAGCGATTCATAAATATCTTCCTTTTTAAATAGGCGAGCTATGTAAATGACACAACACCCCGTCCGCCTGCCACCCCGTACGTGGGCATTGTTTGCGCCGTTTATAGACCGAGATCCGGGAGCACCCCTTCCCACACACACGCGCGAGCAAACTCTTCCTTTTTTCCTCCTGGAATATCTAAAAGCACAGCGACGATGACGACGACAACGTCGTTTCGTTCCCCGTCGAAAATAAAAATCGCGAAATCTTCACCTTTCACCAGCAGCTTTCATTTATCACTTAACTGAATGAAGACTGTCGAACAAAAGAATCGCTTTCGCCCGGTTCGAAAAGAAAAGACTAATTCTATTGATTTATGCACGAAACTTATTTATACCTACACACCCCGCGAGTGATTTATAATTTATCAACTTTTATTATAAAATTCTCCATTTTTATATACCCTCGTTTTTCTATACTAGTGTTTCTTTTACGAGTGTAATCGACTTATGTAAATTCGAGACGAAAGAACTTTGATCGCAAATAAATCCGTCAGATATAGGCTCCTTCCAATCGGCGCGGTGTTTCCGGAAAATTCCTTTAACACGTCAATCACTCGGTCGGTTGACGAAAGTTTTGTCAACTTTCAGGGGGAGAATAGAAACGGCGTGTGGTGAATTTTAATGCAGAGTTATTTTATCTCGTTCGATTCGGACGGATTTCGAAGTGAAATAAAATAAAATACCGTAGGAAAAAGGATCACTCTATGTGTAGATCTACCTGCTAAAGCTCAAAACGTGGTGAATTTAATTACAATATTTTTCTGCTTTTTTTCAGGTATATGTGAAGGTGTGGAAGCACGGTGGAAACAAACGAGGACCCGTTTGATGTAGTGCCGGTTGACATTCACAACTATAATTATCACAAGTTCTAATTTGTTCCCTTACTTTGCATTTCTCAAGTTCTTAAACACTCGGAAATCTTCCAGATATTCCAAACTTGTAACTCTATTTTCAGCATAAGTTTCACTATCAGTTTCAATGCCAGAGCCATCAGTATTATCTCCATATCAAGGTTCATTACACCTACTCGATCTATAGTTCAGTTAAATTGGCGTATCTTATTTTCTTCTTCTAAAATCTCTCCTATCCTATATGTAGATATTTCAATAGATATACCTTTTGTTGTGTAGAATGTTAACCGAAATCGACAGGCATTAAACGTGTCCTCGTTCCGAGCGAGGTAGTTCTGGTGACGAGACTTATCTCGTAGCTTGTTAATACACAACTTATGTTATGTGCACAGTTATACTGCTCTCCTTGAAATATAAAATATAAATTACTATTACATATTTTTTGAGTACATTTCTTGATTTTTGAACAAATTTTTTACCTAATATTAAAGCAATCATCAATTTATTGGGTACTATTGAGGTGCAAATTCTTAAAATTGAGTAGATTCAACTCGACGGTTAAATCATTCATAAATGATGTATGATTTTAGGTGGTTATTTGTGAATTGTGATAGGTTTAGGTTGTAATCTGTGGGTTATCGACCAAATTGGTCATTTGCTCTATAACCTACAGGTTGTAGCAGCAGCCTAAAATAATATGTCATTGATTATAAGGAGAACATTAAATCAATACTAAAGTAACAATAGTCCAAGAAAAGAAATTTTTTTTCATTCATTTCACTTTCTTACTCTTCATTGAATACTATATGCATTAGTATGAAATGGTTCGAAAAAAGTTGTTTAACGAAATGAGGAAAAATATTTTTCTAATAGTATGACTGTGGACAGGGCATAGCGGTGTGAACCAGCTAGGGGGGGTGTTCGTCAGCGGGCGTCCCTTGCCCGATTCCACGAGGCAGAAGATCGTGGAACTGGCGCATTCCGGCGCAAGGCCTTGTGATATATCCAGAATTCTACAAGTATCGAATGGGTGCGTCTCCAAAATACTCGGCAGGTAATTCACAATCGGATTTTTCCACGCCAAATCGACAAGATTTAAGATGTAATGGTGATGCGTTTTGTGCAGGTATTACGAAACAGGATCTATTCGTCCACGTGCAATCGGCGGTTCAAAACCTAGAGTAGCGACTCAAGAAGTAGTTTCTAAGATATCTTCCTACAAACGCGAGTGCCCTTCAATATTTGCCTGGGAAATTAGAGATAGGTTATTGCAAGAAGGAGTCTGCACTAACGATAACATTCCAAGCGTAAGTTAAATTTATTTATTGTATCTACTCACTAAAAAACTGAATCATTCGAATGTGTGTGGGGATATACTGAAAATAGTCAATTTATTCGGTGGAGTCTATTCAAAATCATCAAGTAAGCAATTGAAGAGAATCTTGATAGAAACGCGCACTTATATTATTAATATAATTTGAAGAGATTTAACGGCGGAATTTCGACCCCTTGTCGAAAACCGTTTCGGCCCTTAATCGGGATGAATTTTATCGTTTTCCATCGGAGCGATTTTATTCCCGTTCCACCCCGAAAAGGACTTGATAAGGGCGCTTTTTAAAACGTGTAATAATCGGCGTGTAGCACGTGCCCGCCACATGCCCAACTCATTCGGCCATACATTTAGTACTGATCTCTTCTTCCGAGCCGGCGAAATTCGTTATATTAAAAATTCCAAATTGTTATTGTGCGATTTAATCGCTTCGAACGGATTTTATCTTCTTCATCCCTTAAAGGATATTTCATACGCTGGCTGCACTAATTTATCCTATATAACTGACGCTTCTTATTAAATTCGTGCGTACTATACGAAATAATTTGAACTACTGGTGCGCATCATAATCTTTACATCTACCAGCTATTTTCTACGCAGTGTAGGTAACTTAGGAAAAAAAGAGTAGGTAATTGTCTGAATTATAACAGGGAGATTTAAGAGAGTGTAGTTAGCAATTGCAGCAAATATAGAAAAAACAAACAATCGATAATTTGCATCGATAGGTTTGGGTCAAGGTTATTTAGATAAGAGGAGAGAAACCTACGCACGCGGAAATGCAACGGGGCCTTCCGTTTTCGTTTCGGGGCGAAACGAGCGTTAAATCTATGCACCCTCTTCTCAGATTCGACTGCGCTCTGTTTACGGTTTGCTGCGTACGACCCTCACTTTCGGATTACACAGCATAATTCTCTCTTTTCTCTACGTATAATCTGATTTCTTTTTTCGCGTTTGACAAACTATAGTGACATCTGAAGATAGGCGAAAGAGGAGAAGAGGGATCGATTCCGGCGCTTCGGGCTATAGTTTTTTTATTAATACAAACAGAACCTAATACTGATATCTAAAGTTTATCGTTTGCATAGTTAGGTAGATACAATTTTTAAGTTTGAAGATATAGCTGTAGATGCAAGATGTGTGACTTAATACTTAGAAAGATTGGAAAGAGAAGAAAATCAACACATCAACATCAGAGACCACCTTGTCCTGGGAAAAACAACAATAAAAGTATTTACGAAATAATGCTGGTGAAAGAAAAAGCTCACTTGTACGAGGGTTTGCGCGACGTCGGGGCCGGCATTATTCCGCCGTAGAGAAAGAAGAAGGAGAAAAAAAAGTTCGAAACGAGTATCACGGGGAGACGACAGTCAATGAATCGGCTTCCCGTCGATCGGGCTTTGTTGTCTACATGACCTTTTCGCATTGACGGCTAAGAATTGACAGCGCGACTAATAATAGAAAATGCGGACGGTGTACTCGCAAATCGAGGGCGCATGATTGTTTAGATTTTAATTTAGGAAATACCGATGTAATCTCGATGAGAACGTTTAGGGTTTAAGGGTTCTTACGCGCCGGTGACGTGTACGGCTAAAGAGCTTTGAATAACGCGCCTTTATTAATATCGGTATTTTTTTTCTCAGTCGGCGTTTTAATTAACTTGTACTTTACTTTTGTATCTTCAACAGAAATGTGAATTAACTAATTGTAATTAGAAATACTAGGTTTAACCCATGTAAAAAACCTATTTAATTAGGTACTTATAAAATTAAAAAAAACTAACAAACAAAGGTCTGTAAAATCGTCAAAAATTGCTTAAATTTATCGCTCTTAAAGCCCTTCTTTTTCTATGAAATATTAAGTAGAAATGTTTAAATATTATACATATTTTCATCCGATATTCCATCGAGTTTAATACACTGTTCTGCTTGCTTTATTCTATCCGGGTAGTAAATGCGCGATAATTACAATCCGGTTAGGGGTAAGTGATACTAATGTCTTCTTAAGTTGCCTACAGGGAAAAGCGGGAACGGTTTTAAAGTGCACCGGGGATTCACTGGAAATTATCTTATTCTATATAAGTGTATTCATTGATTATCATCTCATCTAAAATACCCTAATGTTTTAAAGAATTATAATATTTCTAATAAATAATTTAATCTATAATAAAGTTTTTAGTTAAATTCAACAAAGTACCTAAGTAAAATTTTTGCTTGATGGTGTATAAAAAAATGTTGACAACAAAACCCTAAATAAAACATTGACTCGCTAAAAAATTACTGGCAGGAAAACCGTTTAAATGAATGGGAAAATACGCCGTTTAGCGGAAAAATCCATATCGTTTTTGTTTTGTTATACATAAGTAGGGAGGGGGTCGTTCGAGGGAACGTTGCCATGGAAATTTGCATACATCCTATAAACACTGGAGCTTCTAAGAATTTATACATTCTTTGAAAACCCTCCCGCTTTTGATTCTCCCGGCAGGCGAAGAGGAGGGTAAAATATTTTACGTAATATTAAAAAAAGGCGTGCAGGGATTTGAAGCGCCTCCATCGCTAATGACTCCTCGTAATCCGATAGGTATTTTCGATTTTTCGTAAATTTCTAACAAAAAAAAACGCATTCGATAATTTCCAGGTATCATCAATCAACAGGGTATTGCGTAATCTAGCGGCTCAAAAAGAGCAAACCTGCTCCAACACGCCGGTCTCTAATGGTAACGACAACGTATACGACAAGCTGCGGTTGCTGAACGGCAACCAGACCACTTGGAGATCTCCGACATCTTGGTATTCGCCCGGCAATCCGGCCTTTCAACTGCAGCCTTTAAGTCCTCCCTCGAGCATATTAGCAGACGACAACATATCCAAGAAGGGTGAGCGAACATTTGCACGTCCCCCCCGTATTTATCTTTAGTTTGTTTTAATTTATTTACGAGCGCGGTTGATTAGCCGTTAAAACGATGATTCCAGTTTATCAATTACTAATCTCTAGAGATTTTATCTGCAAAACTTGATCGATTTAAGCACAATTAAAGCTTTAAATTTTCATAAATTCTCATCAATAGACTATTGGCAAAGCAGCTATATCTCATGGTTATTTTTTGGATATAAAATTACTTTAGTGCCTCATATTAGATTTACCATTAAAAATCATTTCTAGATGGTAACTACACTTCTTTAGTTCTGACTTTTAATTACATAACGAACCGTTTATATTTTTAATTTTTTTTATAATCTTATAGTCTCGTTGTTGTATGCAAATAACAGCCTGTATGCACTTACTATACGAGTATCATAAAAACTGCGAATGGTTGAATGAACGGCATAAAAACAGTCGAGAATCCATTGAGGTAATTGACAAACGACAAACGGCACAAGTCAAGGTGTACCATGATAATATAATATAAAAATCCAAATGTCAACCGAACGTATTTCGTTATATTGTGTTTCAAAGTCATTGTCCTTCCTAGCTTGCCGTATACCATCGTTTAGTGCCGCTTTATTAGTGAACAATTCACACTCGACTTAACAACAAAACTAATTTGATAGAGGGAAAATATAATCTATTATTGCACTAAGAGGACCAGGCTGTAATATGCCTTACCCTTCATAATTCATAAAGCATAACCGATACTTTAGGACCGAAATTATACGATACATTTTCGACAAGGGTGTGTTGTGTGTGTTGTGTTGTGTGCGCGCGTTCTTTTCTTTCCGATATCGCCCTAATGCCACTTAAGTTCGCCGGCGAACATTGATATATCAACAGTTTTCCTGCATTTATTGTTATTTCTACCTATATCTTTAGTTACCTGCACGTTACTAAAATAAGTCGTTAGAATGAAAAATAAAAAACACCGTTTTTTTGGTGATTCATGATTATTCGTATCGGTTAGTGTAACTGCATAATAATACGCACCCGGTTAAGTAAATGTTTGTGTTGTTAACACTTATCCGAAGGATATTATTGTATTCTATAGGCTATATCCGGCTCATTTTTCAACAAAAATGTTTACAAAGCTCACCAAACCCGTACATAAATACAGGGTGTCAAAAATACAACATTCTAATACAAACCTAAAAGCCAATTTAATTCGGTAGTATGACAGTAAATTCATAATAAATATTTATAGATATAAAAATATTTAGATAAGATACATAAAAATTATGATGCTGTTATAGGAAGAAACATTTTTTGTTAAGAAATATGTTTATTTCATCTAAGAAGTAATGTATCTATTAATATTTTTGAGTATATTCGCCTTGTATATTCCAAAATATTATAGAATGCATGTAAAGAAATAACAAGCAAACAACCTGGTTCTATTATTAGTACAAATAGGATATAATAATATATTGTATAAGTATGTATGATTCAGGTAAAATTTTCAAAAAGATTACCTTCGGAATTGTATATACCTACGTATTTATAGAAAATAAGTAGTAGGACTGTTGAATATGTCTTATATTCATAAGTTACAGCTGTATATTTCAAATAATAAGTTATGATAGGTATATAAAGGTATACAACATAAGGTAGCAGAGATTTCATAAAATAGCGGATTATAGTAAAATTTTGTTTGGGTAAAAACATTGCGAAAGGGCCCGGAAAAATTTAATTGTTTTTTTACAACAGAAGAATCAAAATTGTTGTTTTCAGCGTGAACGGCCGAACGCACAATCATCCAGAAAACAGAATGTGGCATCCGCACAAAGCATAACTTCGTTCGGTCAGAAACGAATCCAATGAAAATTTTAATTAATGCGTTAATAATTCCATTTAATCCGTTTATGGTCGGCGCGTCAAATTCCAATTGTTGCAAATTAAACGTTAAAAACCGACCCCGGAATTTTCCGGGGAGATTTCAATTCTGCGGCCGGCTTTTCGGCAATGTAAAACGCCCCGAGGACGGGGATTCGGTTTCAGCAATCGGATTTTTAACCGAACGTGTCACTTGCAGTGGATTTGTTAAACAGTAACAAAGCGAAATAAAGCCCCGAAGGCGCTGCCGCTCCGCTACCGACAGAGAGAAAACCGACCTTTTGATGCCGCACCAAAGTTAAATAAACCCCGATGCTCTTGTTAAACTGTTTCTTAGTTAAACAAATTGTGCTCGTGTCGTGGAAGAGTTTTTTTCACCCGCTGTCGATTCCACAACTCCTCTGATACTTTGGTTATATTTTAATTTAACTTAATTGGATTTGTTCTCTAAATGTTAAAAAATATTGCAGCGCGATTTAAAAATTATATATACATTCAAAAAGAATGTGGATTAAAACGTGTATCAAGTTTCTGACGAAAAAAAAAAATTTAATCATTTCATCCCCCCCGACATCCGAGTGTCGAGTTTTTACTTTCGAAGTTAAAACGCGTATAACCGACGGATAATGTATGGTTTCTTTAACGCGTAAACCACCCCGTTTACGATGCCGTCGCGCCCGTAAAGCGATCGCAGTCTTAAAAGCCCGACGAGTGGGGCACCCGACGAGGGCTGCGAACGGGCGACGGGGAGCGCGCGCGGGGCCGCGGCTCGCGGAGGGAAAAGAGAAGAAAACCGTTTTCGAAAACGAGGGGTCCGGGGTGGCGCGCGAAACGGAAGGGGACACGGCGGATGTGCCTTTCTCCTTTCGCTGTGTTTCGGGGTGGGCCGGTCTCTCTTCGGTCGGGAAAGATAAGACATAGAGATCTGGAGCGGCGAAATCAACCAACCAGAAACTGATGATAAGGAGGGTAGGAAAGTGTAAGTCAGAGGCGCGGCTGCTACGCTATCCGTTTCTCTCCCCTAATAATATTATATACGCATACGTAGATTACGTATAAACCCTGGAGGTATATATCCTCTTATACCTTCTAATATTTCTATATTATTTTATATAATATTCCTTAATGGTTTGATGAACAATTAAAAATTTATTCCATGTTGTACTAAACTTTCCAAATTAGTTAAATACATTTTATAATTGAAATATTACTGTACTTGTGGTAATTTCAAAAATTCAAAGTGAAACTATATGTATAGTGTAGGTTTGTGAGGTTTTAGGTTTATTATCGCTCTTAATTAAAATACTCTATAAAATTTATATTGAAAATTCTACTTCTAAAGTTTTGCAGCCAATTAAACGTATAATATAAATACATTAACAACTTTAGTTTTATTAATTGCTGCAGTTAGTATAACTCAATTAAATTAGACCAGAATTTTCCACAATAAGCACCTTAAATTTGATATTTATCGTTATTATTTACACGCCACTATCTCGATATTTTTCTAATCAAAACATACTTCTTTCTGAATTGCAATATCTACACCAACCAGCATTTATAAGCCATCTAATACCAAATCTAACCGTCGGGTAATTCATAATGAATCGCTACGTTTAGGTACTTACCTCACAATTCGCTCACTTCATCCCAATTACGGCTCTTTCAGGAACGGAAATCGACGGAATCCACTCGGACGAAACGAATTCGGGCGACAATTCCAACGCCGGCTCCAGCATAGGTCCGGACGACGATCAAGCCAGGCTGAGATTGAAGAGGAAGCTGCAAAGAAATCGCACGTCCTTCACCAACGATCAAATAGACAGTTTAGAAAAAGGTAATTTCAATGCACCAATAATAATATTTAGTTGATGGAGCTGTTTAGAGATTATGTTTGTTCTCGATGCAATTCTTGTTATAAACGAATCGGAACCAATGAGAATTATATGAAACTGGTGGAAATGTGTGTGGTTTTTTTTGGTTCCGGATTGGTTTGTGGTTTGCATTTGGGAACGATTGGCAACAATATTTCTAATATTTGAGCGTTTTAGAGTTCGAACGTACTCATTATCCGGACGTGTTCGCTAGGGAACGCCTGGCGGCGAAAATCGGCCTGCCGGAGGCCAGGATACAGGTGTGGTTTTCGAATCGCCGGGCGAAATGGCGCCGCGAGGAAAAATTGCGGAACCAAAGACGCGGCACGTCCGTTCCGACGGAGCACCCGGGCCAGACGGCGTCGCCGCCTCGGCTGCAAACCTTCGTTAATACCACCATGTATTCGCCGATCGCTCCTCCCATGTCCCTATCCGATACATACAGGTAAACAATTCGCATTCTATTCGAAACCCTTGTAAATATTTTTTGTGTTTTGCGATGTTAGCACGATGTCGACGATGTCCGGTTTCGCCCACGGGCCTCTGACTCCGGGCATGGGAGCCTCCCCCGGCTCTTGTTTACAACAAAGGGAGAGCCCGACGATGGGCAGTTATTGCATGTCGAGGCCCGGCTACGACATAGGGATCGGTTACGGTGCGAGACCGACGGGTTGCAGCCCCACGCAGCCCTACCAAATGAATGGCCATCATCAGTATACTGTCAATGGAGCGTCATCAACAGGTAGACAATTATTACTAATTTATTTGCTGTATTTATAGCGTATAATTTATTGTTTTAGGTTTGATATCGCCAGGTGTGTCTGTGCCTGTGGCGATACCTCCTGGACAAACGGACATGGTTTCCCCGCAACCGTATTGGTCGCGAATTCAGTGACCATGGTGGAATTAGAATTATCATAAATCATCATTATTTGGCTAATGAAATAAAAAATCGTTTTGCATGAGTCCCGATTTAATATTTGTACCTACCGACATATTTGATTTTTTTGATATATTTCGTGTATTTATGCCAAAAAGCCAAACAAGCCAATGTTTTAGTGCAAATTTTATTCGATATTAATTTTTTTAGTAAGTATACTAAGTATGGTTGTTTCGCGAATATTTTTTAATGGCGTACAATAAAAGTTTTTAAATAAATGATGTACGTTTGCGTAAAAGTTACGCTCGACTGAAGTTTAATTTCATGTTTAACATGTAAGAAGTTAAACTTCACACTTAACCCGTTTTTCTAATGAAATATATTGTTTTGAAAAGGAGTTATAACCATTAAAACGTTCTTTTTATTGCTTTATTGCATATCAATCTGTGTATAAGAAGGCTCAAATTATTAGAGTTGTAGGAAATACTTGGAGTGCAAACATTGTAAAATGATCGATTTATTTGAAACCATTCCCTTCTAATTAATTTATAATAATCATCCGTATTTTTTCTGTGATTGTAATTATATTATATATTATAATAAAAACTAAACCAAATTTTAAAATTGTGTTTCAATTTTATTTGTATAATTTGAGTAATTTTCTCTTTAAATAGCCTTTCAATTCCCTTTGAATTTAATAACTTTTAATTATTTATCAAAAATTAATGCTTACTCAAAAAGTTGGCCTCATAAAGGGTAACTAATAACTACAAGATTTTTTTTTTCAAAAAGGAAGTGACGTATGACAAGGCGACTATTTATCGAAGTGTTCCAACAGTGTTGTCAAATTTCTGGTACAGGAATATTTCAGTAAACCGAGTAGCTTAACTAGTCAAGGACAGGAAACGAGAAGATCTTCTTCTATTTTTCGGCGTTTATTTTTTGTTTATGTTTGGGATATAGAGGGTGATTGTGATATGATTTTAATGAAATTAGTGTAGGTAAAAGAAATGTGTACATTTTATTTTGGCAAAATAAGTAAGATGTAAAATACACTTTTACCCATAATTTAATGCATTATACAAATTAAAATACTCGAATAATAGTGAAAGTATCAATGCTCAAGCAAATTTAATTCAGAAATCTTTAGAACGTAGAAGTATACATCAGTTTGCTACTTGAAATGATTGCTCAAGAAAAGGAAAAAGAAAAACCTATAGAAGACAAAAGGAGTTCCCCGGATATTTCGTCTGAAAACGCGAAAACTAACAGAACTTTAGAGTTTATTAGTAAGATTAAGACCTATAAAATTGCATTAGGTAAATTACTTTCAATTCGTTTAACAACAATTTAATTAATAATATTACTTGTAGGTGCATCCGTTATTTTCTTATCAATAATTACCATTATAACATTACTGGTTTTATTCAGTGGGCAGAAAGTTACTGTACCCTCTAAAGATGGGAAAATAATTGCCCATACTAGCTGCGGAGAAGTCGAAGGGTAAGTTTCCATACTCTAATGCATTTTATCATACACTATTATAATTATCTTTTCGTTCGTAACAGCTTAATGGAAGACAGTTCATTTGCGTTCCGGGGAATTCCATTCGCTAGACCTCCAATCGGAGACCTACGATTTAAATATGCTCAACCTCTGGATAAATTAGACTATTGTTGGAACGGCACTTTCATAGCCCACAATGATTCAGGCGTTTGTCTGCAAATCCTCGGCAACGGAACATTAATCGGAAAAGAAGATTGCCTTACTCTAGACGTTGTAACTCCTTATGTTCGCTATGATAATCCACTACCGGTAATCGTATTAATCGGCGCTGAGAGCCTCATAGGCGGCTCTCCGGGGAAAATGAGACCTTCGGCGAGGTACGCAAGATCCAGAGACGTGGTGTTTGTGAGGCCTAATTTCAGGCTCGGCGCCTTAGGCTTCCTCGCGTTGGACGCAATATCTCAATCAGACTATCCCAAAACTTCAGGCAACTACGGTTTGAGCGACATATTGGAAGCTTTGAAATGGGTTCAATATAATATAGAACATTTTGGTGGCAACAAAAATGCTGTTACAGTATTCGGACATCGAGCCGGGGCTACGCTCATCACAGCCCTAAGCGGAATGCGAGGAGCCAGTAAATATTTCATAAGGGCTTGGGCTTCGTCAGGTAGCATAATTTACCCACAAGAAGATTTAAAAGAGTATGAGGTCGAGAACAGGAGCTTCCTAGACTCGGTTCGTTGCGCTGATATTAAATGTTTAAGAGAAATTGATGCAGAAACGTTGGTGTCTTCTATCGAAGACACTTGGAGAAAGCCATCGTTGGATTTACCTTCCATAGAGGAGAAGCCGGAGAAGAGGCATCACTGGCTGGTAAGTTTAACAAGGAGTTTAAAATAGTAATTACTTTAGGATTTTTTAGGTGCAGGATGGTCGATTTTTGAAGTCGGCCGATTTCAACCGCACCTGGGAGAACAGCAAAGGAGCACCGGTAAATTTGATAATAGGCACCACCTCCCACTCGGCCAGTTCTGAGAAGCTTCTAATGAAACATAAAGAATGGACGAGTGAATTAGTCAGGCAACACGTCCTGCAATCTTTTATGTCCGAAAATCCGATGGTCGAGGACGTTTTATCCATGTACAATTTAACTTATGAAGATTTGAGCAAAATGATATCGGACATTCGAATAGTTTGCCCGCTTCTCCATCTTTCTAGTCAAATGAAGACTGTACCTTTCTATGTGGTCACGCAGACTCGATTTCCGGAAGATATTGCCGATATCGATTCGGACGTGGACGCGATTTTAGGCAGGTACGAGCCCAGAACGCCGGAGCAGAGAAGATATTTCTCGGCTATGCAGGGGTTGTTCTACCATTACGTGTGGCATGGTAACATCGAAGAGAACATGATCGGTCAGAGAGTGTTAGTTGTAGGACAAGATGTTCTGCCCAACTCGACGTATTCACACTGTGATTATTGGATGCAGAAAAACGTTGTGCCGAAATATGCTGCTCTGGATTAATATATTTAAGGAAATCCCGTTTATTTATTCTTCGTGTAGTGTGTAAAAGTGAATGTATTGATCTCATTAAAGTAATAAATTATTTAAGAGTATCCGATTTATTTGTAAGTGGTATATGAAATTTGAAAACAATTTATTTAAGAAAAAAAGTATAAAATACTTAATATATACTGGGTGTTACATTTCTTCGGTATCAGATTCCGAGTCCGCTTCCATTGCTTGTTTGGCAGCTTTCTCAGCATCCGCATAGACCGATTCCGGTACTTTAACGTGCAGGCCTCCGCTGTCTTTGCACACCCAAGACAGTTCCAATTCGAAATTCTTGTCTTTCAATTCATCATGTACAAGGTAAATACTGTAAATAAATCAATTCGTTAAAATTAATGTCAACTTAATAGTTTTGTAAATTTACATTTTAGCAGCTTCTTTGACGATCTCCTTGCAAGTAAGATTCCCCAATTTCAGCTTTTCTATTTCGGTTTTAGCCGATTGCTTGGCCTTGCCTGTTGCACAACCAAAGTAGCCCTATAATATAGAGAAATAAATGAAATATTCGTTATTTGTAATTAACTCAACATACATAACTAACACCCGAAGGATCAATTAGGAACATATTGGGTTCATCGGTCTCGTAACTAGCTAAGATCACGCTGCACCCGAACGGCCTGACAGCACTGTATAAAGTGTAAGCGTGCATGTACATGCTCACTCGATCGTTTAGGTATTTAAGAGGGATGCTTGTGCCGTATTGAAGTCTGTAGTTCGATGCTTCCTTTCGTGCGATCTCCACAATTTGCCTGGCATCTGCTATCAAACCAGAAAACGCCTGCAATAAATCCAAATTAGCCCTACGAAATTATGTTTGCATTGATCAAAAGAAACATACCATTCCTATGTGTCTATCGATATTGAAAATTCGTTTGTTGGTGCTGGTTTCATGCAGTTTAGACATGATGAGTTTCTCGGCTGCAAGTACGATACCATCGGTGCCTCTGAGACCTATTACGGTACCGCTATTCTCTACGGCTTTCATAGCGTATTCGACTTGAAATACCCGACCGTCCGGTGAAAATTGAGACGCCGATAAATCATACTGGAAATTCAAAATTTTTATTACTGGCAATAATGCGGACGGCTTTCAACTTACCCCTGTCCCTATAGAACTCATTTTATACCACTTTTTTTAACTTCTTGGCAAATTAGCTGGGTTTAAAAATTCAACTCGCCGTGATTTGCTTATTTTCTATAACTTCTACTAAATGTCAAATTTGACAAATGACATTGACTTATATTTTCTTCTGTTGAAATATACCCTACTGTCTTGGCATACAGCCATAGTCATTTAAAAAGTAACATTTTATAAAAATAGAAGAATTAGGGGGGTTATGTTTTAATTTAACAATAAAGTTTATAAACAAATTTAATAAAAGTGAAAATATCTACATGTAAATCAACCCTTTGTAGCAACAATCGCGAAACTTCTTGGTGATAGTTGATCATTAGTAATTTTCATTGCCATACACTCGAAACCTTTTTCTCTCATATACTCAATTCTATCGATTAGCACCACATTCTCACACATTCGTTGCATGGCAGCTTGAAGACTCGTTAAAGCTTCCATTAGGAAGCATTTACTTTTGTAATCCTTCCATTTTAAACGCATTTTATCCAAAAACGAGTCGTCGATGTCAACTGTTTCGTTTCTGCAATCTAGCAAGCAATGACCAATTCGTACATTTCTCAAATAACCCTCAAAATTCTCGTCTGAATTTTCACCGTTAATGTTGACTTGTTTCCGTTTGAGTCTTTTCACTTGGTAGTGTTCTGTAAGATTTTTATAAATATATTTGACATAAAAAGTATATTCACGTACCAGTTTCTGCTACTGCTTGCAAAATGCACCGAAACATTAAATCTTGAGCATGCCTCTCATGTTGAGCTTCGGTCATATTAATAAAATTACCGATTGTTTGTTGACAAGATAGGCGTAAAAACGGCGTTCTCAAATACTCTTGAGCATTGAATTCTTTGTAAAGTTCCTTTAATGTATTGCTAATTGGAAAATTGACGAAATATTCCTCTCCGTTAACTCCATTTGAACTTTGCAAGTTCATTCTGTGGTAACAGCAGGGCATTATTATTAGCACTTTTGCGAACTGTAATGTCGAAAATACATCCAGAATATTCACGCTCAAATCCGCGCAAGCATGCAGGCCAACTAGAGCGCTGGATTTAATTCCTGTAGATTCAAAATTGTCTCCAACTAAATCAGTAATGCTTTTAGAGGATTCGGAATCGATGAAAAGTTCCTTAAAAATGACACAATTTTTCGATTTCGGATAAAATTTCTCTTGATTTCTTAAAGCCAACTCAACAAAACCTTTTGAGCGCTCCAAGCCCATTACTTTATAATCGTATTTGGAGTTTAAATAGTGTGATAAATAGCCCTAAAAATCCCATAGTATAAATTTAATGCCATTTTATAAAGCTCTAAACTTACTAATCCGGAACCCACGTCAATGATTAGTTCAACTTTATAATCTGTACAGATCCTATTTATAATGGGAGCTAAAGAAATGATCTCGTGGCGCTTTTTAGCGCTTAGACCGTTGTTATGCGAGAATTCGCAATTATCCTCGAGCACTTCCTCATAAATTGCACAAGGCGTCAAAGATTTTATGTCGTCGAGTAATTGTGCTAGAGAATCGGGGCAATTCTAAAACGATATTTTTTTTAAATTCTTGACCAAATCGCGACTTCACTCACCTTTAAACCGTTTATTGGCAAACGATTAAGCTCTTCGTTGGATAAAGTACTGAAAAAATCGACCCAATCGCCCGGAAAACGATCGAATGTATTCCTCACTAAAATGTGGGTGTTTTGATAATTGTATATCCAACGATATTTAGATAACAAATTTAAAACGTCTCGAAGATAATCCGTTGCGTTGGTATATTTTCGCGGAAGGCTCATACTAAAAGAAGACAATTTGTAACATGCATCTCGTAGAAATGAACAAAAATGTTTGTTATAAATTATGTATTTACAATCTAATATTGCAACAAAAAACAAACGATGAGATTTTAAGCTACGTTCTCCATAACAGTCCACAATTCGTCCACGCGCTTGTTAACATCCATCTTATCGCTTTTAGCGCCAATAACGACTTTCCCAGTATTCAAAATATTCTTAGGCCCCAAGTACTCCTCGGCCATCTTGCACAAATCCTCCTTGTTGACGCTCAACAATTCCACGCGGTGTCTCTGCTTAATATCCGGCGTCACTCTCTTCAAGAACTCCTCGCAGCCCTTTTGACTGGGCGGTATGGGAGCATCCACGGACTGGAACACCCCCAATTTCGCCTCGAATATATCCTGCTCGGTGAGCTTCTCCGCGTTGGTCTTGACCCACCTGAACGAATCGTCGAAAACGTCCAACGTTTCCAAGTTCCGCGGATCCCGGTAGCTGAAGAACGAGAACACGCCGTCGCCGGCGAGCCGCGCGCCGCCCCCGTACGCTCCCTGCTTCTCCCTGAGCTCCGGGTGCAAGTATTTCGACGATAGCAACCTGGCGAGGATCCGCAATTTCGCGTAGTCCGGATGCGTGTAGGGCACCGTCAGCACCGCTTTGCTGCAGTAATTCACCGGCACGTTTAGGACGTGGTGCTGGCAATTCACAGAGTTCGTCGGAGACCACACTTTCCCCGTCACGTAAGTGGAATCGTTTTGCGTAGTAGTCGTACAGGCTTCGGGTAGATTATTCACAAAGCTTTCGTAGCTGGTCAGTATCGGCATTTCGTTTTCCGTGGAGATATTCAAAGCGACTCTGCGTATAAAAAAAACGTTATTAATAACTAAATTTCATCCGAGCGACTTTATAGTTACCTCAATTTGTTTCTGTTGAATAGTATTTTGGCTATGTTGAGTATCTCGTCGAGCATGCCTCTGTAGTGCGTGGTGTTCAAGAGCCTCTTCATGTAAGATATGTGGTGTAATCCGGAGAGCAGTTCCATTTGATAGGCGGATCCGGAGACGAGTCCCGAAGCGGCTTGCATGGCGTAAACGTGGCCGGAATCGGCGATTCCGTGCGTCAGATTCGACATGTACAATTGAACTAACATTTGGAACCGTTGCAAATCGTCGAGTTTGCTGATGGTGAATATTTGGTGCCAAATGTCCCACATGCTGTCGACGTTCTTTTCCAAACAGTAGCTGTTGATCAGCAATCCGGGCTCGTAGGTGTGCAGATGGAACAAACTCTCGCCTATGTAGCTGCTGAAGCTCAAGCCGGACGTTTTCCTGCTGACTAGGCTGTCGAATTGCTTGAAGGTCATTTTGTTGGTGCCCAGTTTGTGGATCACGTAGCAAAATAAAGGTAGAAGCATGTGTTGCTCCGGAGACAGATCGATTGTGTTCAAAATTCCTTTGAAATATACTATGCCGTTGGCGTTTACTTTGTTAATTTGCGTTTGTACGTTGTTCAAGGACGATTTAACTTTCTCGACTCTCTCCAGTTCGGAACTGATGTCTTCGATTGTCAGAATGGGCAGTAACTCGGTCTTAGCGGGCTCGTTTTGTTGCGCCTGCAACTCCAATCCTTTCTCGAAGATCATTTGTTTGTCCTTATCTGAGAGACCTTTGATTTTCTGCTTTAACAAATCCTGCTCTTGCTTCGCTAACTTCGCGTCGAATTCTTTGTCAGCCGACATGGTTAGAGTAAGCCTGTGTTTGTTCCGTTTCAGAAACTTTTCGACGAGGTTCTGCAAGAAACGGGGATCTTCCTGTAGATCAGATCGCAATCTACCTATCAATTCGTTGACGCGGAGTTGATTGAGGACGTTGTCCGAATGGTTCCAAATCGGCGAAATGGCAAATAATAAATTCAAACCGAAATTGTTCGTTTCGTGTTTCACCGATAATTCGTAACGGTGCAAAACGGATTCGATGTGCTCCGGCTCGAAGCCGTTTTTGATGACATCGTCTATAGTATCGTCGAAAATTTTGAAAAACTTGTTGAAATCGTTCTTTCGAACGTTCTGCAATCCAATGGTGAATATTCCATCTCTCGGTTGGTTGTCGAATCCAGTCGAAGTGGTGTAGCCGCCGGAAAAATTGGGTTCAATCAAACTCTTGTAGAATGGAGAGTTGGGGCCTTTGATTAAGAGTTCGGTTAAAAAGTGCATAACGAAAGTCTCGTAAACGTTGGTGGTATCCGAAACTAAGAATGAAATCGATACTGTATTTTGCTTGTTAAATGATTCTCCGAAGCTGTCGTATCTGCATAGAATGTCTTGCTGTTTGGGCTCATTCCATCGTTTCTGCCTGGGCACTTCCGTGTGTTTTGGTGGAAAATATTCATATTTGCTTAAATATTCTTCATCAACATACTTCAATGTGGGTAATAGAGGAAAATTGCCGTAAGAGTAAATTCTCGAATTGCTCGGATGGTAATGTTCTTTGTGAAATTGAACCAAATCATTCCAAGTAAGATTAGGGATATCTTTAGGATCACCGCCGGATATAACACCATACGTGTGATCGGGTAATAACAAATTTTGCAATTTTTGTCCAAGTATATTTTCGTTTTCAGAAAACACTCCCTTCATCTCATTGTAAACGACCCCTTTTATAGTAAGGTTGCTTTTTGCATTAGCGGGATCGGTGTATTCGAGTCTCCAACCTTCCTGCATAAAATCTAATTCCTTCAAATTCGGTTTAAAAACTGCGTCTAAATACACTTTTTGCAGGTTTCTATAATCGGAATAATTTTGCGTGCTAAACGGATACATTGTGTAATCAGACGCTGTCATGGCGTTCATGAAAGTGGCTAGAGATCTATTTAGCATTTTAAAAAAAGGATCTCTCACAGGGAACCTTTCCGAACCGCATAATACAGTATGCTCTAAAATATGAGGCAAACCAGTACTTGCTAGAGGAGTTGTACGGAAATTAACGGAGAAAACGTTATTAGTGTCATTCCTATACAAATGCAAATACTGTGCTTTAGTTTTTTCGTGAATTAAATACACGGCAGTTATTCGAAATTCGGGAATGTTCTCAACATGTTTTGCTAAAAATCCATGGTATTTTTGTCCCGGTTTAAATAAGTTTATATCGGTTGAATCAGAAATTTCAACTCTTTTCGGTATGTTACTTATTCCTCTACTTATTCTTCGAATTACATTCAAACTTGCCAACGAATTTCCACCGACTTTTTTCCACATTTTAAATTCTAGAAATACATAATACAAATATTACCAAACAATTTTGTTCATACCAATGAGAATTTCTCTGTGCATCTGCAATATTGATAATCTTACCTGTAAATACTTATATTGAACTATCATAAACTACTCTGAGAGACTGATTAGATGAATGGACCTCGTGTGATTTTTAAGGATCGAAGTTTTCAGAACCAATTACATCAACAGAAGAGTAGTTTGATATTTGTATGAAATATGCTTTGTATTGTATATCTTTCAGTTCTCGATCCTGCAATGTACGAAATGAATTATTTTATAAATTATTTTATTCTCCAGGTAGACTGACAGCTTCTCGATTGGGCGACGCTACATCCAAACAATAACAGCATTCAATGAGTACTCCTAAACCATCAGAAGTTAATTTCAAGTCACACCTTTTGCAAAGCACGTCGGGACCGGGTCCTAGATTTGGTTGACTCTTATCGCAATCGGAGGAGGGCAGTGTTGGTACTACAGCATAATTCGGACACTCCACAAATGGATTCTTAAAAAATAATTTCAATATTAAGTTGCTATTTACTAAATGAATAATATTTACATTTATTTTTTTTTTATTTTAATGACAATTTTCAAATATTACGAAAGTCAACTGTCAATTCTACTTGTCAAGTGCACGTTTTAGTTCTGAATTAGTAATTTTGTGGTCTGTGATTAGTTGTGTCAAAAACATTTAGATTTTAGGCACTTTTTCGCGTCCCATAAATATTTGAATTATGTTTTTTACAAATTTACCGGTATCGTTTGGAGTTTTACTCGGTCTATTGGACATTTTCCTAATCGTTTTTCTATCGCCTTTTGATCTCCACAAGGAAATGGGTTTGCGTCTTTGTCTAACACATTGAATGAAAATTGAACCTCGTCTCCATAAGGATATTTAATATTGGCCGGTGCAATATAATCCTCCATGATTGCAGTATCTACCATTGCATTTTCCAAATTTAGTATTGATGCACTAATTATAATTAACCAAATGAATTTCATTTCATACTAATAATTTTGATGAATGTCAAATATTTAAATGGAAAAGTCTAATGGATAGGGTTTTTGTTTGTTGACTTTACCTAGTTGTGTCACCTGTCAGAGTTTATGTTGGTCACATATAAAAACAAAAATAACAAACCTAACCTTAGATTTAATATTTATAATTTCATCAATTTAAAATAATATTCAAATGGAAAGTACATTAGATAATTCCGTATCTCACCCTCATGCTTTTTTGTATAAATTTAAAGAAAGTAAATTTTCACAAAATGAGCGGAGGTTAAAATACCTTGAAGAGCAGAAAATCAGGCGACAAGAATTAACAGACAAAAATCGAGAATTGTGCGATTTATTCATCAAAGAAATTGAAGAATCCCGCGAAGATGAAGAAATGGAACTCGATTCTACCGAAAATCGAAGAACCAATCGATTATATTTTAAATTAATGATAACCGAATGGTTTTTGGACATTCCAGAAGACTTAGAAGAAAATTGGTTCGTTAAATTAGTGCCAGAGGGTTTTCGAATTCTACTAGTAGCTCGTAATCAGCATACTTTCATATACAACAACAAAGGGAGGTTTTTATTTCGAATAAAGACCAATTTCCCGGGAGGCGGGAATGGCAAAGAAAATGGAACAACTGTTCTGGATTGCGTATGCAACAAGAAAATAAACACAGTATTTATTTTAGACTGTCTATTTTGGAATTCAATGTCGACTATAGACAGCGAAGCATCCTTTAGATTCTATTGGTTGGCCAATAAATTCAAGGAAAATCCGGAACTTGGCCAATTCTGGAAGTACAAGTTCGTGTTAGTGGAAGCTTTACCTGCGGAAAGATCATTAATTCAGGACAAAATGTTCCAAACGATGACTGTAGAAAGCCATTCATTGCTTTACGAAGGCATAACTTTTTACCATAAGGAATCTCAGTACACTTTCGGGTACACTCCTTTGGCTACATGGCTTGCTTCGTACATGTTACCAGAAAAACTAGGCATCGATATACCTGAAATCTATTTAGGTAAAAGACCGCAGAATTATGTGAATTTGCAACATTTTGTCGAGAACGAATCGTTATTTACAAAGAAGCGAAAAAGGAAAACAAGGACTCCCGGAGAACAAATGGAATTGTAAATCTGTTGTAAATGTATTTGTTTTAAAAATAAAAAATGTATTTAAACCATTTTTGCGTGTCTTTTGTAGAGTAGAAATTGAGGTGGTTATTGTATACGAGGGGAATACAAAAAAATAATTTTGTAATTGCTGGTAGACATTTATTATATAATAACTTATAACATCAATATAGTTTAAATATGATATGTATAGCATGATATGTATCAATTCGCAACGTTTGCTTGCACCTTTTTAAAACCGTTCGACATCGCCAGATAATCCAACTGGAATAATATGAGATTCCAAATCGGCTTTGGACGATTCCCATATTAAAACATCACAGACAGATGACAAAAAGTCGAGAAACTGTAAGATCATTTCGTGCGGACTACATAGAAAAGTAGTGAATCGTTAAACGTATAATAACTGTACTGAGTTCTTATACAGGACGTGGAATGTCGCCGGTCGATTTTTCGTAAGTGGGAAATGGAGATTCTTTGAGAGTTTTTCGAAAAACCAGCCTGCTGCTTCCTGCACGTTCACGTTGTAAAACTACTTTCATTAGTTGCCTAGGCCAAAGAGTTTCTTATACTAAATATTAAATACCTCAGCCGCTAAATAGGTATACACAAATTAACTTATACTCTACTTGTAATATTGAGAGTTTTCGACAATAACTATATGTGATATAATTGTTATAGGTATATCGTTTGTAAATTTAAATTTTCTAACACCTTAATATTTCTTCAGAATTTTGACTTTTTGATGTTTATACATTCAACTGGGGTAGTTTCAGGAGTGGGTAATTAAAAATCATCGTGCTAAAATTTAAATGCAGTTACTATAACATTTCTAATTTACACCTACTAACATCAATAGACATTTTTTTAGAAGTTTCTTGTTAAAATAAATTCAGTAACTTTTCTTTAAATTTTAGCGCTAAACGCGTCTTCTCAAAAATACGAATTTTCTATGGAAGCTGCTCTATCTCGTTGAAGTTGTGTTAAAAATATACCTCTATTGAATGTATAAAAATATGTTACTATCGAAGATAGACTTGTAGTTAATTTTAAAATTGATTTAGTGCATGGGTCTTTTGAACGCTGCTTGACCCGTGAGTCTCTTCTCGCCGGCCGTGTGCTGTACAACGTTCTTTATTTGATCAGAAGCCACCGGACCTATGCAGACCAAAGGATCCTTGAAGTACGAGCAAACCTACAACGCACGTTTAAATTTCCATTCGCACCCATTAACCCAAAAACTCACCTTCCTGGGCGCCTGTCGGTGGCGTCTCTGCAACTGACAGCACAATCCCCTGAATATATCGCACTCGCTGGACATGTTGCAAGTCTCCGAATACTGCTTGTCCTGGTGGACGGGCGGCCGGCAGACTCTCGTCGACACCATCGCCTCGGCTTCGGCGCACACCAACCCCGATTCGCAGTCGCTGTCCCTGCGGCAGATCTCGCCCACTCGCCGGCCGTAGGCGAACAAACAGGACCCCACCACTGCAAAAGGATATTTCGGATTAATTGCGCTCGACGACCAGGAAATTGTTCTCACCTCCATCCACATCGACGCACACGGACCCGGGACAGCAGTGCTCGTTGGCCGTGCAGCGTTTCCCGTAGCAGGGCTCCTCTTCGTTGTTTTCGCTCGCGAACTCCTCCAGGATGCCCTCGTCGCCGTCGTTTCTCTGCAATGTTATTCGGATATAGTATGATGAATTGCGCGGTTTTATTCGCGAGGGCTTACGAGGAAGCTACCGCCGCCGCCGCCGTGGCCTCCGTACCCCAAGTTCGATAGCATTTCGGGGGAGAAGCGGTTGAACAAACCGCCCCAAGCGTCGGCTTTCTGGCTCAAAGCGAAAATCGCGGCTAAAGCGATGAGGGATTTCATTGTTGATCTGTAAGACAATTCTAAGTAGTTATTGTAAAATTTTGAATTTTTTGCAAGCTTTAATTTACCTATTTATCGAAGAATAAATTTTGTTGAAGTTTAACAAAGAAAAATCGAAAATTTTTTTAACGATTATTCAATTAGTCTATACTGCATCGTCATTAGGAATACTGCAAGCGTTCATTCATTGACTTGTTGCAATTTCGTTCCGGAACAGACGCTAATTTTACTGCTATACCTTACTCTTTTTATGCGCACGCATCGGTTCGATACAGTGGAATTTTCTTTTTTTTTACTTTTTACACCAAACATCCACCTCGCGAATCAATTAATTAACTATTACGTAACAAACGATAAATTAAACACAAAAGCAAATACATTAAAATATTAATAGCATTAAAATACACCCCTTCATTCAATTCATTCAACCCCCATCAACCAATAACACGACATCTAAACCAACGCATTTATCCAAAAAAAAACTTCCGAAACTCTCCCCATTCAAACTCACAAATCTAACGAGCTTAACAAGCGAACAACTTCAGAGCCTCTTACTTGTAGGGATCCAATCGAAAGCCGACCCAAGAACACGACTCAATAACTTGCACTATCTTTACGATGAAACTCCTTACTACTCCTTTTCGTCGTGCGATCCATACGCGAACCCCTCCATTCACTACAGACGCTGGCCGATCGTCGGGATTCGGCCGGCGCCGGCCAGGATCGTTACAGGATAACGATGTATTGTGTGGGCACTTGTTTGCCCGATCGTCCTTCGTGGGCGAATCCGGGAACCGGGACGGTATAACGCAAAAACAAATCCCGTGGGAAGCGGGACGTGACGGGTCACTGGAAGGATTACTGTTATCTCCAAATTGGAGTTAATATTGCGTATTACGTAAATGGGGTGGTTTAGAGGTATCATTAATCTTGTAAGGTATTTGAGTGGTGAGGGTGCGTGTTGGGGAGGATTGAAAATGTGGAAAATAAACAAAAACAATTGTAATTCGAAAAAAAATCATTAACAAAATAAATATTTCATTATTACAATCTAAAATAGGCATTTCAGGAACTGAAAAAAAGATGATGCGAGTTACCACGATTTTTTCCGTTCCTAAAATGACATTCATAAACGAATTTTCTAATCTAAAAAAATTTACTAAACTCTCTCTTTTTTATGTACATAATATACTCAAGTATATACAATATTTACTTTCCTTCCGTTACAATATTCCAGCGTATTCAGATGAAAATTTTGATTACCTTTTCACTTTATCGTTAAAAAAGATATGCCACATCAGGAACATTTTTTTCTACTATTTTTAAACTGCACATCGCTTTTAGAAACAACGAATAAAATCCTAATAAACCAGATTTCCACTCTACGGAGCCGCCACGCCGGTCACCGACGTTATCCACGGCTTGAAGTACTGCGTTCTCATGTAAACCCCCGGCAAATAGGGCGCCGCGCATTTGATACCATGAGACACCGTCCCCGCCAGTTGGTACCTTCCATCAGGCCGCTGCAACACCAACGGCCCCCCGGAGTCCCCCTAAACAAAACAACCAATCAACACCCGAATCCATCGCATCAACAACAACCACTTACCTCGCAGGAATCCTTCTGCCCGTTGGCGTAGCCAGCGCACAGGAACGACTCCAGTATCACCTTCGAATGGCCCGCCGTCCGGAACATCTCCTGACACACGTGGTTCTCCATAATGGGCACCTGCACCTCCTGCAGAACCGACGGCACGCCGCCCCCGTACTTCAACCTACCCCAACCTGTGACCGTCGCCATCCGACCGGTGAAGTCCTCTTCGTCGCGTGGCAGGCAAATCGGTACTGCAAATTAATGAAATACTATCAAAATTGGTTCCTGGATGGGGAAGGGAATACCTCATTTTTGGACAAAAAGAAGTGGTGTTAAGAATGAACCTAAAACTCATAAGCAGAGTATTTTGAGTATACAAATATGCATGGAATTAGAAGATGAATGTGGAGTAAGTTACGTACTAATATGTTGGTCGAATTGGACGGGCTGGTCCAATTCGAGTATGGCCAGATCGTTTTCGAAGGTCTGGGCGTCGTACTGTCGATGGACGATGACGCGCTTGACGTTCCTGCTGAGCGGCCGGCGCTTCTCCAGGTCGCCGGAGATGTCGAATTCGCCGAAGACGGCCACCAAGGAGGCGAGGAAGCCGGGCTGACAATGGGCCGCCGTCATGACGTACTTGTGGCTGATGAGGACGCCGCCGCACTTGTTCTTGGTGAAGAGGCCGAGCCACGTGGACTCTCTGACGAGCACCTGCCAGGGGAACTCGCCGAAGACGGCGCCCTTGCCGCCGACGATTTTCGCCGTTCGGATTAACGGCCTCTTGCCGCATTCTGCAACAAATTCCTGATTTAAATAACGCAAATGTGCGTATGTTAATGAACCGGTCGGGCGACCAGGCGATTTAAATGAGCCATTCCGTAGATAACCTGGCGAATAGTTGTAGTATTTTTGAAAAATTAGTCTTATTCTTATTACTCCAAGTGATCCACCACTATTTAAAAACAAACAACGTGCTTAAAATGAAAATAGAAATGTTCCCTCGACAAAAATTAATCTCAATAATTTCGTAGTAACCCAGTAATTATTTTAGAGGTACCAATCCACTAACCTGTTCTGTAATCTTCCGGGTCGATGGCGACGTATTCCGTCGAATGTTCGATATAATTGTGTATAGTCGTAGCGGGTTTTTTCGTCGGTTTGGTTTTCTTATTAACCGTGGGCTTAGTGTTAGTAGGCCTTTTGGTGGTACCTACTGTAACAGTAGTCCGTCTGTTAGGCGATTTCGTGGTGGTGACGGGTCTTAAAGTAGTGGTGAGTCTAGTATTGGTACCTGCCGGTCTCGTTGTAACCGGTTTCTTGCTTACTGTACTCGCCTTCGTGGGTTTTCTTGTCGTAGGCTTTACCGTTGTGCCGATAGGGAGTTGCGTAATGTTTTTTCGGTTGCTCACTACGTCCCTTAGGCCTTGAAAGGGCTCTTTCAGTCCTTGGATCACCTGATTCACGAACAATTCCACGTTAGCGTTCAAAGATTCGTCTTCGATGAAGCTGGGCGTTGTTATGTCGTTTTCGCCCAACGACGGGAAATGGGACATGTTCAAATTGGGGTTTCTGACGGGCGGGAAATTGATCAAATCATCAGGCGATGAAGGTAGAGTTCCCACTTCTACAGTATCCGAATAATCCGGTGAAGAAATGCTCGGTTTAGGCGTTATCAGTACAGTAGGAGACGGTCTTTCCGGTGAGCTGCCAGTAACGTAAGGCCTCGACGTGGTGCTGTATATATTTTGCACTAAATGCTGGTTAATGGTTACATGATTCACCGGATTGGGGTTCTTCTTGTTCGGAAGGGCCGTGGGTCTTTGAACAGTCACCGGATAGTGTTCGTACGAGACCGGATTCGGTTTCTCCGTTTCGGCGTCCGTCGATAGAGGTCCCAGGACGATGATGGTGGGTGCTGGCGTGGAAAATGTACTAGATATTGGATTGGAACTGACGCTGTACGATGGTCCTGCTAGATACGAACTCAAAGTCGAAGGCGGCGGCCGCCTGGTGGGCGACGAACTGTATACATACGAAGTCGAAGGCGGTTTCGCGGACGTTACGAACGCGCTGGGCGAGTAAGCCCACGTGGTTTTAGTAGAAGAACTGACGAAAGTCGACGGTTTCTTGGTCGATTTGGTGGTGGGTTTCCTGCTAAACATAAACGTCGTTCTTTTAGGGGGTATGGTCGTGCTGAAAACATAAGAGGTAGATGGGGGTTTGCGCGACGTGATGACCACTTCGGTGTGAGAATCCTGCGTTGTGGAGAACTCGATCGCGTCTTGGGTGCTGTTTTTGGAGGTATCGTGCGTTATAGTCGGTACTCTTATGTAGTTACTGTCGTTAGGCTTCACGGGCTTTGGTCTAGTAAAATCGCTAGCTGTCGTGTACTCTAAGGGAGCGTTCGAAAGCGAAATAGCCAACACGGGCGTGCTGGAATACACCCCAGCAGGAGGCGTTCTATCGCTAATAGGCTTCAGGTAATCCTTAATTATGCTATTCACGTGATTCAAAATCGTGGTTTTCGTGGCCTCGGTGGAAGTAGCCGCGGACGCGCTGTTGATTTCCACGTTTGTTGGGCTCACGCCGGCGTTTAGTAGAGTTTGAGCGATGTGCGATACGCCTAATGAAGTGATATCGATGGGCCTGCTGGTCGATAGAAATCCCTGATCTAGGTACTCCCCCACGCTGGATCCTTTCTTTAATTGGCAGCACGCTCCGAACAGGAACCCGTCCATGCAGGCTCCCACCACTACGCCCTCCTTTTGCCTGCATTCGTGGTTGAACATGCATATGTTGGGCCCGCCGTTCGAAGGCGAGTGCTTCTGCGTCGCTTTGCAGTACCTAGGCGTTATCCGATAACCACCGAAAAGTCTTCTTGGACCTGCAATTATAAACATTACAAATATTATTCAATGTGCCAAAGAACATCAGCTTCAATCTTAAGAAAGTAATAGCAGTAATTTGGAGAGAGAAATAGGGAAAAAATTTAATCTGTTTTAATTGTGAATCGATAGACACATACGTAAATACGCCACTGTACTCCGAGAAATATCAAACGGGATATGTAATAGCCAGTTTCACCTCATTCGAGTTAATTTGAAACAGTTATTCTCGAAGAAGATCTAATGCGAGGTGCTAATAGTACTCTTGATAAAGAGATTTCGTTCGTTGGATTCGTAGATATAAATCGTTCGGTTAGATTTTCGAAAACGTTAATAGTTTATGTACATTATGTGGGATAATTATGCGGACAATTTATGCGGATTTTAATGATGCGTTTCATTTCAATTTTCAATCGCTCACCTCGCAATTATCTTAATAATACGCGCGAGAGTGATTATTGATCATATCTGGCGTCCTATTTTTGAATACCTACGAAAAACAATGTAAATAGAAATTTCTATTTTATTGCGGTTTATCTCAAACAATGGATTAGAAATTCAGGATATTGTGGTTAACGAAGATGTGGCTATATTTTAGTATTTCATTTTGGTCGTTAGTCAAACCCTAACCGATTTATCTTCTTTTACTTTTACAGTTGATTTTTACTAGTAGGTATAATTAGCATACTTCGTGTAATAACCGCTTAAACAACTCGTAATTTCAATAGCGGATTATTTCTATTAAACCGTCCGTTACTAAAGACTAAAGATTCGTTTTACCATAAAACTTCGGAAAGTATATCGAAATGTAAAGTGTGAAAATCGTCGCGACTTTCTACTTATTTAGGGAAAAGCGTGATAGCTCTATTACCCGTCGAATTCTAATTAGGTACGGAGTAAGAAGACCGCGACACATGAACATAATTTTCGACGCTTTTACTACTAAATTAATCGCTGAATATACTCGAACGATTTGAATTCGTTCCCATTTTCAACGAGCACCGACTCGAACGCCGGCTTTTTTTATTGACAAACAAAAGTAAAGTTAATGATACGCTCCGTCCTGTAGCTGGGAACTGATGGGGACTGGAAACTGGTTATTCACACGAAACCGGCGTTTTTTCAACGAAATTTTTAGCTATAATTACTCGACCAACCCTTCTGCACAATTAGCCTCCTCTAAGGTAAAACAGCGGAGATTTTATTTATAAACTTATTTAATGTCTTTGGTAAACTAGTAACTGCTCGATGAATGGCGGAAAATAAGTATAAAGAGTATAAAATCAGTTGATAATGCTGGTTTGTTTTATTTCTGTGATTCATAAGTTATTACAAAAAGAAAATAACAGGGCTTGAGAATCTTAGGTAGATTGTAATCAGTTTTAGAGACACTCATCAATATTTTAGGACGTTTCAAAATTGCGATGTAGTAAATTTAGAAACTTAGTAAACCTTTTAAGACATCCTTGTACAAATCAAATAAAGTAAAGTTGAGTAAATAGCGTTAGAAGCGCCGTTTTTAATGCGATAATTCGGAATCCAATGCGAGCCGATGCGACTTCCCTTTCCGGCTCGGCTACGCTAATCTCGGACGTGACAATTCCTTGACCTAGTACGTGACTCCGTCTGTGCAGATGAAAGCGGGAAAGTTTTCGACGAACAGGTGACCCTCCGAGCACGACCAAACTTCACCTCTAGAGCGTTGCGATTCATGCAGATTTTCTGCGTGACTCTCCCGCGAAGGATTTCCCTTTTTCACACCCGAATTTCGCGCGCTCTAATGATCAACGAATTCTCGAGATTGCAGGCGATTTGATGGAATGAGTAGCCGCAAGTAAGAGTTTGGATTGTATTGGATTATTAGATAAAAAAAATTGTATAAGTTGCATTTTTATTACACAATTAAACTGAGAGCGTTTGTGGAGAAACCGGTTGTACGCAGATCTTCGAGCGAAAGAAACACGCGAAACGAGCACCATCGGATGTAATTAATTCTTGGGATTAGATGATACGAAGAAATTAGGAGAACGAAATTGAATTTGTATATTAGATATGTTTACGAACCGGTAAGTGATGTCAGTAATCGAGTGGATTGCACTGAATTTCACTCTGCTCGACAGGTGACAGATGAAACCAATCAATAGGTAAACACTTTATTTGTTTATTTGATTGCTTTGCGTTAATTTAATTATAAAATATTCCATTAGCTGGCCTTTTAAAATCATTGAAATTTTTGTCCAACTTGTATAATACTAAATTCTTCTACAATCAAAAGTGTTCTAATCTAAAATACTTCATTAATTAACTAACCCCGATTTAACAATCAAACGAAATTGCGCTGCAGGTTTTACTTGAAATTAGAAGAAAGCTCTAATAAATTATGTTAATTGTTAAAAGACAGATTATTTCTTAAACAAACTTTCTTACATACCTACTTTAATACTGAGAACTAGGCTATCGATGTAGAGGAAAAAATGTTTTATTCTTGTGTATTGATACATTACAAGGCTTGTTTTTCGCCACACTAGGTCACTTTTTTTATAATGTAATTGTTTTAAAACTGTATTAATTGTTTGCGTTACAAGAAGAGCGCTTACCTAACGGATAAGCTGTTTGATCTGTTCTAATTTTTCATACTAAAATCTGCTCGGTTAATTAAAGATAAAGCCTTTCTCATTTGCGATGAATGCGAAAGATTAACAAAACTGGATAGAGATCTTGATGACAACGATGACAATGCGATAATTAGCACAACAATTGGCGAATAGAAAACGCATTTATGTAGTGCCTACCTAGATTCGAAGCCAGTGAAATAGGAAAATTGCATTAAATTGGCGCAGGTTATCGGAAATTTACATTTATTTTGTATGTAGAGCGTTTACTAAGTTGCTTTATCATTTTCACAAATTGAACATATCAAATTTGTATTCCAAGCAGCTTCCTTATACGCATAAATTAATTAATATAAAATGTATGTAGGTTGAATCCTAATACAGTTAACCATAAACCAGCACAGCCCAAAAAACACTGACCTATTACAACAATAATTCTTAATAATAGATAAGATTAATTACCTTTTCGTTGTTCGTTATATTGGCTATCTACTTCCTTAAAAAAGCATCCTACTATAAAGCACAAACTCACTAACACACCAACCTTCATATTTGTAAAATCGTAAATACTCAAAAATTTGGCCGATGCATGTACGAAAATACGTTTAATTAGCGACTAATCAATCCTTATTTTCGGCGATGGAACATTTTGCCGGAGCGTCGTGTCGTGCGATTTGAACTGTCGTGGAAGCGATGTATCGTTCGTCGGCGATGGTTCCACCAGGTGATACGTGAATACGACGAAGCACAAGAGGAGCTACTGAAGACATGCTTCCGCTGTCTGAAGACCATCGGGACCGAGGATGTGGGTCACTGGGACACCGTAGCGGGTCTAAAAATGATGGTACCTCGACTTTTAGAGTTGGACGGAAATGGTTACGTTATTTGTTTGTTTTAGAGTTGGCGTGTTTGCGTATATCGATCGGTAAATTTAAATAGTGTGAGATTTTTTTTTATTTCACAAGTGTAGAAGGAAGTTTATTTTTATGATGGGTATTAATTTTATTAACGTGGCCAAATATGGTTGTTGTAGAGGTTTTTTTAGGGGTTTATTTGGTCACCTAGTTGCCTAAAAAAATTATGAAGTAACTGTCACAAACTTCAAAAATTAAATGATAAAAAATTGGAAAAAAATTTAATTGAGAAAAAATAAATTAAACTAACTTACAAGGTGTTTCTGAATCTAAAAATAAATTTGATATATTCCTTATTCAATTCAACCTCTAAAATTATGTATACTATTTTTTTAAATACTTCATCGTAATCTGTAGTAATTTTATTTTTTATCTCCTAGTTAAACAATCAAAAATTACATAAAACAATTTTTTTCTACTTTTTTTTATACAGTATCTCATCACACACATTAAGCGTACTTATCCAATTTCCTGACTAGAAAGTAACTTGCCATCGACTTTACGCACTTTAAAAATGAAGAAGAGAAACTCGAAAACTCCTGCGGTTTTAATCCATCGGATATAAAGGCGAATTCGTATTCGTGTGGAATTTATTTTAATAGCGAACGTGTTCGATCGCGGACGTTTTTACGTTCGAATTCGAGCCGATAACATATGCAAAGCGAGTACTAAATAAAGCGGAACGCAGTGATTCAATAATCGAAAGAGAAATTTTCCCAAGCCGCGATAAAAACGCGGATGAGGCGAGGAAAAATCGGATTTTTTTTCCCGGTAAGTTGGCATCGCGAAGTATCTGTCGTTTGTCGTAAATGGGGCGGAAAGGAGGAATTGAATTTAAACACCGCGCAGGCATTTATACGCTGTAACACTTTTTATTATATATTTTTGTAAATAAATTAACACTTACGGCTAACAATTAAATAAATAATCGATACATAGCTAAATTATACTTAATTTATACAAATTACGTAATTCATACGGTTTTGTTTTTGCAAGGAGGATTGTTTAATTGAATGTAAAGAGATCTGGCATTTTTTTAAAGAAAATGCAGTTTTTATGCAAAATTTGCGCCATTTATCTAAAAGCACTAAAATCCTGGTGACTTTGTAGTTAGTATAATAACACATTTACAACCAACTGTACTTTAGGATAAATAACGTGCATACAATAAGTATTCAGTACACACAGATAGAAAACTTTTAAATTTGATTAAAAATTTTGTTTGCAAACGATTACCAAATCAGACATCAATCGACTAGTTTTCTCACTGGGTAGAAATCGTAGATAAAAAAAAAAGAAGATACGCAATAACGACGAAACAATGAATTAGAATTGCAATATTTGATTGATCCAATCTCTAAATTCGCTTATCCTCGTATAAACACCGGGCTGATTAGGTTCAGCGCAACCGATACCCCAAGATATAATACCGGCCAGCAGGAACCTCTTATCCGGCCTCTGGATGACCATCGGCCCGCCGGAGTCCCCCTCGCAGGAATCGAATCCGCCCCGTCTCCAGCCGGCGCATATGAATATATGCGGTATGTGCTCGATGTACCCGGCGGACCTGTACATGGACTCGCACACCGTGTTGTTGATCACCGGCACGGACACCTCCTGCAGGATGCTGGGCAGCGGCCCGTCCTCGTAGAGCCGGCCCCAGCCGGTCACGAACGCCGTCCGGCTGACGAAGTTCTCGTCGGTCTGCGGCACGCACACCGGCACGATGTTCGGCTGGAAGTTGACCGGCTCGTAGAAGCGCAACAGCGCCAGGTCGTACTCGAAGGTGCGCGGGTCGAATTGGGGGTGCGAGGCGACGATTTGGACGCGCCGCTCCTGGTGGAGGTACGGCTCCGATTCGGTGGAGAGGTCGTACTCGCCCAAGCGCAGCAGCAAATCGCTCGGCGGAACGCTGGGAACAGATCGGGTTGATCGTTTGAAAAATGGCTCGAGCGGAAATTTGCAATGTTGCAAATTCAAAGGGATTATATTCATACAATATTCCAAGGAACAAACCTTCGAATTTTTGCCTCATGTTGAATAAACTCCCTGTTTAAAAGGAAACGTTCTATTATTGCCGAAGAAGCCTTGTGAAATTTGATAGAACGTAGATAAAAAATTGTAATTGCTTCATAAATTTCTGGAGAATCGCCATAAAATATAGGCATCGATAAAACTTTGGAAAAGATTATCTACCTCAAATTTAGCACGATTTTAATAAACACCCTGTATTTCTACTTTATTATTTGTATATCCTAATGTTTGTAGTCGACAAAAAAACTATGCAGGATTCAACATTAGTAATTTAAAAACCAGCTGACACTTTCCAACATTTATTTGGAGATTATCGCGGAATATGCGGGTAGCAAAATTCATTAGAATAATGAAATTGTGAGTATACAATTCTACAAATTGGAATTTTACCTCACTAATTATCCAATGTAATCGAACTGTAGGTACACTCGGATTAAAACTAGCCTTCGGTCGTTAATTTTAGTAAAATATTGAACTTACTTATCGACGCAATGGGCGGCGGTGATGGCCCAATTTTCGTTGAGCAAAGCCGCCCCGCACTTGTGGAGATAAGTGGAGGTCCTCCATTGTCTAAGGGACAACTGCCAAGGCCATTTTCCGAAGGAAGACTTTTCCCCACCGACTATCCTAGCCTCCGGAAACATTCTCCTTCCGCACACTTAACAAAAAAATAAGCTGTTTTGATTCAACAAAATTACCTATGTGTAAAAGCTTACCGTCTGTATAATCGCTCATATTTACAGGTCTGTCGAAGATGTTTGAATCAGTCTGTGGAGTTTGGCTGACAGTCGTAGATTCTGTGGTTGCATTCGTTATTTCGTACGGCGAAATTGTACTAAGCGTACTTGTAATTGTACTTGCAGTCGTTAGTGGACTAAAAGTAGTGTTGATTTGTATAGAAGATGATTCAGTGATGGCAGTAGTTTGAGCAGTTTGATTTTGTGGAAGTTGCGTCGAGTTTTCCACTAATGTTTGATTGAGCAAAATTATCGGAACCCAATCTAAAAACCATCATTAGTTAGAAGATTGTAGTCTTACACACGATTTATATACCTTCAGTCGTTGTATTATAATTCCCTAAGTCGGGTTTGGAAGAAGTAGTACTAGTTGTCGAGTTTTTGTTACTAACAACTATTTGAGTTGTAGTTAAAGTGATATTATTGAGATTCGTTGTAGTTATAATTGCAGGTTTAGCGCTAGCTGAAGGCGATGGCTTAGTTTTTTCTGTAGTAGTACTCGTTACTTTAGTTTTCTGGCTGGTACTCGAAGGCTTGGCTGTAGTAACCTTGGAAGTGGTGGTTCTTTTGGTCGGCTTCGTCGAGGAACTCGTCTTTTTGGTAGGTTTCGATGTCGTTCGAGTTTTTGTGGAACTTATTTCCGGCCTCTTCGAAGTCGTGGTTAATTTAGAGACAGCGCTGGTCGGTTTCGATGTGATTTTCGTCGGTACTTTTGTAGTAGTTGCTGGAACATAAACCATACAAATTACAAAACACGAGTAATACTTAGAATTAATTATTTACCTGAAGTAGTCGATATACTACTGCTAGATTTTTCTGTAGTACTTATAGTTATATTTTGCGTGGAGATTTGGGGAGTCGTTGATTTAATTGTAGTAGTTGAAGTTGTAGTAATGTTTAATGATGCTTTGGTGCTAACTTCTTCTAGCGTATTTCCATCTATCATTTGGAATGTGGATAATTTTTGAGAGAGCGTTGTCGCAGGTGTTTTACCCGTTGTAGTACCAACCGTTGGAGTACTAGTCGTGGTATTTTCGAACGAAATAGTCGTAGATTCGTTCAGCGGTACTATCGTGGTTTTCTTTGTGGTGCTTGATATCCTAAACGGCGGTTCCCTATGCGGAATTATATCCGTGTCTATAGCGTTATCGACTATATTATGTACGGGTTCGATGTAGCAACAGGAACCGAAATAAAAACCGTCTATACAAGTACCCAAATGGGTTCCATTCGCTTTCAGGCAGTCTATGGCGAACATGCAGAAACCGCTTTGGTTGCTATTTCTCCTAGATATGCATGGCAAGTTTCTTATATTTCTGCCTGTCGTGGCTCCTGAATAAAATTTGTATTTTTAATAAACTTACAATTAGCGGGAGTACCTCGATAGAGCTTCGATTGGCGCCACTTACCTACGTTATTCGTTATAAATGCTGGCTGCATGTTATAGATAGGGGATGAATTACACACGTTTAATAAGCAAGTTAAAAATGTTACTAATGTGGCCGGCAGCATCTGAAAACCAATATTTGTTATAGTAATAAAAATAAAATAAATTCGTTGGGAATAAAGGTAAATAATTAGAAAAATTGGGGCCAATTGAGTTATCCATAATCTTTCAGAAATACAATTAAGTATTATAAAAATGGTTCCTTTACGAGTCTCCTTTTAATTAGAAGCATCAAAAATTTAATCAAGTTGTTTAGAAATCCCTCATTACACCTAAGTACTTATTTACTTAAGAAAAATCTACATTTTTGTACGGAGATAAAGGGAACGGGCCGGAAATTGTCGCCGATGTTCTCGCGAACAGGACGATAAAATTACATTAAAAAAAGAACATTATTAACAGTAAAAGCGTTGTAAATATTTTCGTTTTCCGTTACAACAGGTGTCCGTTTTTACGAACGAAAACATTGGGCGTTGGGAGACTAACAGCATCGGAGTGAAAACGCTATAAATAAAAGAGCTTTTAGCGGTAACCGCGAAATTAACAGTAAAGGGGATGACGCACGAGAGCTTTCCCAATAAATCGGCGTGGTATATTTAAATTTGGTGAAAGTTCGACCGATAATAATCGTAAAATCGGCGTGACAATTATTGTATCCGTGTGTCCTGATGAATAACAATTAATTATATAGAATTTTAAAGAAACGCATCCTTATATTAATTAAACGTAATCGAATTTGTACCTACACTTAAATGCAAAAAAACCTCTTGAAATAAATTTGAATATTAATAAGGAATTTAAAGAATTCCGTAGCGTTACATAATAAATAGTAAAAATATGAAATAACTGCTAGACTGGTAATTTCGTAATTATCGATGCAGCATCTTCCCAAAGTAGTCCTAAAAATGAATTCTCGGCAAACTAGTTTATGCGCGACCTACATCCGCACGAATTGTCAAAATATTACCGTTGATCCGTTGGGACAATAAATTATTCCGGCCTTTTAACAAAGGGTTGGTAGAACGAGTTCCGAATTAAGGTTACGCGACAGTTATATGAAGATGATCCGCACGAAATAAAAAAAACAATAAGAATTCCGAGTTTACTGTTAGTTTCAACTACAGGATTAGTGAATAATTGAACTTACCTTATCGAGACTAGACGAAAACCTTAAGGCGATTCGAACGATTTAAAATAAAATAATAATAATAAAAAATAATAAATAAATAAAATTAACGAAATGAGACTAATTAAACGCGAGTTCACAAAGCAAACATAGCAATTACGAAGCCAGTCCCTGATGGTGGAATCTTTGCGTTGCAAACAAACGACATGTCCTGTAACGCCGCCGCTATTTTAGTTCTCTTCTTCGTTTGGATATTTTTCGCACCGAAACGTTCAGCAACCGCAAACCATCCCCATGGCCTCTGCGTTTTGGTGCGACAGCAACACTTGGACTGGTCGAAGAGGAGTTGTGCCATCCTCGAAGATTGTCACGAGTTCGTTCACCTCACGGACAACCATGGCTGCAGGTACTTCAAGAGGGGAGAGTACCGTTACTAGTTTACTCCGGTGATCGAATTGTTTAAGTGGGTAATTATTTTGATCTACCTAAGCAGTTTGAAATACGCTCGTTGCGAATGTTCGTATTTTCCGGCGATTCGCTCCGTTGACTCTAGATGGAGCTTCTTGTGCCGATTTTTTGAACGTCACACTGGTACTTTACCAATACAAACTTCCAATTGGATATTTTAACTCTACAAGCAAAATAAATCACAATATTCAAGTTCTGTTGTAGGTAATAAAATCTATACATTTTTTATACTTTATTTTTCCAATAACACACATAAAAATTCGGTATTTGTCCATCTTAATACAATAATAGTACGTGTTTTATCTGATACAGACTTACTGATTCCGACTGATGCTTTTTCTATATTGTTAAGTACTTATTTTTAAACAATTTATCTGATATAATAAATGGTAAGGGGAGATCTTGGTAGAGTCCCATTTACTTGATTTAAGAGGCTCTAAAAACATGATGTACCAATAGAGTCCGATAAATATTGTAAATTGCTTCTATTAAATAAACATTTTTATGTAGGAATATCAAGGGAATGATTTGTGAAAGAAAATCTTGACATATTTAAATTCTAATAAATATATTATATTCTTATAATAAAGCTTTTGCTTTGCGAATTATGCAGGATTTTTGAAAAATATTGCCAATATTTTACTAATTATTATTTGTCTATACGTCTTTTAATGGGATTTGGGACTCTATTTCGAATTTATAGAACCGGATTGGTATAATTAAATAAATCTAGAGCATAAATTTGTTAAAAATGCTTAGGTAAAAGTAAGAAATGAAAAATTTTAGTCAAGTTTTACTGTTAACATTGCCATCAGATATAAATAGAGAAAAGTAAAATGCATCACCAGAATAATTAATTTTACTATGAATGCTTGCATTTAAACACACTTGAATTAATTTATTGGTGACTAACATTATCATTTTTCCAATATACTGTTTATCAGTTCATTGTGGATTCTGCAGTAATCAATACTCAATACAAAAATCAATACCGCGTTTTTTAATAAAATTTTACCATTTACTGTAAACATACCAAAGCTTTTTACCAAATTTAACACTCGAATTAAAATCAAAATAAATACATAAATTAATTATTCTTTATACAAAAATTTGACGTTTTTTATAGTCAACCGTTCATGACTTTGTCTAACCAAGGCACAAATTTCTGTATATTGGTGTAAACGCCAGGCAAGTGCTCCCTACCGCACCCGATACCCCATGAAACTAAACCGATCAAAGTTTTCCTTCCTTCCATTGTCAACGTCAGCGGCCCTCCCGAGTCCCCTTGGCAGGAATCACGACCGCCCTAAAAATTATCAAATTAATCGATTATAAGCGGCAAAATGAGTAAATTACCTCTTTGTAACCGGCGCACAGGAACACGTCGTGGATGATTTCCCGCCTGCCCGCGGCCCTGAACCATCTTTGACATCTATCGTTCGAGATTACCTCCACGTCCACCTCCTGCAGCGTCGAGGGAACGGTGGCTTGACCGTGTCTGGTCCGTCCCCAGCCCGCCACCGTCGCTTTTCTACCCACCAGCTTCACCTGGAAATCGAAAACATGAATACAAGCACGAAATAATATGATAATAATGATGTGGTGAGTTATATTGAGGTGTGTTTACCGTTAGGGGTGGTAAGCAAACGGGTAGTATGTGCGGTCTGAAGCGCACGTTCCTATCTAATTTCACTAAAGCGACGTCGTTTTTGAAATCCGACGGCGAGTAAGACGGGTGCACTTCCTTCCGCTCCACCGAGAATTCCTCGTAGCCCAGTTTCTCGTCTTGGTCGCGAACGTCCCATTCGCCCAATCTGATCCTTATGTTCCCGTTCGTCGTCCTACAACCCGTTAAGTTTATTGAAAAAAATTCTTTGTTAGTGTCGATTGTAGTTAAAGAAAGTTCACTTACGTGGCGACGCAATGCGCTGCGGTAACGATCCACCTTTCGTTCAGCAACGCTCCGCCGCAAGCTAATTTCTTAGTTAAAAAACCAGTCTTAATTAGGGCCACTTGCCATGGATGCGTACCGAACCCCGTGGCGTGGCCTCCGACTATTCTATTACTTCTCGTATTGACCTCCCCGCAAGCTGAAATTTATTACAATTATCTCAGAAACGCTCACACTAACATTACAATTTTAGAAGATATTTGGTTAGAATCGAATGTAGGTTTTGTTAGTGGTTAACTTACTAGCGTTGTTGACAACACCTACTTCTGGTCTGGTGGTAGGTGCGTGGGATACTTCTCTATCGATGCAACAAGCCCAAATCATCCCTCCCGAGCAGAGGTCCAAGGGTCTCCCGCCTCCGAGGACGCAACTGATGCTCAAACCGCAGTCGTACTTCACTCCTCTGTAGCGGCATTGCTGAGGAATCACTGAAAACAGAAGACCAAAACCATTTTTTAATGGTAAAATATCGGGATTTTTAAGTAGAAAAACATTAATACATTTGATATGTTATCTGTAATTGGAAGATAAATTAAAACTTTCAACTGTGCAAACCTTCATGTTCACCCACTTATTTGCTGGACATTGTAATGATGCACTTTTACTTTTTATCCATCAGTAAAAGTTGTTTAGCATTTTTTCGCTAATAAATGCGGCTATTATGAAAAAATTTAATAAAGCTCTAGAAATCAAATGCAATGGGATCAGAGAAAGTAAACGGAGGAGATATCTCGAAAGTAAATCGATATCGAGGAAAAACGAAAATCGACCAAGAACATTGGAACAAATCTAATTATTGTTATTGGATGTATTTTCGAAGGAGAGGAGAATCGACTGGAAACACAAAGGTCGTCGATAATTATCGGCAACTACCAAAAACTAGCTGTACGCTACTAATTTACGTCGATAACTAGGTACCTACTTAATTTTGTAGCAGGTACTTTATTGTTTTTTTGACGAAATCTGAAACGGACGGAAAATAAAATTTACAGTTAGATAAAAAAACAGGCGACAATTATTTATGTCGGCTCTTGCACTTTGACTAACATTCTGTTATGCTCTGAAAACTTCTAACAAGTTTAAGTTTGCGAAAAACGTGAGAACGCAAAAACTGAGCGAGATTTTTATCCACACGAAGATATTAAAAAGCAGGAAGTTCCATTAAGATATTCGCTTAATTGTACCTACATGCTTTTTTTGGTAGCTAGACAAAATTATTATTTACTGTTAACGTTTTATAATAATACTAAGTACGTACTTCTTCCCAGCATATCCATAAGAGTACCATGGTCCTTCATGGAAACGCTACCCCGTTTTCCCAAAGTATCCAGCAGCAGTAATTCCTGCGCTTGTCTCTCATTTGGCACCGGTTTCACTCTGATCACTAAAATTAGCACTAGGAAAACGAATCGCTGCAGAGTACCGCAACTCGGCGCCGTCGACATCGGGTCGAATTTTCTTCGACGAAAACTAAATCGCCCTGCGTACGGCCGGTAAATGGCGAGGTTCGATTTCGCGCATTATTTCTTTTTGGTCTTCGTCGATGAGTTTTTTTCGTCCGTCGTCCGAGTCGTGGGTTTTTTCTCTGCTGTGGCGCAGGAGCGGCGGCGTTCGAAGACTTTCCTTACTGCAGGAATTCTTACGGCGGACTGAGGACCGAAGACACATTAAACGCTCGTCTTTGTTTACATGAAGAAGAGGCAATTGCGACAAGTGAAAGCTCTCGGTATTTGGTGGTTTCCGGTATTTTGACATAGGCGGGTTTGGAAATTATATCTTACTTGGAATTGGGCGATATTATAAAATATTTATGAATCTTTGTTGCATTCGAACCGTATCCGGATGTTAGTTCCTAATGTTCGCTCTGATTAAAAAAATTTTCTCGAGCTAGAATTATTTTCTAATTAACACTATCTTGTTTACGCAAAGAACTTTCTGAGAATGTCTACATTAAGATTCCTTCCTTCTGTAAGTGAATAAAAAAATGTATGTTGCACTAATTGTTTCGGATTTCCTCAGTCAGTTTCTACAAATGAAGCCGAGCGATTTTACCAAATAGATCGCGGAAAAAGAAAGTGAGGAGCAATTTAAATTTTTGTTCAGCTTATTAACGGCTCTGTACGAATTGGTATTTTCAATTTCGGACAATTTCTAATCCGAGCGGTCGAAAAAAAAAGTGAAAACCATCGCGAGACGCCCGATATTTTTTTCGATTATCGCAAATAACGCTCTTTGCCCGACTTATTCGCAGTGTGACTTTCGTTTTCGTTTGACAAAAGGTACACTTTCATCACTTGCTATACAAATAAAGTCCATTGTCTACGTGTGTGCAACGATTCACCAATTACATATTTGTTTCGTTAAACAAATAATAGAAATCGTTCAAACATTACAAATTGTAACAATTAATTTTAACACGCTTACAGCGCGACTGGGATGACTGTAAACGTAACCTGCGCGATAATTAGTGTAAAACTATTGCGCATCTTATTCCAACATCTGCAGATACTTCTCTCTGACTGTATGACATGAAAATAAAGCTTCAGTTAAAGTTCTATTTTATTATTTCAATAATTTTTACTAGCACAAATTCTATTCAATTAACCCAGTATATTTCTTTAACTTACTTTTATAAATCGTGCTTAAAATATACTCTTTAAATAAAGTCAATCGATATCCGTTTAGACGATTGCCCAAGCAAAAAAGGAAATTAATTCGGTTAGTCCCAAATGGGTAAGGTTAATTCCTGCGATTCTTATAACAATAAAACAATAAGAGAAATTGCTTTAGATCGATCATTTCGACATAAGTTGTGCTTGCGGGAATTGCAAATAACTTAATCGGTATGTTCCGTGAATTACAATTGCCATTATACCGGATAAAATCGGAGTAGTCGAGATTAGTTACTTATATTGAATTTACTGGGTATTCAAATAATTGCGTTTCTCGTCCTGCGATTTATCAGTTAAGTAACAGAGAAATGGAGGAGAAAATACTTCGGTTGTTTGTTAATTGAAAAAATCAATTTGCAGCCAACAAACGAATATTAATCAGGTTTAAATAGAACGGAGTGGCCGAGCATTGTTTCGCAATTTTTAAATCAATTAATTTCGATAATGAATCGAATCGCTTTCACTTAGCTTTCCTGTCTGACGAATCCGCTGAATGTCGCGGAATTAGATCCATCATTCTCAATTCATGAGTACTTCAATAGTAACGCTTCCCGCAAGATCTAACGCCCTTATCTCGGTGAAATTAGCTCAAACATCCCCACGGGATTGTGTTTTATCAACAGCGAGATTTCAACGATAGGCTTTCTCCGAGTTCCGGTACCGCTATGCCGTTGATACGACGTAACCTAGACCTTCGGTGGAGAAAGTATGTCATTGTGTTTAACCTTCACCTAACAACGCGTTCGCCTCTAATAGATGCGGTAGGCACACACGAAGAAATAATAATATACGATGTCCAATAAACCAAAGGCATATGCGCCTGCAGTTCGGACGCTGTCTTGCTCATTTTTACTTTCCCCACTGTTGTATGTACAGGGTGTTCCATAATGATATGCTAATAATTAAGAGGGTGATTCTTGGACCCGTTTTAAGGAAAAAGCTTCATATGAACCTATGTCCTAAGCGTCTTAACTTTTGAGATACAGGGTGGTAAAAATTTCAGAAAAGAATTATACGTACTTTTTTTTAATAACTGTGATACTATTGTAGATATCTTTATGAAATTTTGCATACGTACGGGTTTTGCATTGAATATTTTTGGAGTAAAAAATGGTACGCCACTGCGTAATGTTAAAATACCATTATTTTTGGAGTTTCCATTCAATTTAGAACAAATCTGATTTCTTGACTTTTTTCCGTACGACTCGCCGTTTCGCATAAAAAAATTAAATGCTTATCTTGGTCTGAGAAAGTGTAGTTAATTTTCTACGCGTGTAATTTGGGTAGCCTATACAGTGTGTTAATTAATTGAGTGCCGAGCATAGACAAAATAAAAGACATCTTTCTTTTTCTATTGGCGATTCAATATAAGCGATACGCCCTCTGGTGGCAGAAAATAGAACGCTTCTAACAGGTATTGCACCATTGTTTTGGTTTTGCATCCATTACGTTCGTTCTGTTTTTGTTTTGTTTTCTCTCGTGTTTGTCTTTATTGTCGGTTTCGTCGCTTTTATAAATCTGTTTTTTTCAAGAACGAATAGTATTAGTCATGACAAAATTAAAGAGTGATCTTTCTTATGTAACGTTGTCAGTATTGTTTGCTATTTCCCCCGAATTATGTAAAAAATATATTTTTGAAATGTTGCCTATATTAAGTGCAGTCTTAAAGCCCTGTATAAGGTTCCCCGATTCTTCGGAAATTAAAAGAAACATGCCCCTGTGTTTTAATCAATTTGAGGATGTAAGGGTGATTCTGGATTGTACAGAAATAAATGTCCAAACGCCAAAATGCATTTGCTGTAGAATAAAATTTTATTTACATTATAAGTCGAGTACAACAATTAAGTTTATGACCGGTGTATCTCCTGGGGGAATAATAACGTACGTAAGCGAAGCGTACGGTGGAAGGGCATCTGATAAGGCCATTTTTAAGCAAAGCGATATAATCTAAATATAATATAAAGTATTACTAATTTATCAAATCCCATATTAGCAGATACTAGATTCATGTAAAATAACTCAAAAAACCCCTAAAACCACATGGCGATACTTGAAGAATAATTTCTGATAAAAAAAATGTAACAGCTCTCGATCTAAAAAAATAATTTATCAAAATTAGTTGTAATATTATATAGAATTAATACTTTACCATTATTGGAGTAATACTAAACAGAACAAGCGATGTGAAGCGTTTTATGAAAATCCCTTGTCGATACCCGAAGAATAATTTCTGGTAGAAAAAAAATGTAACAGCTCTCGATCTGAATAAAATATTTTATCAAAATTAGTTGTAATATTATATAGAATTAATACTTTACCATTAAGTAATACTAAATGGAACAAACGATGTGAAGCATTTTTTCTCCGGATATTTGATGAGGTTCTTCATTAAGTGCGCTAGTTTGTAGACACAAAGCACAGATTTTAATAAGATCAGAAGTCACCAAATTAAATTTTCCACATACAATTATGTGTCCTGCATTTAAAACTTCTTCGCCCTCTACCACACATCTTGAAGAAACTGTCCCTTCAATGTACGCCATGTAGTCGATTATACTTAATCGAGCCATTTTTCTAAAAATGAAAGATTATAAATTAAAAAAAATAGATTATTAATAAATAGAATAAATAAAAGTATAATTTTTAAGTCATTGAGTAATTTGAATACACCATATTTCATAATTTAATTGAAAGAAACGACAAAAAATATATAACCAAACATAATACAATCTTACATACAAATCAGATTGCTTACCAGATTTTTAATTGACAGTAAATTTAACAACTTAAAAACTACTTAAACTGAAATAAATTGTCTTTTAATATAAAAATTGTTCGGAAGAAATTAAGTTATAACACTAAAAAATCACTTTCAAATTCACAATTCGCACGTTAAAACAAATAACAACAAACGAATGAATGCCTGTTACGAAGGTTCCGTTTTTTGCCACGATGGCGCTGCAATCTTAAATTCAGATGCCAATGGTGCCGAAAACTTTCAATAATTGCTATACATTTTAAAATTGCTTAAAACTGAGACTATAACAAGCAACTACATCAGTTCGCTAATACATTCCAAGTTTTAATAATTATGGAATTTTGAGATATAGGGCACGAAATAAAAAAATAAAAGTCATTAGTCGTCAAATTTGTTTTAATTCCAACTTATAAATATGTCAAAAAAATAAGAAAGACAGTTTATATAATGCCAATCTTATTAGCAACATCTAATGCATCGTAATCCCTCGCTAACCTGACGTAAGCCTTCTTCTTGCCATCGGGCCTGATCAAGGTGTTAACTTTGGCTACATTAATATCGTACAACTTCTTCACGGCCGCCTTGATGTGGTGCTTGTTCGCCCGCGTGTGCACTAAGAACACCAAAGTGTTGTTGTCTTCAATTTTTTTCATGGCCGCTTCGGTGGTCAGAGGGAATTTGATGATGTTGTAAGCGTCCATGCGGCTTCTGTGCGGCACGCTCTTCTTCGGGTACTTGGGAGTCCTGGGCGGTCTCAGGGTTTTCGGGCGGTGGAAGTGCACCGAGGTACGAATCTTACGAGCCCTCGTACCATTGGGTCCTTTAATTATCTACGATATAATTTTAAATTTAGCTTCACATGTAATAATTCACGTGTTCGATTAACTTACCTTCTTTTGCACTTTCAAAGCTTTAGCGACCGAAGCGGCGGAGGCGGCAGCGGAAGTCTTCTTACCGACGCCCTTCTGTTGCTTAACGGAAACGTTACGTTTGGGTTTCGTAACGACAGTCGCGGATTTAGCCTTGCCAGCCGCGGCTTTGTCGGAGGAAGCCTTCTTCGCCACGCTCTTCGCGGGGGCTTTGGCCGATTTGCCAGCGGGTTTGGCCGCTTTGGCGGCGGCGGCCTTAGGGGCCTTAGGTTTGGCCGCTGAGGCGGGAGCCTTGGCGGCGCTAGGTTTGGCCGAGGCCGCTTTGGGGGCGGCCGCGGTCTTCGAGGGCTTCTTCTCGGCCGCTTTGCCTGCTACTTTGGCGGCGGCCTTGGGGGCAGGCGCGGGGGTTTTCGAAGAGCTCGACGAACCAGCTGCGGCTCCGGCAGCTGGCGCTGATGCGGGCTTTTTCTTTTCATCTTTTTTAGCAGCTAAAAACAAAAAGGAATACGTTAGAAAATTGTTAACGAATGTGACATTTTGGGAATTTAATATGTACACAATGCCGCGTGGTCAGTCACATAAATAATATAAATAATTCGATAAATGTTGGTAGCGATAATAAATACTGAATTATGTTGTGGAATCACTATTGCTGAATATAATTGCGATTAAATAACACTAAATTTCATAAAACTAACCGGATTTTTCCGCCGATTTTGGTTTAGTAGGTGCCATATTCACGAGGCATACAACAAAAGGAAGTTAACCTACAAAAGTAATCATAAAACGACGGAAATGACATCCACCATCTTTTTCAGCACTGCCAACTTGATAGAATTTTTTCTATTTTTTTGAAACAACAACATTATTTTAGTGTGCAAAGAATTAAATTTACCAGAAAGCTATTTTTGTATAGAAAATAACGTATTTTGTAGGTAAAAATTAAATATACATTATAAATTAAACTTTTGTCTAAATACCAAATTGAATCCTAGCTCGTTTGACATCTTTCAGCTGTCGATTGCCAAAAACATCAGTCTTGTGTCAAAACTTGTGATTTCTACATGTCAACATTGAATACCGAGTGAGTTATTTTTGTAAATAGGTATTTTATTTTTAGTTTAATTAAAAAAATAGTGAAATTTAACAGCCAATTTAGTATTTCCCACAAGAGAATTTTATAATTCAACGATACGCATAACAATAATACATACTTACAGTAATTTTAGCCCGAATACTTTGAATCTGTCATTATTTTAGCCACGTTGGAAGTTACATTAATTTAATATTGTACAAATTTATACCGATTTGTACACGTAATATTTTCACTCTCAATTATTTGTAGGTTGACAACTAACTACGAAAATGAAAGTTAAGGATATTGAACGTACAGCTAACGTAGCTTGGTCTCCAAAAAACCAACATCCCATATATCTAGCTGCTGGGACTGCAGCTCAACAACTAGATGCTTCCTTCAACACCAGCGCCGCTTTAGAACTCTATTCCCTAAATCTCACAGACCCCGATCCTAATTCACAGCCCGTTTGCTCAGTAAAGAGCGATCACAGATTTCATAAAATAATCTGGGGTTCTTATGGAAATACGCCGAACTCTGTAATAGTCGGAGGGTGTGACGGTGGATTAATTCAAATATACAATGCTAATGAATTATTAAAAGGAGGCAATGGTATTATTGGAAAACATGAGAAACATGCAGGGCCTGTACACGCTTTAGATTTTAATAAGTTTCAACAAAACTTGTTTGCCAGTGGAGCAGGAGAATCTGAAATTTTTATATGGGATTTAAATAACACCAGTGCACATATGTCGCCAGGTATGTATATAAACATAATTCAATTATTATATATTTTTAATAAACGTGCTTTAGGTACAAAAAGTCAGCCATTAGAAGATGTGCTATCAGTGTCTTGGAATCTTCAAGTACAACATATATTGGCCTCTACTTTTCCAACTAAATGTGTCATTTGGGATCTTCGAAAAAACGAACCGATTATTAAACTCACCGATACTGTATCTAGGATTCGATGGAAAGTTGTCTCGTGGCATCCAGAAGTCGCTACACAACTTTGTTTAGCATCAGGTAACAACAATTTATCTAATACTTTTACAAACTTACCCAAAATATTTGTGTTTTAGAGGAAGATCAGGCTCCTGTAATTCAACTGTGGGATTTAAGATTCGCTACAGCTCCACTTAAAATCCTGCAGAACCATCAACGAGGCATTCTGTCGATGTCTTGGTGTTCCGAGGACCCGGATCTGTTGGTGTCATGTGCAAAAGACAATCGCATCGTCTGCTGGAATCCCAATTCCAATGTCCAAAACGGTGAAGTTTTGGCAGAAATAGCGACTACAAATCAATGGAGTTTTGACGTTGTTTGGTGCCCGAAGAATCCCGCTTTAATCGCTGCGCCTAATTTCGACGGACATGTATCCGTTTATTCTGTTATGGGCGGTCGATTACAGCAAATACAAACAACTAATAAAATAGCCGATAGCTTCCCCGGAATGGATGGTTATGCTGAAGCGCCAGTGCCTCAACAAGACATCGGCCCTGTTAGCGTTAACTTGAGCAAACCACCTAAGTGGTTGAAGAAATCCGTAGGAGCTAAATTTGGAGTAAGTTGTTAATTCATAGATCAATACATTTGTAATTCATTTTGGTTTTTAGTTTGGTGGAAAATTAATAACATTCGAGCACGATAAGACTGCATTTACCCAAGCAATGCAAAACTTACAACCAGGCCAACAGCCACCTCATATACCTCGGACTGTTCAAATTAGTCAAGTAATAACGGAAGGGGAATTCGTGAAGAAGTCTAGTGAATTGGAAAAATCGTTAGAATATGGCAATTTTACTGGTAATATTTACACAAACAATATTTAGCGTGTGCTGATCTTTTAATAATTTTAGAATACTGCGAGACCAAATCTGAACAAGTGAATGATCCGCATAAAAAGTATATTTGGGACGTTTTGCGGGCCAATTTTCAAGATGTTCCTCGCGTAGAAATGCTAAATTTACTGGGCTATAATTTAAAAACGTACAGCAAAAAATTAGATTCACTTGCCGGTATTGGAACCGACAATAATATCGATGGTTTGAATGAAGATTTCACTAATTTAAATAGGGTATGTCCGTACAATATCCACAAAATATATTAATCTATTTATTTTCTTTCGTATTATAGATAGATGATTTTAATGGTCAAGAAGAAGCCTTTAATTTTGTTAATAAACAACAAGAAAAAAATGATACTAAACCATTTAAAATTAACACTAGTGATGGTAATTTAATGCAATATAATATCAAATTTAAATTTAAAATGATTGTTTTTTGCAGATTCAGAGGGACTTATCGCACAAGCTCTTTTATTAAATAACGTAAATGCAGCCGTTGAGCTTTGTTTCAAAGCTAAAAGATACGCAGACGCTTTAATTATAGCTACTACTGGTAAGCAATGATCCAAATTATTCAATAACAAGCTAAATAATTTGGCTAATTAACTTTCTAGGCGGTCCGGATTTAGTCGCGAAAACTCAATTAAAATATTTAGAACAAAACAACGATTACGTATCAACTCTAATATCCGCCATAGTTTCGGAAGATTGCAGTTTGATCATCGATAATTGTGATATCAATAACTGGAAAGAGGCGTTAGTGGCCGTTTTTACGCATGCGTCCGACAACGATCTGCCCGTACTGTGCGGTAAATGCGCCTAATAAACCGAATATATCGAGCGAATAATAAAATTTATTTTGAAATTTCAGAACAATTAGGTAACAGGTTAGAAGAGGAGAGCAAAAACAATCCGGAATTGCTAAGGGACGCTCATTTGTGTTACATATGCGCTGGTAGCTTCGATAAATTAGTAACCAGCTGGAGCGAACACGCATTAAAATCTACCGAAGCTTTACAGGAATTGATAGAATTAGTCACGTTTTTGCAAAAGGCCATCGAAAGACAAGGAAGACAAGTTAAAGTAAACAGTACCAACTTAAGCATCGAATTGTTAATAATATCTGTGATTTTTTACGTAGATTTCTGGTGGATTAGCGGACTTGTTGTTCCATTACGCTTCACTTCTCGCTTCGCAAGGGGAATTAACGACTGCGATAGCATATCTCGGATCGTCGAATAACGAGAAAATATCCTCTCTAAGGAGTAGATTACAAATAGCTCTCGGTCAAAGCCAAGTGCACGCGCAAGAAATTCGACAACAAAGCCGCAGAGGAAGCCAAAGAACATCCTTCACTAGCTATCCCAATACTAATACGTTTAATAATAATCCGTTTCAACAAACAACAAGTACTAATGCAAACTTTGTACCGCACGTACCTCAGTCACCGAGTCCGAGTAAGGTACTTTCTAATTTGGTAGGGTTAAATATTTATGTTTGTTTCTTGTAGGTTTATCCGCATCAGGTTTACAGTCGAGAAATAAATACGTACTAGATCCGTCGGTTTCTTCCAGTCCATACGATACCCGCGGCCAATTTCCACCTCAACCGATCAACTCGTTTCAACAAGGACCGGCATCGAACAATTTCCCGCCTCTACCTCCTGGGAATTCCTACTACAATTCCGCCCCGGAACCTCTACCGAATCAAACGTTTAACTCCGGGGCGTCGTTGTACAATCCCGCCGCGAATCAAGGCTTCAATCCGGCCCCGTTGGTGCCTCAAACTCGCGGTTTCGAGCCGACTAACAACATGCCGCCTCCGCCGCTTCCTGCGGAAATCGGCCAGCCGGCTTTGAATCCCGGCTGGAACGCTCCATCGGGATGGAACGATCCGCCGCCATTGTCGACCAGGAGCGCCAAGAAACCGGTAAATAGCGCAATTTTTTTACGAATTTTTCTTGTATAATTCCAATGAACAATTTAGAGTTCTGTCAATGAGTTGGTGGAAAGTAATAGTATGGCTGCTTGTCATGCAGGAAATAGGCTATGGCGTAAGGTATGTTTTAGTGGGTTTGAGATTGAGAAGATTTCGCGTGTTTATACTGCTGCTAAGTGTTTTTTTTGTGTGGATTTTATTGCTGAATTATTTATATTAACTATACTATAACAATGATATTCCTCTTTAGCCTACGACTGAGATGTCGCACAGCGAACCAATAACGCATCCTTTGTACGGTACAGCTCCGGTTCAGCCCCAACCTATGGGTAATTTCGGAGATGTAGGTGCTCCTCCTCGTCAGCCATACAGCCAACCCTACTACCCTCAAGTGAGTAAACTCAGTTTCGAACATGACTGTATTACTAACGTATCGTTTCGTAGAATCCTCCTATGATGCTTCAACCTCAACCGACTCAAGCGGACACGTTTAACGTTGGAAATTTCAATCAGAACGCCGTGTCTAACGTTTCTGAACCACCTCAGGAAGTCCACAACCCGCCTAGAACGAGGACGCCGCAAGTCGTTCAAAAGGCGCCCATTCCCGAGGAACATTTGCACATGAAGACCGTTTTGGACGAGTTCAAAGACCAGTGTAGTTGCGCTGCTAACAATCCTGTACGTAAAAATAATTTTTCTATCCAAACGTTTATTAATACCTTATTATTTTTAGCAAACCAAACGGAAATTGGACGACGTAGGTCGAAAATTGGAGACATTGTACGATTCGTTAAGAGAACAAAAGGTATAAAATGCGAGATATTTTAGAATTTGTATTATTTTTGATGTTTTAGTTATCGCCAAATACATTAGCTTCCTTGCACGAAATGGTGCAAATGATTCAACTCGGGAACTACACGGGAGGACTGGCTTTACATACGCAGATGGTTTCAGGGCCGGACTTTGCCCAGTTGGCCAGTTTCATGCCGGGGCTGAAGGTTTTGTTACAGTGCGCTTTGCAATTGCAAGTTTACCTGAGATAGTTTCGGTTGGAAAGGATCAATACAAAAATAACGTTGTTAGCTATAAAAGAGATGGATAATTACATTTTTAATGAGTATAAACCTTAAGTATTTTGTAAATACGAGAAATATATTTCGCTATATTGAACTTAATGTTGAAATGATAATATATAATTTTTTGAATTAGGTTATTGTTGTAAGCATAAGGTGCTTTTTAATATCAACTTATATTCTGCTATTATAGTAAAACACAGGTGTTTCATTTATTTACCAAAAATATGAGATTCTACTATCCATACCACAATCAATAATTCCATAGTAACCATCCCTAACGAATGTTTGTATCAATCCCACAAAACAAACCGAGAATTATCCTCATTTTCGTTGCAAAAATGGATCGTGTCGTGCGCCCGGTTTTTACGTTAGAATTAAACTACAAAATTATACCGGGCCTCGTAACGGTAGGAAAGTACGACGGGACTCACCCTTGCATTACCGCAGCCACTACAACAGATAAAGTACGTAAATTACCCCGCTGTGTTGATATAATTGAAACGCTAAGTATAAATATTCCAGGTGTTGATTCACAGTCCTCATCGCAGGAGTAACGCCACCGCAGGAAGGGTGCATTGGTCCGAATCGAACAAAGAAATCGCTACATTAAACGTTAACCAAACTATAACGTGCTTGACTGTAGGAGTATTATTACCTGATGAAGATAAAGATGTTCTAATTATAGGTTAAACATTTCTAGCATTGTATTAGAAGATGTTAACATTTGTGTTTTTTAAGGAACGAGTTCTCATGTCCTGGCGTATCAAGTGCACGACAACAAGGATGTTTTCTACAGGGAATGCGCTGACGGTGTGAAATCCATAGCAGTAGGATCTTTCAAAGATCTCAAAACCGTGGTAATGGTTGGAGGAAACTCGTCTGTTCACGGTTACGATCACGAAGGTAACGAAATATTTTGGACAGCCGTTGGAGATATCGTCACATCGATAATATTTATGGACTATAACAAAGACGGTTTGAACGAGGTACTTCATGACTCTCAATTCTTTAACTATATTATTTATCGATTTACTTATAATAGTTGGTAGTGAGTTCGGAGGATTTCAATATAAGGATTTTCGACAAGAACGGCTTGCTATCCGAACACGTGGAAACCGAAGTAGTCACGAATTTAGTAGCCCTGCCCGATAACAGATTCACCTATTCCATTTCTAATGGAACAATCGGAGTGTACGAACAAGAAACGAGACTTTGGAGAGTAAAAGTAACCATTCTAATACCGAAATTTGGTTGCAAATAAACGAATTGTTCGTATGTTTCAGTCCAAACATTTCGCAATTTCTATCCACTATTACGACCTCTTGGGGCAAGGCGCGCCTCAATTGATAACAGGCTGGTCAAACGGTAAGATTGACTGCAGGTCCATCAAAACCGGAGAGGTTCTGTTCAAAGATTCGATGAACTGCGGCCTGTCCGGCATTGTTGAAGGCGATTACAGATCAATTGGCAAGACTGATCTCATTTGCGTCTCTTCAGAAGGCGAAGGTAAGTGCTATAACTGTTCAATTAGAGTTATTTCTAAAGAAATGGTTCCCTCTATTTTAATAGGGAATATGTAATTGAAATATGTTGATCATAAATTTCAGATAAATTGGCCTATTATTATAGATAATAGACATTAGAGATAAGTGGGAATTGTTTGTACTTTTAATGTTATATATCGAAAAATGTCAATTTTAGCTAACGATGACATAAAAATTGACTATTTTATTACAAAATTCACAGCAAGATAATTCGTTAAGTTCTCCGAATATCCACTTTGGCAATTAATTATTTTCCATCAATAAATTCATACGCACAATCACTATTAACCTATGCGATTTATGTTAATATTTTTCACATTATCTTGGCAAACATCATAGTTAAAATACCGAATCTATACGTAACAATTAGGTACTCATCGCCGTTGTAACTCACTAGTAGACTCTCGGCGTTGAAATTCGCGAGTATTATCGAAAATGTCCTCGATACCCGGCTTCTCTAACGAAATCAACGTCCAAGCCGGCCTGCCCCGGCTGCGCACCGAGCTATCCAACAAGATCCTGCAACGCAGGGAGTTCTACTTAAACCTGATGGTGGTGGGCAAATCGGGCTTGGGTAAATCGACGTTCCTGAACACGCTGTTCTCGGCCGATATCTACCAGACGCCCGTCGAGCGGACGAACAGCGTCAAGACGCGCAGCGTCCTGCTGAAGGAGGACGACGTCAGCTTGTTCCTGACGATAGTGGACACGCCCGGTTTCGGCGACGCGGTGGATAACACCCATTGCATCGAACCCATCATCGAGTACATCGAAGCCAACAACGAGCTCTATTTCAAATCGGAATTGGGCCTGGCCGAGATCGCCGGCGATCCTCGCGTGCATTGCTGCTTGTACTTCATCCAGCCCACGGGCCACGATTTGAATCAATTAGATATAGCGTTCCTGCGGCAGCTCGGCCGCAAAGTTAAGGTGATTCCCGTAATAGCTAAAGCGGATACTCTCATGTTGGAGGAGCGCGCGTCGTTTAAGCGAAACATTCTAGACGACATCGCCCGAAACGACATTAAAATATACCAATTTCCCGACGATGCGGAAACCAATTCGATGAGCAATAAAATGCCGTTCACCGTAATCGGAGCCAATTCGTCCGCCGTAGTCAACGGTAAAACCGTCAGAACGAGAAAATACTCCTGGGGAACGGTCGAGATCGAAAACATCGAACACTGCGATTTTGTCGCTCTCAAAACGTTATTGTTGCACAAGTATATGCAGGATCTAATAAAAGCCACCGACAGAGATTGCTACTCAGTCTACAAACAGGGCAGATTGCAGAATTTCGTTATCCAAGAAATGAAAAATAAGACGACTGATACAGACGATGCTGCTAATAACAACCTGAAATTAACCCAAACAGCCGAAGAAAAATTCCTAGAAGATGTCGTCGAGTTGATCATTTGAATCTATTTGTCTATATTACAGTGTTCAATTAAAGTTATACCTAATGAGTATTCATTTTTTATTCACCAGAACCCTTCATTATAACAAAAAAGAGCACCAATAAAAGCAGTATAAACTAATAGTTAGTTCTATCTATTTGTTCTGTTTTTTTTCTTTAGTTAGAGGATACACAACGACTAAATCTCTGACAAATTCCGAAGAAAGCGGTGCCGATCAAAATACTATAAGGGAATTGTTGGCTCACAAGCAAGCTCTGCTCATGGAGCTTAGGCACTACGATACCAACGCAAAATTCAACGAGAACTTATTTTACGAGCCGGAGAGCTTCGAAAACGGCGGGGTGATTCCTGCTAGTACTCGACTGGAAATTTCGGTGAGCACTAACGATGCGGATCCGAAAGTAATAGCACTTAATACAGCTTTGGTTTTTCGTGTAATTTTGTAGTTTTCAGCCCCACGTTGAACTCTACTTGTGTACCAATAACTCGACGATCATTCGAGCGGCTATTATATTCGCTGAAGGAATTTTTAACGGTGAAACGCACGTAGTTCATCCGCCTTTATCGCAATTAAAATCTCAGATATTAGTACCATTGTTTTTGCCGAAAGACAGTCCTGTTGATATCCACATTAAGGTTCCTACTATAATAACCACTCCTGTATCTAATAATGCTTTACTTCTAATTAATTACAGGTATTAGTGGGTTATCCAAACAGTAGTCAATTTCACGTGTTCGAAGTAACGAGGCAATTACCGAGATTTTCTATGTACACGCTAAAAGATAAAGTTAGAAAAACCAGCGGTGACAATTACGTTCAATTTAAAGTTAACGAACGGTTGCAAAGAATCGGTCTGTGGATAAATCAGAACTTCTTGCTAAGCAATGAGATTGAATTCGACTCTGGCGTTAATTTGTGCTTGAATTTCAAGTGTCTGAGAGACAACGATGATATGGATATGGTTATGGAAACTACGGGAAAAATCACTATTTACACATCTAATGTTTCGTTAGCAGCGGATTTGGTGCAATCTCTGGCGGCGTATTTAAATATCACCAGCTTAGACGTATGTAGAATTTTTAATCCTAATTTAACTTTAAAATTTAATGAATTTTATAGTCGAAATCATCGTTTCCCCAAGAAGAACAAAAACTAAAAGAGCTGCTAATAAAATTGAACGATGTACAAGAAACGAAACTTCGATTGGAAACCGACGTTGCGGATCGAATGTCACAGATTAGAGCTCTGATCATACAAGCCGAAGATAGCAGGATTAACGATATGTAAGTAAGCTCAATCACAGTCGATATTAGTTCAATTAAAAATATTTAAGCAACTCTTTACCGCACCACTACAACGAATTAATGGCCATTAACGAAGAACTCATAGGCGGTTACAACATCAGATTGAAGAATTACAATGAAAAAGTCGATACGATGAAAACCATCAATACGATAATACAAAAGGCTTCGAGACTGAGAGGTAAATTGGAATAATTTTTCACTTTTTGTTATTTTTACAAGTATTTTTCCAGTCGGTCCGAAAACTTCTAACATGATAAATCTCTGCAGGACGTGCATTAACAACAACAACGTTGAAGGGTTGATACAAGTGATTAGAAATGGTGAAATTTAGCAATATCTATTTATTTTTTTATTGTTTTATTTCATCATAATAATACGGAAAAAGTAGGTAAATAAAAAAACTATCAATTTAAAAACTATCTTTTAAAACTGTTCCATAGTGTTTTCGGGTGTTCGAGTGTAGTTTGGAGTGTAAGGACATTATGTTGGTCCTTGCTGAACTTCTATGTGAACCGAAATGATAAGTTGGGGTTGCTGGTAAGTAGGTAGTCTGTAGCTTTATATCTTTTCTCTATATTTATCACAATTTTGTCAAGTCCAAATACAGTTTGACACATTCGTACGACCTATTTAATTTCATACTCTTTTCAATAAAGTAATACTCTTTTTCAAATTAATTTTTATTAGTAAAAATTGTTTGTATAAAAAAGCGAAATTACTAATCTCCTACCGTTACAATTCTCGACAATTAATTTCATAATCGTTTATCGTATAGCTAAACTTACAATTACAAATCAACCAATTGATTTAGAAGCGGCATTTTAGTGATTCCTAGCCGCCAGCAATTTCCTGTGCACGTGCGGCCACGAGGCGATGACGAAGGTCTCGATTTCGCACTCGTTGGTGCCCCTTTCTATTCTGAAGTAGCCGTCTTCGCCCCAATTCGACCCCCAACTGTTCGCTACCAGCTGGAATAGAAACAAAACGCGTTACAGGCGCAAAAGCTATCCATTCCGAATACTTACCCAATATTTCACCATGCCTCTGTTAGTCCGGTCCTCGCCCCATCCGATTATCCTTACGGAATGGTAGCCCTGCTTGTGGTTAATGCCCATCGTCGAGTGCTTGTAGATACCGCCGTTGTAGGTGAAGAAGTCGTGGTAAACTTTCATGGTAGCTGCGGAAAAAACGATGTAAAAGGTAAGAATATGTTTAATAATAATGTAATTACCTTGTACCGGTCCTGATCTGGTTATTTCGTACATGATATCGGTTTCGTTTCCTAATCTATAAGCCGGGCCTACGGTGTACCTCGCTACTCTGTCGCTAAATTTCGGCCTGCAACCGGCTTGTTGCAGCGAACCTCGCTTCTTAAACGGGCAAGCTGTGTTGCTCGCCACGTAAGGGAAACATTCCTCGTCCACTAAACTGTTAATAATATTAGAAATATCGGCTCTGATTCAAACAAATTAATTCAAACGTACCCGTAAAATTTCGTAAACGACCAAGCTCTGTCCAAGTGACCGCCGCTGCAGCTTTGTTGTCCTTGAGTGTCGCAGGACACCAAGTGTTGGGCGCTGAGTTGTACTGCTTCTCTACCATTAGATACTATTCCATACCTATAAAATCGATGTTAATAAGGGAAAATGAGGTGGGATGAAGATGCTTACCTATCTGAAGCAACAGCAGCTGTAGATATAGCCCAAGAGGATCCGCACCAACCTTGGTCTTGTATACCAGTTATGTATTCGCCCCAACGAATGCGAGAATCGAAATGAGCTGGCAGAGCGTAGGGGTCGTAAATCCTCTTCACCGGGTTCATGTTCATGACGAACCGTTGAGGCGGCAACGTTCCCAATCTAGATATATCGATGATAAGAATCGAAAGTGTTAGGTTCCTTTAAAAATAAAATCTTACCGCAATTTAACACCATCGTCCAAAGTTCTGCCCCAAAATTGCGAGTAATTGGTAGCTGTCCAACCCACTCGGTCAGTGTCCCTATTAACTCCTTCGATGATGCTCTGGTCGACGAGACAGACGTTCGTTTCGCAGAGTAATTCCAATTCTTTGTTGGGCATTTGCTCGCAAACACTAAAATTTTATGTAAGTTTGCTGATACAGAAATAATATTTATCATCTAAAATTACCATTTGTTGCAATTATCTCTGACTTCTTGCTTCCACCGAAGGGCTCTGTTGCCGTATCGGCACCCGATGGCGGGCTCGGGTGCCTCGGTGGGCGGCGGCGGCGGCGGGTAAGTGACACCTCTGCAATGAGACCAATAATCCGGGCAGCAATCGTCGACTCTAGTTACGTTGCAGAATTCGTCGCAATAGCACAGAGTTCCTACGAATAATAATTTAATGGAGCGTTTACAATGCGATTGAATCGGTGGTATTTTACCTAGTATAGGAACTGAACAGGAATCGACTCTGTCGGTGCAACATCCCACGTTTTCGCAGTAAGGACCTCGCAGGTCTGCGAAATCGTCGTTTCGGGCAGCATTTGCGGTCGCCAATACGGCGAGGCTTACTAAAACGAAGCCGATTGCATCGCGATGAAGCATCTGGGACATTAAAATAAAATCATAATTAGTCCTGATATGTTATGAGTAAGTACAAATTTGTTTGCAGTATGGTAAATTCTACGAGTTGAACAAAGAAATGTTATTAAAATAACAGTGGTTGGAGTAAGAGTCTTTTTTGTAAAGTTGTCTTTGCTGCGCCCGAACATTATAAGGATAATTACACATTAATACAATTATTTATTTGGCGTGAAAAAATCCCATTTGCACTATTAATGCAAACGATCCATTATTATTCATTTATCGTATTTTTGTAATACATTATTTTTTCACCAATACTTATTAATCGGTAAGGATTAATCACTGTCCGGCGAAATATTTATTACATCAGCGCAAAAGTCCTTGCGTGCGGCGTTTCTCGTTGAATTTTTATTGTTGGATTATATTTATAGAAGAACTTATCGTTGGCTTTTGTTGGAATTTTAGAATAAATATTCATCTAAATATGTGGAATAAAATATATCGCTTTAAAATATTCTGTGAATAGTGGTCGCCAAGGTTGTGCTGGCTATCTTCAATTTACCTGCTCAAATTTTTTCGACAAATAAAACCGATTATTCTCGTTACTGCGAATAGATGCAACAGCTCATTGAATTTGTATCATTTATTGGAATGCAACATTCTTATCGATTATTTTATTATAACGGTCTGGTCTTTGACTTGCCTCTCGTGTGATTTGCTTTATTTTTAAAACGCATAATAATAATAGCAGATGCCGTTCTTTGCCTGCTATCTTGCACAGGTAAACACTGGTTATTTCTAAAAATTTTGTCTTCCTCGCCTCAAGGAACAATGGGATTCCCTAAGAGTTCCGATAAGCTTTCATAGGCGTAGAGGTTCATATTCAAAAATAAATAAATTTGAGAATCACTTTATTAATATAACTGATTTGAAAACATTAAGGATATAATTGGAAGAGGAAGACACTGGAAGATCTAAAACAATGCAAAAATTTAAAAATAACTAAACAATGGAAGTCACAGGACAATAATAAGAAAACTGCAAATGTGTCTTTATGTTGTGGAAAAATTTTCTTCTATATGTGTTGAGTTAAAAATCTTGTAATGTAGAATTCTATACACCAACCTTGAATCGGTTATACGCTTATTTTTAATATAATTTGCATGTATTTAGCACAGTGTGATATCAAAACAACGTCCATTATGGTAGTGAATTCGATTTGAAAAAATATTCCACGTGTACGCATGTCTTAGCAACGTATTCAAATCGAAGTGATATAATCCCTGTTTGCATTGAACGTTTATTTGTAATATATGGTAATCGGTAGATTAGAAAAATTAATTAACATAGCTCAACAATTATTATATCTTAAGGCACGTTTCTAAATTATTGCACTGGCTTGTAATTCAGCTTGTTGTTGTCGAAAGTTCGATTTTACTTTCGCGCTCCTTCTCATTAGGCGTTATTTTTTAATCCGACTCCAAGCAGATAACATTCCAGTTTTATAACATCACTTCTTGTCACTCTTTGTGGCATTTCCAATTAATTCGCTTTTAAAATTCAACCTTGTGACAATTTAAATATTCTTCGGTCACGATCATAAGAGTTTTGCTATTGATGAACAAATTTTTACAACTACGTTAAATGTCGCAATTATTGCTAAACACTTATAATTTTTGTTGATGACTATTTTTTTTTATAGAGCTGTATAAAGTTCTTTGCACTTTGCAGTAATATTTTTATTACATTTGGAAATGGCGTTATTTGCTTTTTGATAAAATGTTGCGAATAAATTGTTTCTTTGTGTTGAATATCTGCCAGATAAAGAATTGTGGCGCTGCAGAAAAATCGTTGGAAATACCCTTTATAGTTTGACAATCTATAAATTTTCGAGCTGGTACTCGTAAAATCCTTTTATGCCGTTGAGGATCGCATAAATTTTCGTTGTACTCCCACGGTCGCTAATAAAGCAATAAAAATCGATACCGATTGCGATGCCATTGAAGAAGTGTCGATAAAAAATGAAACAGTTCTCCACTTCAAAGGCCCAAGACGTTACGCGTGGGAGGAGCGAAATGACCTTTTTGCATCGTTGCCATTGTTTTTATATTTCAATACTGAGAACAAAATCGACATGTGTATATAAAATGCCCATTGTGCTGCAGTCGTAAAATTAAATAAACCGCATCGGTGCAATGGTTCGTTTTCAAATGCGGTTTTAGTAGCTTTATTTAGCTTTAATGTATCGACCGAAGGCACTAAAAATGTCCCCCCGTTTTCTACGCCCCTGATTCGATTTGCATATTAGTTATGGAATTCGGTGCATCTGTTAAAGCCACGCTCGAAATAATCAAATCGGACCCTAAAATGTTGACACTAATAATTATTGTGTTTGGAGACATCTTCTTCATTAAACCGATGTTAAATATTCCGGTCATTGCGGTTCAAATATTAATAAACCGACATTATTTTTCTTTATTTTCCTTCATGTAGCGATAGTAAATCAAACGATTTCCACTCTAATTGAACTAATGAAAGCTCCATGTTGTACACCCATTAGAAAATCAATAAGGAATGAAGATCATGTTTAATCTAATTAAGATGTCTATAATTTGTTCACTCATTTAAAAATTCATCTGTAAATTTTGGAAAATTATTTTTTATCTAATTAAGCATAAATTTAAGGGATACAAAAATGAAAATTTCTTCAAATTTTGTTGTATAAATAATAATTATTTAGGTACTAATGATAAAAATATTAAATTTAATTTAGAAAAAAAAAGAACAAATTTTTAAAATAAATTTCGAAAGATTTCCTAACAATAACAAAAAAAAATAAGACGCACCTTAACATTAAAAAAATATCGCACTTGGTTTTATCACTATTTGAATTATCAATATCACCGACCAGTTCGCTCCACAACCAGACACAATATGATGCAGAATTTACTTGGGAGATTATGATGGTAAAGTAACCCACTAGTCCAACTTCTTTATTTCATTGCTTATTTTAAAACTTATCAGCTAAACCGTGGACTATGCGGAACGCGTCGATCGCGCGTATGGGGGCCCTTATACAGCCGACATAGGGGTGAAACGAGGGGGATTTATTGATGGATAATTTGATCAAATGGTTATTGATTATTGGCGATTATAATATTTATTGGGTTCATTAAAATTATATAAGTTTAAATTTGAATATTTAGAATATGGTAATAAACACGTTATTAAATTATAAATAAATTATTTTTGTATTTAATTATTTAAATAAATTTAGTATAAAAGAAAGATTGGACGCTGGTTTGACATTTTTAGCAATATACAGGTCGTATTGATGTGAAAATATCCCATAAAAATTAATATAAATTTTTCCAATTTTCTTGTATTCATTATTAAATTGCTTCATATATTTTTTACATATTTTCTTGTATAACTAAAACCCTATAGGATGTTCCATTTATTCACCGACTTTTTTATCTCCTTTATTAATCAATTTATCTATATTTACTAGGAATAAAATTTTGGGCACATTTAAAAACAAACAAGATGAATTCTACTCGTAACAGTGCCTATTGTAAATATTTGATGGGTTATCAGAAGTCAAATAAATTCAGAAAACGAATTAAATACGTTAAAAATTATTAGGTCGAATGTCGAATGAATTCATTTAAATGATATTAAACAAACACTTACCTATTTGTTACAAGATTTTCTAAGACTAGTTATTTCGATATTTCCATGATAAGAAATTTGTTCTATTTTTTCTAAGTATTATTTTTATAACTCGACTGTAGAATTGCAGCTGTATTTATTTATTAAAAAATAGTTTTTTATATAATAATTTAAATTAATTTGATCAGTAATGGTGTCGTAAAAGCACGAAAGAGCCATCTATACTTTGGATTACACACAAACTGTTAGCCTTGATAGGAAATCTGTTCCATATTTGCAATAACTTTTAAATCTTATAGTTGGCAGTACTCTGTTTAAATTTCTCTGTTATTTACACAATTTTTTCACAGAATAAAATTAATGAAAGTTCCAAACTGGAATGTGTTGTGACAGGTTCTGCAAGGGATTCTATTGATTTTTGTGGTACCTAACGCAGAACAAATTCCTGGGTTATTTTTTATACAAGAATAATCGTACCTATATGTTTTTTATACAGGAATATCTATCTAATATATCAATTTGCTTCCTGCAATATAGAAAATATCCATTGAAAGTTGTAGTACCCAATTTTTAACCAATATTTTAACATACTACTATTGATGAAATTTCAATAAGTTTGAATACAATCTGTTAGCAACCTTCTATTCGTAAAAAACAGATAACAATATGATGTAATGTTTTATTTATAAGTATTAGATGTCTACATGTGTGTGATTTTCAAACGATTCTATATAATAGAATTTAAAAATGGGAGTGTTTAGAATAATTACCAGTTCCTCCCGGGCAAAAAACGTTATTTCAATTGGGTACCCAGTTACTCAGTTACCTGTTTCTAATCATATCTACAGGTGTAATTAAACATAAGTATTTGGAATTCTGTGTTAAATCCAAATTTAATATACGCATATACAAAAGGTTTTAGTTGATTAAACCGAAAATAGTACTCTCGTGTTAATTTTCTTATCTTAATCCATCCGAATTATTGAAGCACGTGTTAGAACGTGTGGAATAAAGAGGGTGTAAATTAATGCAATACGAATTTATTATCCCCAAGAGAAAACTTGTTTGTTCTGTCTGTGACTGACGATTTGTCACTTAATTAATTGTCACCAACAAGCTAAAGAATATTTGGTGGTCTGAAGTCTTGGAAGGTGGTCCAAAAAAACCTTCCCTACGAATTACAAATATTGCTTGGACAAACATCAAACAAAACTCTTATCTGACATATGTTGATGTTGTTCTAATCTATTGACACAATGTCTTCTTTGAAAATAACCTTGATGTACGACCGGACTGCCACCAAGCCGAGCTATAACAACGAATATTCGTGCACCTTCGACGAAATATCAACGGTTTAACCGAACTAGCTGGAGTGTGTTCGCGTTTTGTGTTGTTTAAACGGAATGTTATTTTAGTGTTGTTTTGTGGGTACTAGTAGAGCGGGTACTTCGTTGGTTCCGATCGATACGAGATCATTTCAAAATGCCCAACTGTCCTAAATGCAGTAAACCGGTTTACTTCGGTAAGTTGTCATTTCTTATTCATATTAAATGTATACTAAATAAGAAACAACCTTATTAAAATTTTATTGTAGCTATATTTACTATCAATGTTAACACTAATTTTATCTTTATCCACCTACTAATAGATAAACGTAAATTCCTGCACAAAGCGCAAATAACACACATTTGCCCATTACTCCTAAATAAAATATCAAGGTAAATAGTAAGTGTAGAAAGAATAATGAATGAAATATTTATTCCATATATAGTAGCAAAAAAGTTTAAATGTTTCGACCCAATTCGCTCTTGTATATTCCATTTAAAGTGGTGCTTTTTATTTACGGTCAATGCCGGACCTTTACCGAGCGTTACGTAATCGCATTAATTAAACGCTATTTAATAACGAAGCGGTTCCTCTTTTTCGAGAAAATTTAGCAAGTTTAGTCACGCGCATACTTTTCTATTAGTTATTTTCGCGTTCGCGCATCAACGTTCAATAATATCGATAAAATTGAGTCATTGAAATGCTTCATCGTAAATAAGATAATAGTAAAAGATGAGCTATTTCAGCTATGGAATATTTGTAAATTTTGCGCGATTAATAACGGCGTTGATGCGATAATTCGAATATTTTGCCGCTTTTTGTGCGGCTATTTTTTCTTCCGACTAGCCATAACCGTTATTTCAAACACAAGTAAATACGATTGGCTGGTATTTTTTTGTATGTACTGTGTTATGTTTCAAGAATTGCTGCACGTACAAAAATTTTAAAGCGCGTTTTTTGCATTTTAATTCTCGCCTAATTAACAGGGAATATCAAACAATTTATTTGCATTATCAGAATAGCTAAGTAGGTGGAATAAAATTGTTGATACGTAAAACCAGCTAGACATTTTAAACAATTTTTATGTGTTTTTTTTTCTAGCCGAACGTAAGACTTCTCTAGGGAAGGACTGGCACTCGGCCTGCCTGCGCTGCGAGAAATGCAACAAGACTTTAACGCCCGGAAGCCATTCAGAACACGACGGGAAACCCTATTGCAACAACCCATGCTATTCCGCGCTCTTCGGGCCCGGAGGTTTCGGCCGCGGGGGCGCTGAAAGCTACGTGTACAACAAATGATCCTCCCCGGACGCACGTCCCGTCTAAGCGCTTTTCTCGGCACGTTTAAGTATTATTATTAAATTAGATATAAATTGTTAATTTCATAGCATTCCCCATTGTTTTTTACCGCTAAATAAATAGTTACTTTATTCGTATTGGTGGTTTATATTTGGTGTAAATTGGGCAACTGCTTGTAAAAAAAGAAGTTAAATTCGAATCGGGTCTAAGTTCATACTGGTTTCGAAATATTTTAAGTTGGCCTTTTCTGTCACTTTTGATCTGTCACTTTTGATTTTTTTCCGATTTTAATACCTACTAGATGAACAATTGGACTTCCGGCCATCTTGAAAATCGACGTGGTATTATTTAGTTAAAGATAAAAAGTGTTGTAAAATAGTTGTAAATGTAGTGAATATTATTCAAAATAATTGTTCCGAAGCAATAATAAACAAATGATTTGGTCAAATGCACTAGTATGTAGGTAAGTCATTATTATTTAAGGATCAAGGATACGTATTAGATTTTGAGCAAAGACATAACAAATGTCTATAACTAATAATGTCTTTGATTTTGACTTATTATGGTAACAGTCAACAAAATCACCTTGTATATTTATACAGATAAGTAGTGTAAATTTGTTTGCATATTCTATGAGTTGAACAAAGAAATATTATAAAAATAACAGTGGTTAGTTAGAGTGAGAAAGTATCAATCACACAATATTATACTCTTTCTTTTTCCTTTGGAGCTCACTTTTGACTCATGTCTTTGTTGCATTCATATATCATATTGCGAACAAATTTGCATTACTCAGAGAGATTTAAATTTTTTTTATCACCATCCAATTAATTTTTGTGTCACAATTGAAGAATTATATCTAATATGATATATCGGCCGTATAAATAAACGTATAGGAAAAATATAATATCTAAAATAGCCTTTATTTAACATTTCGTTATTTTTACTTAATATGATTTAAAATGTGTCGATGCCGTGAAAGAATAAGCAGAGCGTTCGTCTTCTGCACACTACATTAGTTTGTTTTGCATTGCCATATTTACGCTCCTGTATGTACCTCCTCTTCTTTCTCTTCCTCTTCCTCTTTCTCCACATTTTCTGTCCCAGCTTCCTTTTTCTTCTGCATCTCGAAAAACTTCTTTATTTCTCTAACTTCACTTTGCCTCCCTGATGTCCAAAATTCGTATAATTCTGGCAGATAACCCACGACAAAGCTTGCTTTTTGTCTAAAAATTTAAATATATAAACAAAAATAATCCGGTAGAGGTAGCAGGATTATGGAATTGGGAACTTACCTATATTTACTCAAGATTAATAATCCTTCTTGATTAGTGGCTACGCGCTTCAATTTACCGTCGTAACTATAAATAACGAACGTATATGGATCGAAATAACCGTCGATGGTATCGTAACAACCCTCCGGTATTTCGTGTTTCGGCTGGGACAGTTGCTTTTCGGTACACAGTACTGTCATGTTCTCGTCCACTTCGTCCTCGTGCACGCGCACTGGGAACTGCAGGAAATCTTCCTTGAACACTATATTGCAATTGTCGCCCGTTATGAATACGCTTTCGACTAATTTTCCGTGTCTCCAAGTACCTTCGAGCCTTTGGCCCTTGGGATATATTAACACGCCTAAAATGTCGAGTGTTATAATAAACGAAATTCTCTAGTTTCCACTAACCTGTTCCGTGAAACTCTCCATCTAGGAAGTTTCCTTTGTAAACTACTCCATGTGGGTACTTGTAAGTACCATATCCAGCGAAACCTATAGTAATAAGCGTGTGATTATTTAAGGATATCACTAGATACACAAATATTAATAGAAGTAATAGATGAAAATGTTAAGTTACTCACCTAATTTATCTACTGAGCCAAAAAAGTTGCTACCAGTGGGATAAAACGTGGGACCTACAGTTTGCCTTTTGTAGCCTTCATGATCGATGGGGAAAATGGAAGAATTGGTTCTAATTTTAATGAAAGGTTGCAAGCGATTGGTGTATCGGATTCGCGATTTTCTCGTTTCCGGCTTCTGTAATTCAGTTAAACCGTACAATTCCTGACTTATATTGTTTATGGAGAATCTAACGCCTAATTCGTGTAATCCTTCGTCCATAACTGTAATGTGAAGAAATGCGCAGGTGTATAATGTGCGGTAACTTTGACCAAAAATGCAGTAAATTATATTCTAATGATTTATTTTAAGTTAATTTTGTTTGAACGACAATTCAAATTGGCGAGACATGTCGTACTTACTGGTTAGGAAGATTAATTTGATGACAAGTAGAAAACTTCGCTATTGACACTGGCCTTTTTGACACTAATATTGTACAACGTGTTTCGTTAATAAATGATTCCTTATTATCCTTTACAACGGGTCTTCTAACTTTTAAATAGAATTATAGGGTGTTTTATCAAATATGCATTCCTACTACTCGTATAGCTATTTATATGGTTGCAGTTTAAATAAAAAATTGAAAACTTCAAACGTACTGGACATGGAAATTATAGGGAAAGAATTTACCTATGTGGAACATTTGGAACCAATTTGATGATCTTATATTAACAATTACCAATAAAACACTCGGTTTACAGTAGTTATTTTATGACAAACTTTTGTTAGACACATGCCAATATTAAATTAATTAAAAATTACATAAATATTTATATCTATAATACACATGTTATTGAATAGAAGGTCTCTTCGGATAACCTGTACAATACTTTACTTTCAATTCTTTCCGTTTCACTTTCCCTGAAGGTGTAAGCGGTATGTTATCAATGAAAATTACACCGCCTCGTAATCGTTGCTTCTCTTGCACCCTTTTATCGATATACTCCACTATTTCTTGTTCGCTTATTTTGCCTTTGTAGTTGTCTTCCAACACGATCAACGCCATCGGATGATCGCCATCCTCCTCATGCTTTCTACCTACAAAATTACAATTACTCACTCACATTAAAGAGTTATATTTTCACTTACCCACAACAACAGATTGCCTGACTGCAGGATGATGGGACAGCTCGAGTTCCAGAATCGCTGGGGGAATATGCCAGCCTCTGTACTTTAACATTTCCTTTAGTCTGTCTACAACGTAAAAATAGCAATCTTCGTCGTATTGCACGACATCTCCAGTGCGAAACCAGCCGTCTTTGTCGTATCGATTGGAGAAATCCCTGTTGTAGTAACCGTTCATAACCGTTTTGGATTTAACGCGAAGCTCCCCTGGACAGTTAGGGCCTAGTATTTCCTCCGTTTCAGGATCGACGATCTGGAAGTAATACTTAGATACAAAAAATTGTAATAGCAGATAGTTACGTTCGCTTACCTTATAAGTTACTCCTCTCATGGGCATACCGACCACGTCGGGGTCCTTCTTGTACAACTCCCTCTGGGTTTTGTTGTGCAACTGGAAACTGGCCAGTATACCGACCTCCGTTTGACCATAGCACGGTACAATGTCGGTTTCGGGCAGGAGTTCCTGTAGCTCGAAGGTAATTCGTTTGGATAGCGACGACCCGCCCGTGTTGATCCTCACCAAAGATTCGCAGGACACGTCCGATGGCTTCCCGCACTTCACCAATTCTGTTATCTGGTAAGGCGTCAGAAATACGCCGGATACCTGTGGAACAACTGTTTAGATTCTTACAGTACGTTCGTGCTAATTTAGCTATTTTTATCTTCTTAGCTTAAGATACTACAAAAAGTTGATAAAAGCGGTAACTTACACTGTATTTATCGACTAGGTACCAAAATTCCTTGGCGTTGAAATCGCTCGATAGCAATCTGGTGACGCCAGTAATGGCCGAAAGGAACAATCCCATACCGGAGGAATTCCAATACATCGACCCGTACGTGAGGAAACTGGTAGTAAAATTTTTCCTGATGTAATTTTCGTACATTTGCCTCTGTACATCGACATCGTTGTTCTTCGCTGGCGGTATCAGCGGCGAATGATGGTAGTAATAGTAGTGGTTAATGCAGATGCCTTTGGGAAATCCTGATGTGCCGCTGCTGAAGTAAATAACGCACGTTTCCGAGCTATCCTCGACGGTGATGGGCGCGAAATCGTCTTCTTCGGGCTGGGGCTGGAGGAATTCGGAGAAGGGCGTGTATTGCTCGGTGTCGCCGAAAACAACTATCTCGGACTCCAGTCCGGCCGCCTTGGTGTAACGAACTACGCTCTCTAGGCTCTCTTTTATCGTGAATACGATCTTCGGTTTTACCGATGCAATTAGATTTTCCATTTCTATGTTAGAAAGAGTCGGGTCTAGGGAGCATGGTATGGCTCCTATGAAGAAAGAAGCCAGAATGGGCACGCAAGCGTTTAGATGATTATCCGAACATCCTGTAACTATATCCCCCTTTTTTATCCCTCTTTTCTGTAGTGCTATAGCCGTTCGAACGCTCCTCTGCAGAAGAGATTCGAAGCTGTCTTTTTCCCCTGTGGCTGCTTGTATCTAAAAACAAATAATGTAACTAAATTTTAGTTAATATTTTAGTTTTCACCTGCGCTATTTTACTGCCGTGAGATTTCAGTCTTTGAAAGAATACGTTTCCCACTCCTTTGAGGTCCCCGCAAGGTATGTTCAAATCCTCGGTCCTGATGATGTTCCGCTCTATCCAGTGGTGACTCATTTTGGGTCTGAAACCGATCGAAAAGTCCGCGCGGGTTTAACGTGAGAAAATGGTTCCGATAGCGAGTCGAATCGAATGCAACAATACTAAACGATCCTCGACTATAGATTAACGGGTGATTAACGGCGTTGCAATGCCAAGGTGTCGTCGATGGAGAGATTATATATGAACAAAGTTATTGAGAAAACTCCTATCAATAATATTTTTTCAAACAAAATTAATTATATTTTCTTTTTGAACTTTAAACCCGGTGTTAAAATTTTTATCATTCAACGCTCAAAACAAATAATAATTAAGTCATCATCTGAAATCTGAAACGCTTGTTACTACTAAATGAAACTCGACCTAATTTTTAATGCACTAACCAAAAAATTGACGTTATAATAGATTTGTTTTGTTGCAAACAATGAAATTACGTAACTTACCGAAAAAATGTTATCTCACATGCACCTTGCGTGTTCCACGGTTTAGGTCAAGTATGAGTATAAACACTGCACTCGACTTTATGTTTGATTTGTTAATTAAAAATCGATGCACGTTTTTATGGGTTTTTACCAGCATCAAAACGGAATTACCAATGCAACGATACGCCGATGCAACAGCCTATTTAATGACTGGAGTATGTAATTATTCGACAAAAAGCTATATAAGTTTGTTTATGCAAAATATGTGCGGTTATCTAACCGAGTGATAAATATCCGTTTTATTACGTATTAGACTTTTCATATAGTAGGAGAAAAATTCTCTAATCTAATAGATATACTGCATACAATATATTTCTTGGAGTAATTGAGATTTGTTATGCTTTTTATCGTTTTACGACGCTAAATTTAATTTTCTTAGTAGGTGGCACTGAAAAGCATTTTTTATTTATATTTAAATATTACGCTATGCTTTATGAACTAGATAAAAATGAATTAAAACGATTACATTTCCAATTAGTCGAATTACTAAAACTATTCTATTCTAGTCATATCTTATCATAATACGAATAGATATATTTATACCATTTATTGCCAAATTTTTGCTTAGTGGAATGATTTTGTTTTGTTTCTATTTTTTTCCTAAGAATCACTTAAAATATTAGGAATTTTTGATTTAATCTTTGTACTTTTATCAAATACTGCAACAATAGGAACATAGTCCATCAATCAACATACATATTTGTGAAATGTAAGGTGATAAACAGCATACATTTAAATAGGTACACTTTTGGTAATTCACAAATATTTCCAATAAACTGGTGATAAAATCAACCAACTGTATCAATAAACCCTTTAAAGCAATATAATTAAAATTATCATTATTACGTGGTACTTAGCAAGCTTTTAATTAGCTACTTTACGCAAACAATCTACTTTAACATTCCATAAGTGCGCTATTCTAAACAATACTGTTGTGCATTGTGGATAACCTTTGACTCTACCACTTAAAAAAATACATTAAATTAAATCTCTCCCTTCATAACCAAATTCCTCAAATCCTTCCTGCTGATCTTCCCCGACGGAGTCAAAGGAAACGAGTTCAGAAATTTCACACCGCCTCTCAATCGCAACCTATCCGGAACTCTTTCTTCTACGTAATCTCTAATTTCATTTTCTCCAACGTTACCGTTAGATTGCTCGTTTAGAATTATTAAAGCCATCGGATGATCGCCATCTTCTTCGTCAGGTACACCGATCACTACCACTTGGGCTACTGCCGGGTGCGCAGATATAATCTGCTCCAACATCGCTGGTGGAACGTGAAATGATCTGAACTTTAACAATTCTTTAATCCTGTCCACTATGTAGAAGCACATATCCTCGTCGTAATAAACTATGTCGCCGGTTCGTAACCACCCGTCCTCATCGTAAGTTTCCGAGGAATCTTTGTTGTAGTAACCGTTCATTAGGGAGTTGGATTTGACTCTCAGCTCGCCTTGTTGGTTTGGACCGCAATTTCGTCCTGTTTCTAATTCCACTACCTTCAAAAAACGAATTTAGTCTACCAAGCTGCGCGCCTAAGGATTGAATGATTACTCTATATTTAGTGCCTGGTACGATCAAGCCAACAGATTTCGGTTTGTAGTGTAGGAATAAAGTCTCCTTGACTTTGCTGGTGTTGAAGAAACTCAATATTCCGGCCACCTCCGTTTGGCCGTATCCTTGAAACACGAAAGTGCCGGGGAGGTTCTCTCTTAAATCCAATAAATATTTCTGTTGAATGGATGCGCCCCCGATCAGAAAGCACCAGAGACTCGTGGTGTTGATGTTGTCTGGTCGACCAGCTTTGATCATCGAAATAGCCATTGAAGGGGCTAGAAACAGGGTTGAAACCTGAAAAATTAATTAAGTGAAATTTAGGTAGTTTGTACGGAAAAATTCACCCTGTATTGCTCGATTAGGTGCCAAATTTTAATGGGGTCGAACTTGGCGTGTATGACCTTCGCTCCGCCCGATTGCAGAATACCCACCAAAAATACAATAGAAGATATCCAGTACAGAGTGGCGTATGATAAAGTTACTGCGCCTAAATTGTTGGATTTCCTAAAAATGAATTGGATGTTTGAATAAATCGAGATAGTTATTGATGGTTGGTTTACAGTAGAATGTGACTTTGGATAAGCAAACTTCGATGGCTGATCATTATGCCTTTAGGCAATCCTGTGGTGCCGCTACTGAAGAGAATAACCGCTGTGTCACTCAATGTATCGATTGGTCTAGGTGTGAAATCTTCCTCGTCTTCCAGTGGTTCCAGGAAAGTCGAGAATTCCGTGTGCTTTTCAGTTTTTCCAAATATCACAATTTCCGCTTCGACTCCTAAACAGATTAGTATTGGTTATAATAATTTCGAGAAAACGTGAAAATAAATTACCGGCCTCCTGCAAAGAGTCTTCGATCAATTCGACAACTTCTGGTACAATGAAGAGCATCTTCGGTCTGACCTCTTTCATCAAGTGTGATATGTCTAGAAGCGATAGAGCGGGATCTAATGAAGCCACAGGAATTGCGAGGAATATGCTGGCTATAAAAGGGACAACTGCGTATTTTTGATTGTACGAGCATATTACTATAATGTCTCCTTTAGCTAAATTTCTGGATTGAATGTGACTTGCTGTTCGAATGCTTCGTTTCAAAACTGTTCCGTAGGTTTCTTCTTCACCAGTCTCCACGATGTACTAAAAAAATTGTTTGTTCAAACTCTATTTAGTTTTGGATAACTACTACCTGTGCTATAGAATGTTCATATCTCCTCATATTTCTAAAAAACAATCGTCCCAGGCCATTTTCGTTTGGCTGGAAATCCAAGGGAACGTCGAATATGTAATTTTCATTTTTGTCGGTAATATTTTTATCTTGCATTTTTGGGAATAATGTCTACAAAATACGACGTTACTGTTTTATTGCTTGCTATTATCTAGCATTTCGTTATAACGTTTTCTAGAAAATGTCGCAAAAAAAGTTGGCTAGTACAAGGATTTCTGAATTAATAATGAAACGAACGTTTGAAGTACTTTTCTACTGATTCCGAGTAAAAATTTATGCAGTTTATTATAGATAAATGGCTCATATTATCTAACCTGTAATTATTTCGTCAATAGCTTTAGCGTCTTTGAATATACCATAGATCGAAGCTCTAAATTATTCAGGAAGTTTGGTGTCTTCGAAAATGAAATTTTAATAACAGGTTAAACTTTTAATTATACGTTTATTTGATTTTTAAAGGTCTTTAAAAAATTAAAAAAACTACCCCACTTTACATTTGAAATTTGAAATTTGAAATTTCATTTACCATCCATATTTAAATTTGGTAATAAAGTTTTGATAATAAAAGTAACAAGATAGCCACAAAAAAACGTGCTCCCGTATACATACATATGCTCTGTGGAATATGTTCTTATAAAAAATCTACAATACAAATCTAAATTTCTAACAGAAATCTTTAACTTACCGTTCTCGTGCTTTCGAAAACGTTGTGAGGGCATTTAAGGATTGAAAAGCTCCGATGTCGTGTGCTTTTTTAAAATTACTGCAGGCGAACAGTTTCGAGATCCATTATGAATTATTTACTCCCATTGATTCCTGTGTTGGAGTAATAATAGGAGTAAATGTACAGTCTCCTGCGACATTGCTATAAAAACTTATAATAGACACAATAATTAATTCTCGCTTTATAAATTATTCAATTAATAAATATCTTTCTTCTAATAAGCTTACTGTGTATTTTGCAATTCTTTTTATTTCTTTATGTACTTGGAAATACAAAAATTAATAATTATTGGAAAATAACAATTTTAATGGAATATTTTTTAACTTACACAAATAATTAAATTAACAAGACGTAATTAGACAGATTAACAAACAATTTGGTGTTAAAGGTTTTATGATGATGTATTTAACTATGATGATTTATTTGCCCTTAATAATCTTCATCATCAGGAATGGAAAGGAGACGTTTTGGGAAATTTTCTTCCTCACTGGAATCTTCATCGCTGTCATCTTGTAATCTGAAAGCAACAGTTTTGGTTGAAATTAAACATGCTTTGTGTAAATCGTACAATTTTCTTACAGTTGTTTCTTCTTCACACCATGAATTTTCTTCAGAATGCTTTCGTCCATATCTGTATTTCTGGTTTTCTGTTTTTCATGAGCGTATTTTATGCTAACTTTAGGGGGTTTTCTTCGGGAAGAGATATTTTCTTCTTCGAATGAATCATCTTCTTCTGATGAATCTGGTTTTTCGTTTTTGCAGTGTTTGCATTTTTTAGACTTAGACACTTTTTGTTTTATTTTGGTTTCTTCATCATCATCATCATCTTCATCATCCTCATCAACACCGTTCTCATTTTTGTTGTTATTTTCATCCCCAGTATCTTCATCACTATTAGTATCTTCGTCATCATCTGTGTTGTTACCGTTACCATTGTTTTCATCCTCTTCTTCATTTACAACTTCTGTACTTACTTCGAATTGATTGTTGTTAGCAGTCTTTTTTACATTTTCTTTTTTAAGGGGTCTTTCTTTTTCTTCATTCTTGGTTTTTGATTTTAAATTTGAGTTTTCATCTGATTCTGACTCTTTGTTGTACTTTTTATCTTTATTTTTTTCGGATTTCTTGGATATTTTACTACCATTAGAATCCTCTTTTCGTGTTTCCTCCTTGTCTTTTTTCTTTTTAACATATGTAGGTTTTTTTACCTTTTCATCTTCGTCATCATCATCCTCATCATCATCTTTCTTATTTTTAAATTTCAATCGAGTATTTCTTTTATTTTCTTCATCTCTATTGCTATCTTTTCTAGTTGACTTTTTAACTTCAATATCCGCATTTTTCTTGGATTTGCGAAAATTACTCTTCTCGGTTTCATAGTCATCATCATCATCATCATCATCATCCTCTCGAAAATTCTTTTTATTGAATTTCTTATTATACTTGGAATATTTCTCGTGATCATCATCGTCATCATCGAACTTTTTCTTCCGGCAATCCTTAGTTCTGCATACTTGCTCTTTAACATCGACATCGTTCTTCTGCTTCTTCCATACTTTATCTGAAGCCGCTTCTTCGGATTCTAATTCGTAACGTTTGGACTTTTTGTCTGCTTTTACGAGTAGAAGAAGAATCGAAAATAATATTAGAAATATTGCGCACAGAGGAAGCCTAAAAACAATATAAGTTGTATAAAAAGGGCTGTCTACAATACTATTGTATTGTTTGGTTTTAAATGTGTTTATGTGAACTTACCTCATGTTTGTGATGTGGGCAGGAAACCAATAAATTTAAATTTACGAACTTTTCTAACTTTTTATCACCAAATTTCATAGATGAAATATAAATTATCGCATTGTAGAGTGTCACATTAATAGCACCACGTTCTGTTTATCAGAAAACCATGCGATTGCCAACTTATAAAAACGCATTCGAAAATTCGGGTTTTTCCTCCTTTTAACCGATAAATTGAATTTATTAAAACAGTAAGTTATCCGTCCATTTCTATAGGTCACTTTGTCGCAGATATAGGTGTTAAATAATATTCGAAAGAGATATGCTGGCTTTTGATTTCTTCTGGTGCTAGAACGAGACCGCCGATTTTGCTGTATTTTTAAAATCTGGCACGCTATTTCAAGTTGCGACGCAGTGGTGTCACATGCTACAAATTTTGTGATATTATAAAATTACCATAAAATTCAATATATTATATTTGTAAATAGTTAAAACTGAGGAAGTATCAAGTAAGGCGATATGGAATTATGTGGATTCTAGAATGAAGTATTGAAAGTAAATAACGAAGTAAAATCAATAGATTGGAAGTGTTATTGAATGAAAATGGATAAAAAAAGCTTCATCCAGGATTAAATAAATATTTGCAGGAAGGGCTAAAGATCACTAAGTAATTGTACAAGATTATCTAATTATTCTAAATCAAACTCCGCCAATGTAATGTTTAGTTACAGTAGACACTTTTCTTAATTAATTAGAGATAAGGCACATTCCAAAATAACCATTTTATAAGCTTTGCCAAGTATAACAATTTAATAATTAAATTTTATTTATAACTTTTTCTAATGCGTGCAATCGCATCTTCAGAATTTTATTCGATAGTTTGGTAATTAATTAATCTAGTCGGGATCAATTAGGCTATAGTTTACTTGTAATGTTGAAATAGTAGAAATAGAAAAGTAATATGGATTTATTCAAATTTGGGGAAATATTAAGTTGGGTTTTTATTGTGTTGATCCCTATTTTTCCAATCAAATAGCCGCCAGTGTAGCTACATTACTGACGTATTAACTTCGAAATTATCGACTCTAAAAATAGTCCCTGTAGCGTGGTTTTCCGAAGCCAATCGTACCTTTATGAATTTTCACTAGTTGGCGTTCAAATTCATGTTTGGAAACTGCGTAAAGTTTACTTTCATTATCCCGAAATTTCCCTAACAATATTATTGGACAAATTCCATTTTTTGTAACCTACATATACATAGGTGAGTACGAATATTAAAATAACTATTTCCTACTTGATAGTGTTTGTTGCTCATTTTAATTTATTACTTTTCTTGCATTTAAATAAATGTTACTCATATGCTTTTAAACGTTTTGTTATGTGGTGAAATTCTCCGTAAATCCCTAAACTCGCCAGTATGTTCGCAGTTGCCAAAAATAGCATTTAATAATAAATACAACTACACCGATACGCTAAAATAGAATTTCTTTGTTAATTTATTCCCGACGCGAGAATTTCGCTCCAAAAATACACCCCGAGTGTTTTCGATAAAAACATTAAACGTAAAAAGACATTTTTTTATTGATAATTTATAGTACAGTCGAATACCATAAGTATACATTATTCGTATATTAAGTAATTGTTATAGGTATATCTGAGAGGGAAATTGTAAGGGAATCATTAGGTATAATACACATCACTTTGTATTAGCAATCGGCACGTAATTGGCGCCTTTCTTAGCATCCTGTTCTTTGAGGATAAATTTAAAAAACTCGTAGGTCGACCAGCAAATGGCCGTAGAGGGTACGGTATAGGCCACCCGGGCGGACATACCGCTCGAGAAACCCAACAAACCCTTACTCTTGTAAATGGTACTAGCGGCTTTGAACAGCCCTACCGTTCGCTGGCCCTCTTGTGTATTGAGCAAGGTTTTGCAAACGTCCAGTGGATTGGTGACGGCGGCGGCCAAACCGCCGGCCACGCCGCCGCTGACGACGTGCGTTTTAGGATTGTACGTCCGCTCCTTGTTCAAATACTGCTGGCACAGTTCGTAGGTCATGAAATGAACGCACTGAAAAGGCACATTCATGATTAACGTGGTACCGTACGATCTATAAAAAGCTGTGAGACCTTCGCTTCTGTATATGTTTCGGGCGCATTCGAGGGCCGTCCTGCACGGCGAGTTCTTCATTTGCATGCGCTGCTTCACCACCTCCGAGGGGTTCATGACGGCGTCGTGGAAGAGCGTCGCCGTCGAGCCGGCGATGCCGTGGTAGAAGGAGTCGTGCAGCCGCACCACGCGCCTCGTGTTCTCCTTGAAGAACTCGTAGCTGCTGAAGTAGAGGGCGTGGGCAGGGCCGGCGGCCACCGCGACCGCCGACATGCCGCGTATCGGGCTGAATATGCCCTCGGTCTTCACCATTTTCATCAGGACTTTGAATATGTTCGAGCTGCCTTTGAACGATATGGATTGCATTCGGGTTTTTACTGTATCTATCGGAAACATGACCAAGAATTCCATGAATCCGGCCATCGCGCCCGCTGAGAGGTGGATGGCCATGCTGTCTGTGTTAATCGATTCATACTCGTCTGGATTCATAGAGTATATTATTGGAATTTACACAAATTTTGTTAATTTACTATATTTAACTTACATTTAGGACCTTTATTGACATTGATTTATACATTAAAATATTTTACGTTCGTAAAATTTATTATGGGGATTTTTCATTCACTTATCAGTGCTACCACAACATTATACCATTCGAATTTTCCAAACACAACAAACGTTTGGTTTACTTATTAACCGACCGCATTTGATTCTTTACGACTGCATGTCGAACAAATCGTTCACCGATTTTTTTATCCTCGCAGAGTAACGCCCGCACATTCAAACAAAAATCTATTTCAATCCACTGGATAAATATATCCACGACTCGTACGCCGCTGACCGCGAATCGTTGGACTTCCCGTTGGTTATTTTTAGCCCTTCTAATTGCTCCCGACCGTTCATTTCGGCCTTATCTTTAGGCGCTTTTCAGCTCTAATTCCTTTTTTTTTTTCGTGCTTTCCAGGAACCGCGAACATGGGAAGCGCTTCCAGCTCGAACGCCTTCGAACGAAACGACGCCGACGACGTTTACAGGGACCCGTATTGGATCAGCGACGCGCGGAGTCCTTCGGGCGCAGCACCGGAATCGAATCGAAGCCAAAATCGAAATTCGCCCGAACCTCACGCGAAATTAGATTCAAACGAAACCGGTGAGTACTAGTGTATCAATAGTTATCTCTCCGTATAAACCAGTAACATTAGAAAGCTAATTAATTCGTGCTATAAGTAGTAAGTATCTGTTTCTTATGGTTTCATTTAACATTTATCGTTCATTGAGTATGTAAGTACAATAATTTAAATGAGTCATTTGAGTATTTTTAATTATCGCTATGAAACAATTCCACCCAGGAATGCCTGAACTTGCCAAAAGAGTGTAACAATCACGCGCATTTTCATCTGCGCCTTTTATTTTTTACGCGCTAAATGCACTTCTAGAAGCATCCGAATGTTTATCTGGGTAATCGAGGCTTTGTTGTCTTCAGTTTCGGCGAGACTTAGCGAAGAGAACAACGCGAAATTGGACGAGTTCAGGGCGGAGTTGGAACGTAAACGCGAACAGAGGAAAGCGATTATCGAGGAAAAGCGGAAGGAGATGGAGGAGTTGAAAGCGGAAATTGATAGATTGAAGCGGGAGAACGACGAACTGAAGTCGCCGAATATAAATCCCAGCGGGGAGATGGACCGTTTGCTTAAAGAGAACGAGGAACTGAAGAACCTGTTGAAGGAAAAATGCTCGATAGTGGAGGAGAGTGAGTTTTTAGCGAACAATAATCGCGAATTGAAAGGGAGTATCACCGAAATGCAGGATGCCCTGCGACGATTGAACGTGGAAGTTTCCAATTTCGATAAAGAAAGGGAGAATTACAAGAAGCACGTCGTCGCTTTGAAAGACGTTATTGCAGTGTCGAAAAATATGCTCCAAATAAGAGAATCGCAACTAAAAGAGGTAAATATACTCCCAAAACATCTTCTAACTACTAACCATATTCGAATTGCAGTTAAAGAAGAAAGTAGAAATTATCGAGCAGACGTTAGCTGACAAAGAAATGAACGTCATGTCGGACGGTTTGCGACAGGAATACGAACGACAAATCGCCAACATGAAACGACTCAAAGATTTATACGAAGAAAGAAGAAGAGCCGAAAGAAGGGAAAAAGACGAAATTTCCTCGCAACTACAAGACGCTAAAAAAGATTTAGAACTCCAAAACAAAAAAATTAGGTAATATGACGTACTATTCGACCAATTCCTATATACATATTATTTTTTTTTAGTGAACTAGAAGCAAGAATTTCCGAATTAGAACTCGACAATTCCAACAAATACGACTCGATCAAATCTCTCGAATTAAACCTAGGCCTTAGTAAGGCGGAAAATCGACAGTACCAAGAGGAATTATCGGTAATTAATCAACTATTTTCCGAAACGTTACTAAAATACAACACCAGCCAAGAACTAGACTTGGACAAACTACAAAAACAACTAGAAGACCACCATGGACTCCTCAAAGATATCGTAATCAACGAAGTATCCTCAGAAGTTTCTTATGCTCTACCGAAAGTACTACTGGAATTAATTAACCAGCTAAACGATGTAAAAGATACCAATATTAACGAACAAACTGAATCAACCAACGATCCACAAGGTAAATATTATTTATTATTTAACTGCATTATATTTTTAATATATTTCTTCAGCATCTTCGACCACAACAACTCGCCATGAAATGAATAGCGCCGAGGAAATCGTACAGAATCTTCCAAAAGTGTGGCGTGTTCTAATAGAGCTTCTCAGTCACCAAATACTACCAAACAATATACTAACCTACGACGAGGAAACTAATGAAAATCCTTGTTACAAGGAAATCGAAACGGCGAAAGGAACTAGCCTGGTATTGAGCGTTAGCCAAACGTTTATCAGATTAAAAGACCTCATTGTCGAAAAAAAATCGCTCGAAAAGGAAACAGCGCACCTCAAGCACCTGAACGGCCATTTGGAAAACCGTCTGCAAGACCAAGAGAAACGATTGGAGTTAGTTCAAAACGAACTCTCCAAAACCTGGCTAGTGGTAGGTTTCCTTAACACACCTATTCATATTTTTTTCTCTAATCGTGTTACATTCTAGGTGGGAAAACTCCAAAAGCAACACCACCTGCTCCACACCCAAGAGAAAATCCTACGGTACGAGCTGGCCCAGAAGCGCAAGCTCCTCAACGAGCTCAAAGCAGAGCTGGAATACAGCAGGGAGAAGTGGACGCAGGCCCGAGAAAAGAACACCACCACCGAGGAGCAATGGAAGCAATTACGAAAGGAATTCGCCAGCAGGAAAAACACTACGACGTTCGATGAATTCAACAACAGCGCCGAAAGCGGTTACAGCGACGACAGAGAAGGTTCCAGTGACGATGAACCAGGTTATGAAACGGACGTTTCGGAATGCGATAAGAAGATTCCTGTTGCTTCAGCGAGCAATGAAAATGCTGGTGCTATTGTGGAAGATGTTGAACTATCTTCCACCGAAGATCAACCAGCTGTTTCTAGTACTAGTTTAATTCCTGACGAAGCTAATTCGTCTGAATTGAGTGTGAATGTGTCAACAAGAAAAGATGAAGAATCTAAGGACTCGGTAGTGTTAGAATGTGGTAGCAAGAATCCAGTAGCTTCAGAAAGCGATACTGTGGAAGGTATTCAAGAAGAAAACGTACCAGAATGTTCTTCTAAGAACCAGCCTGGCACGTCTAGTTCTAGTAAAGTTTCAGCTGAACCTAATAGTTCTAGAGTGGAATCAAGTTTGAGTTTTGATGAAATGATAGCAAGAAAGGAAGAACGTTTAAGGAGATTGGAAGGTCAAACTACGGATTTGGTGGCTCAGGCTGCTAATACAGCTAGCCGCAGTGTAGAAATTTCGAATAAATTAGATACTCTGCACGAAATATACGGAGAAAGTAATGAACCTTCTGATAATACAGCAGGCGATTCAACTTCGGAAGAATAAAAGTAAGTCTGAATAATATGGTTTTTATTGTTCCAAATGTTCTACAAAAAATATATACGTTTTTTATTATTTATTGAAATTATTAACATTTAGATTCATTAGTCTTAACGAGTTTTATAATTTAATGGTATTAGAATGATACTGTTCGACGTTTTATTAACTTTCGAACAAATATTTTTTTAGAATAGCTTTAAATAATTTTGTACACGTAAATAAACACTATTTAATAAACAATACGTACAGTATTAAATTATTTGGAATGCGAAATGAGCCATTTTATGGGCGATCATTCGATTATAATGTAGTAGAAGAGGAAGACGATGAATAATAATAAATGATGTAGCTAAATATATTGTATATACATTTATTTTGCATCTTGTACATTTAATAAGAGGAAAATACATAAAAGCTGTACAATAAACTATAATCACAAAATGTAGAGAACGAGGCCGTTCGGCCAAAAGTTTGTTGAGAGCAAGCACTTTTCAACACTTTTTCACTTCTAATCGTCTTTCAGCATACTGAGTGGGTTCGTTTTTCCAGCCCTCGGCGAAGATGAAATGCTGGGAATACTTGAAACGCCTAGAAATCAACAGATATACACCATAAAATTTGCCACGATAAAATTTTCCAAACTCACCTTGCCTCACGCTCAGGCACTCCAACCATTCGGTCATGCTAATCTGCCTATCTTTGTTGGTATCACAATACCTGGGCAGCTTCTTTCCGCACTTCTTCAAGCCCTTCACGCTACCCACCATATCCTTGAAGGCCTTCCATTCGGTCTTCTCCAGCATTTTATTCTTGTTCTTGTCCAATATTACGAAACTCCACGTCGCCACCTGCTCCTCCTTCGAGTCGATCCAAGCCAAATTGTTGAAGCTGCGCATTATGTTGATCAATTAGTTTTTAGAAGGTGTTTTTTTGTTGGGAACTCACCTGGTGTTCGTGCCGTTAATAATTTCGGACATCTTGTTGTGCAGGAAGTTCAGCAGTTCCTTTAGGAAGACGAATTTTTTATCGTCTGGGCAGCCTTTCATTACGCGCGTGTTGGTTTTTAGGTGGTCGCAATTGGGTGTGCCATTTTTCACTGATGTGCCGGGTATGTTTTTGCCCGTGTCTTCGTTAACGCACCAGCAATAACCAGCTGATTTGTAACATTGGATCTAAAATGTGTGCGAATTGTAGTTGAAAATTCCGTGTTTTTTAATTGTTTTCACCTTTTCGTATCGTCCATCGGGCGTACACATCGGTACGTATATTTGGTAGCCTTCGGATAGCGCTGTTTTTTGGTCGGATAGGCAATCTGTTGGTTCTTCTGATACCTCTGAAGTGTCCTCGTCCATGCTTCCCATGGATCCCAGCGCGGAATTCAAAACTGCGCAAAGAATATTTGTTTAATGGAAACGTCGAGGGGGAATTGTTAAGAGCTCTCACCTTCGTGCGGCGTTGATTTTCCAGGCGCGAAAGGATCCTCGTAGTCGTCGTCGTCTCCGTTGTTGTCGTCGTTGGATGTGTTCTGGCTGCTCCCATCTGGATTCAGCGACAAGAACACACGCAAAGAGACTATTTAAGTTCAAAACAAAGTACGCGAATTCTAAACCTAACTAGGTTAGTGCTCATCTATAGGAGGAGTTAAAAAGCGACTATAATTTTGTATAGTTCAAAATAAAACATTACTTGGAATATTTGGTAATGTTTTGCTTTTGCGCAATTGGCAACGGCGCACGATCTGCGTATGTCATGTTTTGTGGTGTGACAACGTCAAAACAATGTGCCGTTTTTGACGTTGTGAAAACGCGAAACTTGACATAAGCCGATCATGCGCGGTTGTATAAAAGCGAATATTAATATTTTGTTTTTATTTATGAGTTGTATCGGTGTTAATGTGGGTGAAATTAACTACAATCTATCTACGCTGATTTCGGTCGCTAAACAGGTAAGTTCTTTTATAGTTTTAACAAATCAAAACGTATATTATTTTAACTTACCGTCCATGTCCATGCGTCCGTCCCTGGTTATACAATCGGTCCATTCCTGCAGAGCGATTCGTCCGTCTTTGTTGCCGTCGCAGGACCGGGGAAATTGTTTAGCGCATTTCTTCGGTTTCACCATCTTTCTAACCACCCGTCGGAAATCTTTGTACTCGATCTTATCTAATATCTGATCATTGTTTCGGTCGAGCATCCGGAATTTCCACGTCAAAACGACGCTATCGCTCTCGTTGTGACCGGATTCCCTAAAAAAAATCAAAACACATTTGAACGTATTGATGATAATTCATTAAAAGTGAAATGTGTGTTGCCTAACTTTAGGAACAGTACACCGTACGTCAAGTGTTTTTTTGACAGGTGACATTTTGCGTCTTGGCAAAAAATTTTTGAAATCCAACTAGATTTTTTTTCATAATTACCTAGCATATTCCATTTGAAAATTGTTCAACAAATTGTTATTCAAGGCGGATTTTTCGTTCCTTTTGCACATCCTGTTCCTCTGCTGCCTTCGATGGTTCGACGGCGACGATCGCCTTCTGTTGGTCTTCTTGCGGCCGCATTTCGGCGTCCTGTTGTCGTTTTTCCTCCTGGACAACGTGTACGGCAGAGGAATACCTTCCGGCGTGACACACCAGCAGAAATTCGCCGCCGAATGGCACTGGGCCGAGTCGTAGGAACCGTCCGGCCGGCATTTCGGCACGAAACTGCAACGCAAAAACCCCAAGAAATCACCAAACAGAACCAGAAATTAACACAAGTAAGTACAATGTTTCAGATAATTAGTTTTACCTATTGTTGTAGATCGGGTTTTGCTCGTTGAAAGCGCTCCATTCGGAGCAGAGTCGTTGTTTTTTGCAGGTGCCCCTTTTGCTGATCGTCGCGTTTTTATTGTGGCAACGCGCTTTTTCGAAAATGCACCTATTCGGGTAGGTGAGCCCGTCCGATCCGCATACCGGCTTCGGATTGTCCGAGTCCCGTTGACACGCTTTCGGGTTACAGGGCTCCTGAAAGCACGAAACAAATCAACGCTAACGGGCAGATCCAATTTGGCTATGCAAAAACGCATCGTTAGCCGATTAATTTATTCATGGGAAATCGCGGGGCGGTTTCGAGTTTATTGCGGGTTCCCTGTCGGCCCGACATACGAGCCGTACGGTGTGATGCAAGGTTTTACGATACAGGTGTGAAAGTCATTGTATTCGAACACCTGTTCACAATAGCGGTCGTTTCGGAATGTAGAATGCAGACCCGAATGGAACACCTGGGAAACGAAGAGAGTTTCTGAGGTTCTGGCTCGTCGCGTTAACTTCGATTCCGCTGCATCGAGTGGGCAGGCGATGCAGGGCGCGGGAGAGAGTGGGACAGTTAATAGAAATTTAACCGTACTAAAGTAAACGGTGTTCAAAATCACGTTTTTGTATCGCATTCATGCTGTTATTTAACTACTATAAAGCACAAACAAAAATATATAAATTAGATGGAATTTGTTTGGGTGGGTTACGTGCGCCTATCGCCCCTATCGTTTCGCACTCCTACGATCTTTGGCAATTCTCACCCGACAAAAGAATCGATTTCAAGCCGTCCACTTGTTACAGACCTGTCTAAATCATCTAAGCCAATTGTTTCCATGAAAACCGTGACACTACTGTACAGGATGGACCTCGATTAACACGATTTTCAACATGGTATTGACAAAAAAATATTAGGAAATTCACAATTGTTGTAATATATGCGTAAAAAAACTCTTGCAAGTAAAGGGTATAATTAAAGAGGCACCGATAAATTGAGTAATTGATAGGCTACGTGGTAAAGCGTTAATCTCGGTTATAAGAACGCACCAGATTATCGCCTGTAGTTTCTTTCGAATTATTGTAATAATACCGTGACAACTCTGTATAGGCTTTTTAGTCAGCAGCACTTGAGAAGCGGTTTGACTTCTCTGTTGACCCCTGAGAAGAGAGATCTGAATCTTTTGTATACCTATATTCGAAAAAAAAAATATGTTTGTGTCTTATGTGATTTGTATGTGCATGCCCTGCAGGGATACCGTTTTCGTTTTTGTTTTATTTCCATTCGATTTTCTAGTGGAAAGTTTAATTTATTTTTTTTTCTCATCGACATTGTTAGGTGTTTAATTAAACGCCCTGTATAAATTTTACGTAGGTATAATAATGCGTGCGGATGTAAGTCAATATACTATCAAGTGACTAATAATGATTAGGTCACTGACTAGATAATGGTAGAAAATCAAGAATACTCGGTGGTCAATTGCGAGATGAGATATACGAAATTAGCGAAATGAGATAAAATTAACTGTTCGAATTCATTTGACGTTAACTAGATGCACCTATAATTATTTAATGATATTACATTACTACACGGATCTTTTTTATTAATTTGATAATAATTCGCATGAAGACGGGACGAGCGTTGATTAAATGAAGACGAATGAAATCTTTTAAATTTCTTGGAAGGAAACGGAACTTCCCGATTTACGAATACAGATATGTGGGATGTAAAATGCACGTACTTGTAATAAAAGTATGTACACCGACATTATTCACAACGATGAGCACGCTCCGTAAATCTGGACCCATTAATCATAGCTAGAGATTAAATAATGATGTTGCAAACCGCAACAAAACCACACATCTTTATCAAAATACTATTATGTAATGTATTATTCACTATATTTTTTATTGCCTATAATTATTATAAATGGCTTTTATGTGCCTTAAAATTTGGAACTTCAAGTTCTATATCTGCTCTTTTTTTCATACTCCTTCATCCTCCCGCTTTTCCTTATTTAACAATAGGTAATTAATATTTTGTAAAGAGTTCATCTAGGAAAAATGTTTAAAGGAATATTCATGGTGTTCGGCTGACGGGCAGGCGATTTGCATTATCGGAGTCCATTTAAATTTTATATATGCATATGTATAAATATTTTTTACGTTTTTTAATCAGGAATGACCATTATTAACTAAATACGAGTTTCGTATGTTGCCGTGATGCATACAAAATGAGTGGCTGCATTCCTTTAGCTCCGATAACGTTCGATTTTTATTTTTAGGTGGAATACGTTCGCAAATTTTCTCTACTGATTACTTTAAAACCTATATACGATTTCTTAGAATTTCGTCTACCAGATATATTTTAATGGTTGAAGTTAAAATAATAATCTGAACAATAATATTTTTATTTTAAAAGTTAATTTTAACGCTTTGATTTATTCGAGTTCGAAACGGTTTTTGAAAAGTAACAGAACACTTCCATTTTTATCTCCGTTATTTATTACACCTTATTAAATAACGCAGATTGAAAAGGTGATGCATTAAAAATTAGGTACAATTAATAATAATTAATAATTTGGTTAATACGTTTTTTTGCGAATTTTTCGAATTTAAAAGATTAGTTTTTGGTAATGATTTATTTTCGTAATTTGTCCAAAAAAAACTGGTATTTATAATTACTGTTTCGGATGAGAAATTATGAATAATAAATTAGTTGGTAGATTAGGTTAGAAATAAAATCGGCGGTGACTTCACAATGTTGTAAATAAATACAGTGCGCTGCAAAGTTTTACGTATCTACAAGATCCATTAAATTTTATAGTAAACAAAATTTCACTCAAAGCATTTTTTGATCGAAATTTAATAGAAAAACGGTCATCGATTTTTCTCTGAAACAACGTCTTGAACCCTAATAAATTAATTTAATTCCACCACGGAATTTCGAGATAACCACCGTAGATAACCGCTAATAATAATCTATTCCTCGGAAATTATAGTGATTATTGACATAAGCAGAATTGGGACTTTTCGGCGAATTATATCAAAAAGCGGTCGGTTGTTAAATTTTTGAGCAACTGCAGATTTTAGTCGAACATAAAGATAAAATTTGCCAGAATTTCAGTTTGTCAGTTAATTTCACGAATCTTATCCTAATCGAAAGTATATCATAACAGACCTACATTACTGCAATTATATCCAATATTACTCTATAAATTTATAAACAACATAATTTATGAATATTTAGTCGCCATAAATTATTATTTAGATCGCTATAATAAATATCGTAATGACAGAATTTTTTGTATCACGCGATAATACCTATCTGTTTATCTTCCATTTGGCCTTCAATTATCCACACTTAGCGTTATATCGACACTTTAATTTAATTTCCGCCTTCTCAATCGGGGTGAAACAATTGGACATTCTACGAAAAGAAATTTTACCAAAATAAGGAGATTAATTTAGCACAATGGCACAATACAGAATGCCCATCTATTTCAATGGCTTCTATCGTAGGGATTTTTAAACAGCCGATATTTTTGTCGGCTTTAACACCAGATAAAGCTAGCAAGAACATGGCGAGATACTTGGAGGTATATTCTTAGAAATGCAAAGCCATCGGGGCCAAGCTGTCTGGCCTGACCACTTCGGGTTTATAGTCCAAGAGATGACTTATTTATTAAAAAAAATCCCTCGAAAAAATTCCCTTTGTTTAAAATTTTCTTCATTAACAAGGTATTACAAGGCGCTTGTTTAGTATATACTTTAGATTATCCCTTATGGTTTTTGGCAAAAAACTTTGTACAGCTGATTATTTCTTCTTGCGCAATAAAGCTTTTAAAAAACAATCAATAAAATATAGAAATTAAAAGTAGGGAGAAAATAGAATAAGTTGGAGAGTAAATTAATTGTATAAAATTTTGTAGTACCAATGTCACTACGGCGGATGGTTGATGCACGGTCAGTTACCTGTATACTTATATCCCTAGAATAAAGGACTTTTGTGAACGAGTTTCCATTTCCATTTTTGTAATCGCTCTTTTACCGTACAGTTTTCATAATGTGTAAAGTTCATACGTAATACTTACAGGTCTTATCAACGAACTATGCCAGATATAGAGGAATAGTTTTGGACCATTAATTTATGCCTAATTTTAGAACTCCATAAATTGAACCTAATTACTTAAATAGTGTGAATAAATAATCTAATTAACATGTTTATAATATATTCAATTTCGTTTAACGCTCGATTTGTTAAAATAATAATTACTGATTTATTATTGCGGAGTTGAGATAAGGATTACAAATCGAATTGTGAACTTCCTAATGTTGCGTGTCCTATTAAACTTGCTTATGAATGTTTCAGTAGATACTTTTTAAAAAAGCTGAATTCAATTGTGTTTTAATGAAACTACTTTTACTAAATCGTTAATAAATTATCGTACAGTATATACAATCTTTTATGGATGCGAGTACGATCTCATCTAAGTTTTCATACAATGGATACTTTATCAGTCTTCTTACAAGAGATGTCATTAAAACGTTTAACGACTAATTAATTAAATTAGCTATTAATGTCTCCCAATAGGGTACACACACTTTCTCGAATACATATACACAGTAAATTTTTTAGTGTTTTCATACGAGCAAATGCAACGACACCAAGACATTTAAAGGCTCAAAGATTTTCGAATAAATTGGAGTTGTTAAAAGAAATTACCGTAGCGACGATCACAGCAAAATACCCCACGAAAGGGAGGAACGCACTCGACCACATTTCCGACCGTCGGTCGTTCAATTCATCACTTCCACCGAGAGGGCGAGTGGAGGAAACCGACGAAAATTCACCGGGCACTATCGCGGAAAAATAATGGTCAGATTGCGGGCGCTCGTTACCACGTGCTCGACATCGTCCGGACCACCGTTAGAGCGACGTTCTTCGGCCGGCTCGGTGCAGCAGATACTGTTGCTGGACGGCCGCTGCCGCCGACCGTGCGGCCCAGGACGCGGGTCGAGAACTCACGGGAGAGGCGAAAATCAGAGGACGTGCGGGGCTCTTCGGCCGTCAGGTCAAAGCGAAAAGTACAAAAAAAAATGTTGGAAAAGTAGAGAGAAAATATGTGTTGGAGAAGTAGAGAGAAAGAATCCGTTAAAAAAGTAGAGAGAAAAATGAGTCACAAAAGTAGAGAGAAAGAATCCGTTGGAAAAGTAGAGAGAAAATGAGCTGTAAAAGTAGAGAGAAAGAATCCGTTGGAAAAGTAGAGAAAAAAAATGAGCTGTAAAAGTAGAGAGAAAGAATCCGTTGGAAAAGTAGAGAGAAAAAAAATGTGTTGAAAGGTAGAGAGAAAAAAAATGTGTTGAAAGGTAGAGAGAAAAAAAATGTTAAAAATGTAGAGAGAAAAATGAGTCACAAAAGTAGAGAGAAAGAATCCGTTGGAAAAGTAGAGAGAAAATGAGCTGTAAAAGTAGAGAGAAAGAATCCGTTGGAAAAAGAGAAAAAAAATGAGCTGTAAAAGTAGAGAGAAAGAATCCGTTGGAAAAGTAGAGAGAAAAAAAATGTGTTGAAAGGTAGAGAGAAAAAAAATGTGTTGAAAGGTAGAGAGAAAAAAAATGTTAAAAATGTAGAGAGAAAGAACCCTTTGGAAAAGTAGAGAGAAAAACCAGCTGCAAAAGTAGAGAGAAAAAAAATGCATTGGAAAGGTGGAGAGAAAAATACATGCAATAAAATAAGCAAAACTATAACATATTATAGTAACTTAAATAACCAAAATTTTGCTCAACCTGCCAGCCTGAAGCAGGTTGAACGTCTTCAAGATCAATCAGGTGACGGACAGTAACGGATTAATTAGATTGAACTTTACCCAATTCGAAGTTCAACTTTGAACTTACAAGTTGAACTTTATTAACGGCCCGAGTTATTTTCGAGCGAACTTCGCGAATTAAAAATATTTATTTAATGACGGCTAGATCGAAGAAATCGACGACGTCCGTATAAACTTAATTTTCTCGTTACGGAAAATTTCAAAATACCGTTCTTGACACGTATGTTTATAAGATCTACTTTATGCCTTGCTAATTAGTCTAGTGGCGTAAGTGCGGACGCTACAGTTAACTGCGAAATGACGAGATATTGACGGATTCGAATTAAGGCTTTTAAAGCTTTATTTCAATTTATTTATTGATGATTTTCTATTTTTGAAATAATTTAATGCGCATCAATTTTTGCATAAATTTTTCTTTATTTTGTCCACAGGATTTGCAACTTGGGAAATAAACTGGAAAGGAAAACAACGAGACATCTCGATGATAGCTAGGGTAAGTCAAAAACAACAAATTTATATTTAATTTCTAACGCAAAAATTAGTACTTGCCCTTTATAATTAAAATAATTGGTGTTGTTATTTGAGCTAATTCAGTCGACGCAAAAATCTTTCAACGCCATTACAATTCCGCTTAATTGCTTAATATTAACATGACATCGCTAATTTACGTTAATTAACGCTTTTAGGCGCCGCTAAATATTGACTTGATATTCCCATTATTAATTTTACCGACTTGAGAAAATTGCCATTTCACGAAAGTAATGAATAATGTATAATTTACACTTATACAGAGTGTCCATTACTCCACTCTCAATTTATCAAAGAACACATTTGATGCTCTTTCAGAAATGTTTACTGAGATTGTGTAAAAAATATGCTAAAAATTTAACTGTGTATGAACGAGGATAGGTTTATATAATTATGGTGCATCCTGCATTGGCAATGTACCTGTAATAAATTTATGCATTCACCCGGTATATTGAATCTTCAAATACCTCTTCTATTGCAAGTAAATTACGCTTCGATTACGTGTCGTCGTAGTTTGACGCACTCTTTTAAATTCAAACGCAATTTAACGCTTTATTTCTCATCGGAAAGTTACGAAAATTAGCGACCGAATCCGCGACAATCGCGTTTGCGACACAAGGAATAATCGGGTCTCAATAGCTCGGATAAAAACCGTTCTAAATTGTTATTACAACACATCTGACCAGCCGAACGACGATCGCTTTCAATGTTGAATTAACCTCTACTCCCTATTAGGTTACGCATTGTTTCCAATGCACATTTTTTGTTGTCAAGTAACAGGTACTTAGCAGTATTATACTGCGTTCGCCTTTAGGAGATAAATGAATCCTTCTTGATGTAGTAAACCAGGAGCGTCAATAAATAATTAAGTATTATTGCAATTAATTAAACTATTTAATATCCCAGAAGCATAACTGTGCACTGTTTTACATTATGTTCAAATATTCACATCCTGAAGTATCGGCATTCAATTAATTAACAGCCTGTATATCTCCTTTATTGGATTCATAATAAATAATCATTCCCTTAAAGTTACTACTTCTTTATTTATTTCGACATGTGAATAGGGTAATGAACTAATGAAGTAGGAATAATCACGGAATGATTTTTGGTTTAGTTTAAATAGTAAACTCTTTGTGTGAGATATTAGATAAGGAATTTGTGCGTGATCAATGGGTTATTGATTGGGATGTGAAATAAAATGCGGTACATATTTGAAGTTTTGTATTGAATAATCCTATCCTATACGGTTTTACGAACAGATTGCTACTTACAAAGACATTATTAACATCTAATTGCTAAATTTATTTATAATTATTTATTCTATTAATTCAGTACACTCGGAAGCGGTATTCAAAATACCTCGTCGCAAAATGTACAAACCGTTGACAAACTATCAAATAGGCGCGAACGAACAGATGATAAACGAGCGAAAATGGAGCGTGAAAATTTTTTCATAAAATGCGTTATTTTTTTAATGGTACACCTATCGAACAGTTTGCTCGAACTCCGAAGGACTCTCGTCAATTTGAAAACTTCCGGGAGATAGAACGTTAAGTAGGAATTGAAATTTTCGAATTGTACACGTCGCGCATTGAGAAGAGTCCTCGCCGACCGTATAATTTTTACATTGCACTCATCCAAACAAAAAAAAATATATAATAAAACTTAAATGTATTTCCGTTAAAACTAAGCAGTCATAATTTGTTCCGAACTGTCGGTGTTCGATTCGCAAACTACTTCCCTTATTGGAATATGGCACAGTAATCTCTTTGAAACGGGGTTATATTTTGCAAATCTCCAACGGAACAGTCGCCACTATTTTTTTGTTTAATTTAAATGCACCACCATTAAATTTAATTTTTCCGCGTAAAAATAATACTCTCGTACACGAAATCTGCGAATGGTAGGAATATGTAGTAAAGAATAACATTGTAGGTATGAACAATGAAAAAATTAATTAATGGTGGTTCACTGGTTCGAAAGAAATCGATAAATGCTGAATCCTGAGAAACGCCAAACAAATCATGTTCATTTTTAAATAGTATAAAATATCACATCGTTTTTTCCTTAGTAAAAAAATTAACGTAAAATGAATAAAAACAATTTTTGGAAATAAAAAACCGTTTTAGCTTTTGTTTTATAAGGAAGTTATTTACATCAGATTTAGTTTTATTAAAAATATTGCAATGTACGATTTATATTTGCACTAAAGTAAAGCTCTTGTCTTTTTTTGGGGGTGGGGAGTGAACAATTCAAGTTCTAACTAAAACATTCAGCGCTTAATTCGATAAAAAAGGATCGGTAGAAAAGATAGTTGAGAAATCGATCGGGAAATAGAAAGTTAAAATCTTAGTAACAAACAAGAGAGTGATGAGAATAAGATTTCAGAAAATGAAAACAATTAAACAAGTAATAACAACCCCCTAAAAACATAACAAATTATTATTTCTTTTAGTCAAAACCATAATTTACTATTTAAATTTAATAGGAATAAACTAAACCGTTTTCGAATGGTTACAAATTATTTTACATCTTACTTGTTTTCTGTTAACATTTTTAAAAATCTCCTTTTCGACTGTTTGTTTCTCGGCATATGAGCAAAACAAATTCGTTAAAAAATCGTTAAAAAAACGCAATTTCTTTTAAAAAGTATTGGATGGCTCAAGAACTAGAACTAAACGAATAAAATTTAAAAAAATCAAAAAATATTAATCAATGCAATCAAATGCATTATTTTATAACGTTTTTCTATGTACAGTGTAATTACAAAAGTTTTTTTGTAGCAATATATATTTTAAAATCTAGGTTCTTTCGAATTGTGATGAGTTAAATTCAAGATAATATTGTCACTATTTCCAAATGTAAAAAAATTCCAAACGTTTTTCCAAACTTCGAAATACATAACGAAATGCACAATGATTTTTTCTGGTTATTATCGCAAAGTTCGGAAAAACGTTTGTAGAAAAAAAGTGTACAAGCGTAAATTGATAAAAGAAATTCGTCGAATAAAAATTAAAAGTTTGAGCAAAAATAATACGCAAAACAATCGTAAAATTGCCGTTACCGCGCAGCACCGATTTAATTTGATTTCTATTTTACAATAAAGATACGATTGCACTTCGATCAGTACTGCACGATATCTGGATGATGCATGCCCATAATTCTCCAAAAATTACCGATAATACAGTAAATACCTCTTGAATAATTCTGTATAAGAATATTCAGAGAAAAAAAGTAATAACTTTACAGGAAGCTCAAATCTAATGATCAAGTCGATTTTAGATTTCTATATTATTCAATATGGAAGATATTTATAGGAATTTTAAAGTGACTAGTTTAAACTGGTTACAAATTATATAGATATTTTTAAAAAAGTTTTTTAGAAAGTTCATGTTTGTTAGAATTTTTGAGTAAAAAGGCGTTTACTGGATTATCGGTTAAAATATAATAAATTTATTTATTAGAGATCACAACTAATCAACTTAAGTACGTTAAAAATAGCGCATCATCCGTAATATTGAATAGATTAAACCGAAAGTATAAAAGATTTACATCAACTCAATCATAAGGAACACCACAATTTTTTTACTTGGAAATATCAATATTATTACTAACAATTACTTAAGCAAATTTTACAGTTGATTTTGAAAATAGTTGACTTTATTCTCTAATTATCTTAATAGATTTAACACCCTGTATTAAGCGATTGAATAAAAATTATCTTTTATACTTTCTCTTCCCCTAGCAGTCCATATAAATAACTACAAAATATAAAAATCGGAAATATTTATAATATATATAATATATAATCTATATAATGTATATAGAGGTGATTTTGGCAAATGACATTTATGTTACATAATTAAAATAAAAAAGGGTGCGCCCCAAGACGCCCCACAAAAGTGAAAACTTCCCAAAATTTAAGTATTTCCTTTAATTACCATTCTTAGGTAGAAATATTCTTTTAATAACATTTATTTGCAATAGTAACAACACAACTCTCTATCCAATTATTCATTAAATGACTAGTTTCGGTATATAAACGATAATCTTCAGCTTTAAATGACAAAAATATGTAAAAAAGTACGTTTTTTATAAAAATGTTACATTATACAGAGAGAATGTGGAAAGAAGGATTTTATATCTGGTTATCACTTAGCGAATAATTAACTATTCATATAAAGTTTTCATTGTTACTTTTACAAGTTTTATCTATATTTTCGGATTGATCTATTTAAAAACAAGTTTTTAAGATATCGCTATCTAAAGACCTGTCAATTTTGGGAAGTGATCACTTCGAATAATAAACCGCAGCACTAAAGTCCAAAAGTGAGATCGAACGTGCCGCGCGATAAAACAAACAAAAAAATAATAATAAACTCCACAAAAAGAACCACCAAAAAACGAGGATAGTCCAATGATCACAGGTGGTTTTTCCATTTTGATTAACTAAAGGCTACGTAACGCTTATGATCGACCGAGTCTCTTTATTACCGTTCGTATCCGAGCTGTCGTTTCTGACGCACTGTCCCGTCAACTGATTGACACTCAACGGATTGTTTATGTCGTGCGGATTCGTCCCGACGGGGTTGCGCGCCGGCTGGTGGTGGTGGTGGTGGTGGTGTTGCGACGGCGGCGGCGGCGGCAGCGGCGCCTTCACGTCGAAGCCGTCGTGCGGCGTCAGCGGGCTCTGCAGCATGTACGGACTGGCGACGCTCACCGACGGGCTGGCGACGCTCGTCGACGGGCTGGGCAACACCATGCCGCCGGGGCTGGTCAGGCTGCTCAGGCCCGACAGGCCGCCCGGGCTCGATATCGACTGGTTCAGGCTTTCGTTGTCGTCGTCGGGCGGCGTGTGAGCGTCGCCGGTGCTGCCGCAGCTGCCTAGATTGTCGTCCGAGTGGTTGTCGTCGTTTCCGTCCCCTGCTTCCATATATCGTATGCACTTCTTCTTTCGCCTGGAACATTCGTAATGAACGATTTAATAAGCCGTTTCGCTCGATTGTGTACTCATGCTGTTGCAGAAAAAATCACGGTGTACCATGCAAATGGATTTTTGGTCGTTAAGTATCGGTGGGATCATGCCGTGTGAGTAAAGGTGGCGCGGGCGTTTTGGTGGTGTGATGATGATGGCTTGTAAATAGTGTAAAAATGTTTTTGTTCGATAATTAAAGCGATTTCCATTAAAGTACTTGGATGAATGTATAAACATAGTTAAAGAAGCATATACTTCCAATGACCTCTTCATCACAACACTCTCTCAGCACACACCTTATCTAAGGTATGCAAACAATATTAAAAACTAAAATAATTCCGTAATGTGTAGGAATTAAAACAATTATTAGATTCATTGTTTATAAACCAGCAGAGAAATTTGTTCTAAACAATTTCCCACTAGTTTTACTAATCAACAAAACTAACAATTCGAGTGTAACAAAACCAAAAAAAAAATTAATACTCGCTCGCTCTTAGTACCTACTACAAAATAAAACGCAAGTAAGCTTAAAAATTGTGTCGAATAAACAAAAATCAAGAAAAACAATCTATCTAAAAACATCGATAAACACCAACAACACTGCTGTTGACTAACCAACGTTTTGCTATAGATTCACATAAGTTGGTTCCTGAGGTGATTGCGTTGTAGCAGCGCTTCCAGACGAGTGCAACAGATTTCCGTGGATGGTCGAAGTTCCTCCTCCCACGGAGCTGTTCTCGGGACTAAACAATCGTTAAATGTACAAGGGGGCGTCATAAATAGAAAGATCATAAATAAAAAAAAGTTACACAATTACATTTACATAACATTAACAGGAATGCACAAAATGGACACTCGAAAGTGAAAGAAGTATCGCCATAACACAGTACAATCAATAAACGCAACAGACAGAAAAATTTAACGTAAAATAATATATATAAATAAAGATAAGTGCAATTTATTATCAGAAAATGTGTCTAGTATTTTTTTTGGGAATTTAAATAGTAAAATATCGGTCGACCGTTTAAGCCCCTTTGCACTTAAAACAATTGTTCTACTCAACAGCAGTGTTAACAGTGCACAAAAACTAAGCCAATTTTGTCCTTTTGTCTTTGTGGGAAGACACATTTTCTGATGTTTCTTTCATATAGGAACGAAAAAAAAAATAACATGTAATAAAGTGTCTTCCAATAATATTTCTAACAACGAAAAAATAATAAATTAGAAAAACGACAGTCTTTCCACATAGATTAAGTAACACCAAAAGAGATAAATTACTAAAATAAAAATCTAGCTGAATTTCAAAAAAATAAATAAAAATAAAACATTTACGCGGATATTATAACTAAAGTGTCGTATCGATTCGTTCTCATTCAAATTCGCTTGGTTCTAACACGGAATCGCAGCAAAATAGAAATGCATAAACGGATTTACACTTTAGTTACGACATTAAATAAAAACTATCCACAAAAATAAAGAACAAAAGGCGTGCAGAGTCTAAATTACAGGTATAAAATACGAAACTTGTCTCACCTGCATGGCTTGCACCATTGACTTTGTTGATCTAATCCGTACCTTGCTCGGCATTTCTTCATACTATTACCTATTTATAAATAGGAAAATATTAATACTTGTAAATGATAATCAAAATCGAAAAAAAGCACTCATAATTTAGTTATCCAATTTATGTGAACTTTTTCCGAAAATAAATCAGCTAATTCTAGATGAGATTTACGAATAATTAATCGTCAATACAGCGTGTTTGTTGAAACTTTTATTTGCTAAGAAATTATGGTTGTTAAAAGTGTTAATTGCTAGAAATTATGCGCTGTATAAATAATTAATCACCGGCAAATTAATTTAAATGAAATTCTATAGCATGCATTAAAGTTTATCTAAATTTCTTTATTAAATGTTTGATAATAATCAATTCGCTTGTAAAATTTAGACGAAACTTTGTTTTAATAAAACTAATCTAATGTGAATTCAACAAAAGGTTTATATGAGTTGTTGATTTAAAAAAATGTACAAAAAACCTATGTTGTATTTAATTAACAGTGAATTTAGAAATTGTAAATTATGAATTATAAAACATTTTTCTTTTCTAAATTCATGTTGATTAAGCGACTTGATTTTAAAATAATTAGGGTCTAACAAATGTGGTAAGAAGAAATAAATAGAGTGGAAAGTAAATGAGCCATGCTTGGGTGTTTCCAAAAAAATAGGGTCAAATCAAAATAATAGTACTACGAAGGGGTCATGCAGGCTGCTGACAAACGTGCATACGACGACTCCAACCAACAAAAGGGGGTCCGCTAGACCCTCGGCAGAATAGGTCCCGGCTGGCCAAACCGTTTACCCCAATAACATGCAATATATATAGATATATAATAGAATAAGGTACGACTCGCAAGTTACTTTTAAAATACTGTTCGTCAACTTGGCAATTATTAAAAAAAATGATTGATGGATCAAAAATTAAAATAAAAATAAAAAAATATATGAAGCTTTTGAGAAATATTTTCGTTATATATATCGTATGTATCACATCTACTAAAAACTAAGAGTATACATTTAGAAGCTGTAATTGCATGCATTCGAATACATTTCTCAAAAACACAATTCGAGAAATGGTCAACGTTTAACTTGAAGTAGGGATTTGTTTAAAATTATTAACCGCCCTACGGTTTGCTTATGAATCGTTAACAAAGAAGCCAAGTCGACGACCAAAAAGATATAGGTTCCCGCAATAAAAATAACAAAAAAATTATAAAAAAAAAATAAATAGAAAATTAGTAAATTGCGAGGATGGCTACCTCCATCGGTGGGGTCTTGTTTACGCTTCCTCTTCTTGCCGCGAGTGGCGTTGGCGCGTGATGACCAATCGGGATAGAGCTGCATGTGCAGCTGTCGTTCGCGGCGAGCCAGCTCATAGTATTTGGCCTGCTCCTCCCTACCCAGCGCATGCCACTAAACAGAACAGAGTCAACATTTTGTCGTACCGGCAGGGCACCAAGAAGCGCGCAAACATCGCCATGCCGGCCGCCCCTAAAGTGTCATTTCTTTCAAAAATCAAACAACGTTTCGATCGACAAATGACAATTTGGCATTTGGCCGCCACCGACCCATTCTGCTCGAGTCCGGTAGTATGCACACATCGGTCAGAGCACCGGAGCAAAGGTAGGGTGATTTGTTTACAGGTAACATCCGTTTAAGAACCACACCGGGTACGGGCGATGCAAGCGATGTCGTCTTCGGATTAAATTATTCGAAATACGAAAAAAATTACCAAAGATTTAATGCAACGAACAAAACCATCAGGCTACCCGAAAAACCTAATGCTTCTGATCGCTTCACAAATACTTATATGGAACAAATGCAGTTATTGTGCGAGTAGAAGGACGACAAACCTGCATCGTAATTCATTGTCGTCTAAAGGGTTATGTTGTTTACATGCAAACTTACTCATTTAACGGTTATTACAACGCAACGTTTCAAAAAAAAATCTAGTTAACATGTAAACAATATCTCACAAGAGACAACCGTCTGGCCAAACTTGTTAGCGGTAAACACCTTTGTTAGTTGAAAGAATTTTTGTGCTCAAACGAATGCTACGCCGTTTCGTTAAGAAACTAGCCGTAAAAATGAAAATATTTTAGGCACTAGTTCCGATTAGTATTAAAAAAAAAAGAGTCGAGTGCAGTTTGTTAGTCCCTAAGAAGCCGTCTCGGCGCACGAAAATCCACTTCAATTTTTTTATCGCATAGGAAAAAACTAATGAATTTTCGTGCGGGCGAGTAGGCGTTAAAAAAATTTGGAACGGACACTGTAATGATATAATAAATTAGGCTTAGACTGCGCGTCTGATAACTACCTCCCGACTCGATAGGTGTTCGCTCTTTCTTTCGCTTCTTCTTCTTGGTGCCGTAACCGTAATTGTCCCGCGCACTCCAGCCCGGGTACAACTGCATGTGCAATTGGCGCTCCTGCCGCGCCATTTCATAATACTTGGCCTGCTCTTCCCGGCTCAAGGAGTGCCACTAAGCACACATTAGATTAAAACTCACTCGTTTTGAGTACCGCTTTCTCATTCGCTCCGAATCGATCTACTTCCATCGTTTCCACCGAACGTTTTACAACGACCGTTTGAACAAATCATTACGATGGAAGCAGCTCCGTTCTCTTTCACTCGCTCGTTTCGCAATCGCACCGTTACGGATAAATGAAGGAAAATCGAATTCTTTTTCCGGCTTACCCTTCTTCCCAATATTTGATTGATCGCAGCGCTCTCCTTCAACGTACACTCGGCGACCACTTTCGCTCTCATCTCCTTCATGTACAACATGAAAGCGTTGAGGGGTTTCTTTATATGGGGCTTCTTCTTTTCATTACTGTCCTGATTGTTTTTACCGTCGACGCCGGATTTGTGATCTTGTGACCTAAAACAGAATGCCTGATTAGTCCAATACGAACATAAAATTAAACTCATTTTAAACTTGTGTGACGATTCCTAAAAATTCATTAAAAACTAAAAAGCACTGAAAATACCAATATTTTGCACTCTTTATTCTTACAAACAAAGGTAAACAGGATTTTACTGTGGTCACCTCTTAATTTAGTGTTATTTTCAATGCAATTATTTATTAAACAGTTATTGTTGCCAAATATAACGCAAATAATATTACTAATGCATTATTGTATTTCCTGTGGTCGTTCAAATTTTAATTACGCAATACTATTAATTCGTTTAATTACAGCTCTTCATGAATAACAAATTAATTGTGTTTTATATAGTAAAATTCAAAATCGATATGGATACGTGTTAATAGTAATAGGTAGGTAGAAGTTGATTACTTCCTATAAAACGTCTACTGTACGAAATATATGCAGTATAATGCACCAATATCTATGCTTCATTATCCCCACATCTAATTAATAAAGTTCTCGTTTTACGATACCTTGGATAGTCCGGAGGATTACCATTCTTGACCGCTTGAAAGAGATAGGTCATACGTACGTAATTTCCTCGTTAAACTTTTATAACCGCACTTTTGCTACAGTTTTTATTTAAATACTCAGTTGATGTATAAGCCGACAGAAAACGTGCATATTGATCGGTGGAAATGAAATTGCATAGAAAGCGCAAGCGCCACGTCATCAAGGGAAAGATCACTGTAACAGTTTTTCAGAACAAAGATCAAAGGAAAATCGTCGGAAACATATGACATTTTTGGGTAATACCCATAAGGATTTGATATATTAAAATTGAGTTAAATATAATTATAATAATTTAGCTACCGCCTTTCGATAATCACACGAGCAAATGCGCATTATTTCCAGTTTCCGCGGATCGCGGGCATAATAGATTATTTTATTTCCATATTCTCTCCGACCGTTTCAATCCATTTAACCTACGTTTAAACGCATATCTGCATTAATAAGAAATTAATTTACCTATGTAACGATTATTCGATGCAGTTACAGCGACAATAATTTTCCTTTAGACGATTATTTTTTCTAAGAAACTAGTCGTTGTTTACGATAGCGCATGAAAGGCCCACACACACAAATGCATAATTGGTTACTATTGCTTATAAGGTCAATTGTGTCGGAGGCAAATAACCAATTCAATCAAATTAAATTGCATAATTAGTTGGATTGAATTACACAATCGTATCAGAAGCCAAGTACTAAGTAATTCTTAAGCACTGTTCATTCTAATAAAGAATTATTTTAAAAAAATAATCGTTTTGTTAATGATACGAGGAGTGTTTGATTGAAACTTACCCGGTAGACGATTTGATTGACTTAATAGATTCCTTATCGTCACTATCACTTTGCATTTCGTTTTTTATAAGCGCATCGAATCCTGAAGGGAATTTGTACGAAGCGTAAGGGGTTTTTTTGTCCAAAAGATTGTTCAATATTTTATTCGAATCGGAGGCGCCTTTGGATTTCGAATGATAATTAAAAAACGGATTCTGCTGGTTCAAAAACGAGTTCATGTACCACATAGATAACAAATTATTATTGTCGGACGCATTGAAAATGTTGTAAGGGCTATCTCTCGGCGACAATTTGTTGTTGTAGTAATCGTTGAACGTGTTTTTCTCGTAGGAATTTCGCGTCTCCTCGTTCTTGCACAAATACTTCCTCAGCTGTTCGGTGTGATTGTTCCTCGTCAGGTCCAGCACGTCCTCGTTGATTTTCTTCACCGACAAATCCTCCGGCAGGTCCTCGTCCTTGTTAACATCGGTGCTAGTAAGGTCGTTGTTGTTCGTTTTGGCGTTTTGATGGGTTTCCACGACGGAAAAAGGGGTCACTATAGCGATCGGCATTTTTTTCAACGTGAGATTTAGGGGCTCTTCCGAAATTTCCATAATAAGAAACCACCTAGTAGCTCACGATCACTAGTTCGGCTCGAAACATTTTTTTAACGAGAGAGAAAAACACCAGTTAATTGAAGAAAATCGAGTGGACCTTTCCGCGAACGGTGAACTTGCCGAGCGAGCGAATCCGAGATCAACAAGTTTTTTTATGTAGCACTCTCTATATCACGGAAAAATCAATATGAATGGCCGTAGCGAGTCTCTTTGTTTGGGTTGAATGGGAAAACAAGGCGGACACGTGCACCTTATGGACCGCGCCGACTGACGAACTGAATTCTGATACCAGCTGGTGGAGCTCAGGAAAATGACTTATTGCTCGGGAACGTGCATCATATCGCAGGTATTATTGCGCGAAAATATGCCGCAGAGGAGAGGAGACATATCAGGACCGAACGCGAAACTCGCGCTATGAATTTACAAAACGAGAACCCAGACGGTGCAGTTCGAAATGTCCAATAGGCCCGATATAGTGTCGTTACGTTGTTAGACTGAGAGAGAAGTAGTTGTGCTCGTTAAATGTCGCGTTTGTTGCGTTTTGATGGATTGATCCAGCGCGATTCAGCGACGTTTATACATAATTTTTCCGAAATTATAACATTCGCTTCCCCGATAAAAATATTTACTCCACCCTATTTATTTAATCGAGAAAATCGAATAAATTAATTAGACCGGTACATACTATTTAATAATCATATTGCAGTGCAAATACAATTCAACGTTTAGCATTAAAGTGCTTTTAATACCCGTTTGTATTTATGCAAACGTTTACCATTTAAATAATTCAATAAAGGATTTATTTTATTTAATTTACGGATCAAATAAGCATTTAATTTATTACATGAATTAAACATCAACGCATTCCCTTTTTAGGAACTCCAATGCAATCCAATCTGATACACCATTATAATAACTAAAAATCTACATCAACTTATAGTATTATTTTTAATTATAATCATTAGGGTAAAACGTTTATCGATTCGAACGTCCTCAAGCGCTCCACTCCCGCGCCGCATTCGACGTATATAGGGGTGGTTTTTTCGCCAATTTCCACGAGGCACTCGACCCCTAACGGAGGGAAGCCGAAATACCGTAGGTAAGAAAAATGCGCAAAAGCGGAGCCCGGCGTTATCGGCTTCGAATTTCAACCCTTCAAAGGTAGATGGAGACGAGTGTCGGTTTTGATTAAATACATAATATGTAATAGGAGATCATAGAAATTTCGCACGAATCAAATAGCCTTATATGGCTAAAAATTTCCAATCTAATGGAATATAATGAGTAATATAAAAGGGTTGAAAAAAAATAATTATTTCCCGTTGCTCGCAGTAATGCTTATCTACCTATGTACCTCGTTTATGCTAGTTTCTTATGAATACATTAAAGTAATTAGAAGAAAAAAAAACACAACTAGTTCAACAATTATTTTCTCAATCCCATTCAGTTTGCACTAAAAGCGTTCTGTGGAAACGCTCGAGTAGAAAAAAAAACAAATAGGTAAAAAAATTATAAACGCCCCGGTTAACGTAAAATTTCCCAGATCAAAAGGCCTCATTACGGATTCCCGGAGAAGCGAACGAAAACGAACTAAAAAAAAAACCTAAAAACGCAAAAAAATATAAAAAAAACCCGCCGATTCGAGCGAAAGAGCGAGCGAGAGGCAAACGTGTCGGTACGTTCCGCGGAAATAAACGGAATATAATTCGGGGAACGGTCCACGTTAGATTCGTAAATTGCAATTATTGCTGCGAAAAAGGAACGAAACGGAAACGGAGAGAAGGGAATCATGCGAACACGTTCGCACACCGCGCACGGGTCTGAACAAATACGGGGCAAATGAAAACCAAACAAAAAACGAATGCGAAATCGCCCTTAAAACAGGTCCGTATATCCAATAATTACGTCCCGTTTTTTTCCCTTAACAATTTTCCAAATGCTTGAAACTTTTGATTGGCAACTACAATCTTGATTGATCGATTATTATACACTTCAATAATAGCGATGGAAGATAATAATGGTGCAAAATTGCAACCGAAGAAGTTGGAACAATCAAGGAATGATTTGCTGGCAAATTTTTTGGCCATTTTAATACACTCAAGGCATAATAAGAATACAAAAATTGGAGTTTATATTAGCACTCCTCACTGGATCTTTCTGGATCACCTATATTGAAAATACCTATACTTTCTTCTCAACGTTATATGCACTATATTCCTAATTAACATTCTATGCAAATTTTTTACCTATTTCAAACCGAACCGTACATAAATGTAAAACATAATAGCAAATAGTCCGGCCCTGTTAAATGAAAATATACCATCGAATCGCGGTATCCGGCCGCCTCCGCGATACCGCTTATACTCCGCAGCGACGGCGACGGCGGCGGTACCCGACGGAAACGGGATGCGGTCGCCAGGGCAACGGGCTGACCAATGGCCGCGACGTCGATAACCAATCTTGAATCCCATTTCTCGCATGACCGCCGCCCCCACCCATTTTCGAACCAGGATTAACGTGAGTGCCGCCGCCGCGAGAGAGGCGGCAATTAGCGCCGCGGCCGCATCGACGATTGCACGGTATTTATAATGGGCCGCGATTTATACGAGTACATTATCCTCTTCTATTATCTTTAACGCTTTCGATTCGATTTAGCGGACGGCTATAATTTTGTATTTCGTTTATTTAAACTGATTTATATTCACCTACAGTTCGATAGCTGTAGTCGTAGACGCGCCGTGTGCGACTTTTTAGGATGCAGGAAGGTCGCTAATTATATAAATTCCTGAGTAAATAATATTTATAGTCACGTAAGTTATTCAAGAATCGTATGTAAATTTCCACTAGTAGAATTTGTTCATAATAAGCGATTCAATGATAGATATAAATGCACGAGTTGTTCCATTGTCGGATGCGATTCGACTCCTCCTCATCATAGTTTCTACGTAGCTTTCACTAATCAATTTCAATGAAACACGTAAGCATCCATCTCTAAGGTATGCGTATATGTGTGTATTACAGGCACACGCGCGACAATCCTTAATATTTTCCTGTGGTGTCGTAATGAAATGCGCTCGACGCTCTCGAGTATTGTGTGCAAATGTCGCCGTGAAAGATCCGTTTCGGAATTATGCGATTAATATAAAAAATTTACCTGTGATTGAGATCGGGCAACTCCTGCTTGGGTCCCGGCGTGACGATGGCGGGATGCGACGAAAGGTGAGGCGGGTGTGGAGACAAACCGGGATGCGGCTGTATCAACCCGGTTGGTGAGAATCTGTAGAAATCGCTGGGCAGGCTGCTCGTCGAGATCGGTAACGTGCTGGGGTAAGGACTTCGGAAACCGGCACCGGGCGATAGGGGGTACATACTGGGAGTGTGCCTATATCGAAAAGTAACATCGTTAAATTTCTAATTTTCCACGGGAATCGTCTACGACGATCCTGCGTTAGTGCCCCACTACACAAACCCCATTAAAAACACTTTAAATAATTCGCTGTAACGAACGAATTCCTGACGAGAATACTTAATTTTTTCGCGTAACAAAGCCGCGCTCTTCTAACTCTTTTCCTGAAATCAAAATCTCATCAACTCTTCAACGCATTTTTTGCGGTGTTAAAAGCGCCCCTCTAGCCCCGTTTACGGCATCCCGGGAGACTGGTTCATGGAATGTTGGGTCCTTTGTGGTCTGCGAAATCCCATTTGGTCGCAATTAAAGAGTGTACGACAAAGCCGATTAGTAGAGAGAGGGAGACGAGGAAAAAAAGGGAAAAAGGAAAAAGTTGAGTGTTAGAAAAGAGGATTTTAGATTAAAGGGAACAAATGAGCGACAGCGCTCATGTAATATAACTATAGATGTGTTGGTGATTACTTACCAACTCGCCACCTGTGACATTTCTGGACTGAGCATCGGGTAGGCGTACTGGCCAGCAGGAAAGGGATACATAGGGGGTCTGGTGAGACCTGCAACATATTAATCCATAAATTAAAACTATTCTACATTAAAAAAATAAGTAATAAGTACACTTAATATTCCACCTCTTATAATACCCACATACAGCAAGTATAATTGCATACGTTACGCAATAAGCGCATAATAGTCGGAAGTAATCCTTTGAAAGAAAAAAAAAATACATAATAAACGAGGGGAACGTTTGCTGAATGAAATGAGCAATAAAAATTATCTCGTACGCATGTTATTAAATTAAATAGTAGTCAATGAAATTTTCACTATACCTCCCAGGCAATCAACCTTTTTTTTTATAAATTATTGGCCTCGCTTGCGGTGCAGTTTTCGCAACGCCCACTCTTTTTCAAACGCCGTATATTTTGCCGTTCGATGAATATCATAAGGTTTTATCGTTTGCACAACATGCAACCGAAAAAAATTGATGTTGTCTATGTCATGTCTAAATCCTAAACATACATTACGCGTACAGGGTGTCGCGAAATGGGACTTGAAAAACTGCTTGTCGTAAAAACATTTACCAATATAAAATCTTAGATAATATGCACAATAAAATATAAACTAATAATAATGATTATAATTATTTCATTAATAATATATGATGGTGGATCGAGGTGAAGGGAGAATAATTTATTAGTGTCTAGTAACACCCTGTATTCGCTGTAATAGCGATTAATAATTCATTCGCTTCATGAATTGCAATCAGTTCAATGTCGTATTAGAATACTTTGTTGCATATGAATAATTGAACATATTTAATTTTTAATTATAATTTTTATAAATAAAATGCGACAAAAACGGTAGATGGTCGATTTTACCTGTTTGAGCCGTTCCGAGAAGACCACCTGTGATTAAGGGGAGATTTTTTTTAACAAACGACCTTTCCCAAGAACTGTTTAGTACCTTTTTAACTCTATTTTCGATCGAAACCAGCCCCTAAACGGGCATTGTGGCAAACATTAGATTTCCCCGTTCACCAACAAGTGTGGAATTTAACTGATTTGTAAGCAATTTTGTATCGCAAAGGAGCCTGTGCATGCAACAAATTGGGGAAATAACAGCTCAACCAGAGTACTCGATGACGGCTCCAATTGACTGGGCCGTGTAGCGCCCGACTGCCATATTTACATTTCTAATTGGCACTTTGGAAACACGCAACGTTTCGTCGACCTATCTCGCTCCTCGTCACTTCGCCGGCTTACAATGCGCATCGAAAGAGCCAGCCAACAACTCGAAATTGATTACCCAAGGCATTTCGCGTTGTTAACAACAAGACTTTAATTACGGTGTTAGCGATTAATTACGATTTTTGTCTCGTGGTTTTCTACTAGCTGTAGGTACGAGTTTTATTACGTCGGATTAAAAAGGCGTCGATTTTATAAATATTTTTTCCTGTATTAATTTAATCGATTCTACTAGTATGGAAAGAGGAATTAAAACAGACGCGCTCTGGTCGGAACAACGCAAAGAAAAATCAACAATACATTAAAGAGGAAAGGAGAAACATTAGCAGAAAACGGGAGAAGAGCGCGGCGAGCGGCGCAAGACGAAATTAGGGGGACTACCGAGTTGTACCACGACTACCTGAGTTAATCTCTTACCGATCTTAATCCGGATTACATTGACCACCGAGTTGTACCACAACGTAATTACCCCTAATGGCCTTAATATGCTCGGGATCGCCGAGTTGTACCACGGGTTAGCATTTATGCCAAGCGTGGTACCGTAAAATTTTAATGAATGCAAAGAAAAAAATTCTGAAATTGGTAAGTTTTTGAAATTATTCTTCGGCCTACACTTTCTGGAACCTACCGAAGTAGGTGATTTTTTCGCATTCCAAATATTAGATAAATTACCCAATGATGAGAAAGTAATACAATTTTGCGACTACATATTGGACAATTATGTGTCAGAAGAAGCTAGCTTTCCTCCGAAAATTTGGGCATGCACCACCAATAGCATGTACAGGTCTAAGAACGCTTGTGAGTCGTTTCATTCGGTACTGAAAAACAGTTTTTATTCTCCTCACCCAAATATATTTCTATTCACAGACATGCTAATAAATATACAAAGTGAGACGTTCACTAAAATTAAGACTGCCAGTGAATCAGAAAATAATAAAAAACTGAAGTCTGTTACAAGAAAGAAATTCGATTATATATGTAACATTAAAAATTAATGAATTTAAAGAAAACAAAATAAATAAATTAGATTTTGTAAAGTCTTTAAGTTTTTACTATTTGCCGCAGTAGAGCATTTAAATGTGTATGTATAAGTAGATTATGTGTAGATATTTTATATTTGATTATTTTATTTTATTTTATTTTATTTTATATTTTACTATAATTTTGTATCTAATTTATAATAAAATTGTTAATGGTTATTGTCGGGCTTTATTTTTTAAGTCGTTAAGCCTCATTAGAAAATTCGGTGGTACAACTCGGTAGTAGGATTAGACCTACCTGCTATCCCGTGGTACAACTCGGCGATCCCGGAAATTAGATTCGACAGTTCAAAGGGACGAGGGCTACACGAGTGTCGAATTATGAAAACACCTCTCGGAGTCCTTTGAGGAAGGCGCGCGATATGCAAACGACCGAGGATAATTAGGATAATGGCAGCCGCTTCAATATCTGACATGACCTGTTACTACTCCTGCCGACTGTTTTAGCTACTTTTCTTTTCTCCGTTTCAGCCCCTTAATTCGACTGCGAAACACCGAGCGCGTTTCTTTTTGTCTCGCGTTCGAGGGACAACTTGTTGTGTCCCTATTTTGAATAAACCGTGAAATTTAACGACTCTTCACATTCACAACTAGTTTAATATACTTTCAGAAGCAGGAAAAACTAATAGAGGTATAAAATAGCCACTTTTGAGACAGTCCCAATAAAACTACACCCTATGCATTTCTTTTAATATATTTTTAACAAATTTAGCATTCCTCAAAGTATAATGACCACAAATCTTTGCAATTGCTTATAAACAATTGTATAAAGATCTCTTATTTATGCCGAATTTAACATACAAAAGTGCGCGTACTTTCCGTATACATTATCGTCAAGTACATTATTTGTTAGTCATTAAAACCGCATGAACGACTAGTAGACACGTGTCGAAAATAATATCCGACCCCTATTCGGCGACTTATTCGTGGGCACGTATGCGTACATAACTCATACCATGTCGATGAGGAAGCCCCGTAGGCGATTCGAGCGAAAGGGGGATGATCATTTATTTCGATTTATCTCGAGATATCCATCAGTACGACGAATAATTACCTACGCTTTGATTTTGTTGGTTTCTGTATACACATTCCGTGTAAACAATATTTACCCACTCAAGATTATTGTAGAGAATATAATAGCATCTTGACTATGTTTGCATGCAATTTCCAGACGAATTTCTTGTTTAGAGTGTGTATGTATTTCGCGTTAAAAAGCCGTGATATTAAAGATTAATTTCGATCCAACATTGCATTAGCAAACTCGATTGATGTTTGAATGAGATTGACAACACTACATAACACAAAATCCCAACTAAGCGCCTGATTGACGAGCACACAGAGGTGTATCATACGTGCATGTACGCGAATACGCCGCCGATTCATTAACGAGTTTTATTTTATTCTCTCGTCGGCTTTTTTACTCTAGTTTTTTTTTATTTTTAATTCGGCTTCCCCTTTGTGAGCAGCTCGAACGGGTGAAATTCGGCGCAAATTGGCGCTGGTAGACCGCATCGCGCGCACGTGCCAAATAGAGAGCTCCAAAAGAGCTCGTTAATTATTACAGTTTTTGTCATTGTTACACCGGCCTGCCGAAAAATATAATTGCCGGTCGTTGCACACGCGTCTACCGCAATCACAGGAACCTTGCCACGTGACCTAAAACCCCACGAACTTTCCAAAAGAGTTTTCTTACAAAAAGTTGTTACTATTTTAAATTTAACGTACGATTTTAAAGCGTGCGTAGGTATCTATTTTATAATTGTGTTAGTTCAAAAAAAGTCGTTAATGCGATAGATAAAGTTACAAATTTGACAACAGCGTAATATTGTGACATCTTTAAATTTGAAAAGTACCTACTACATGTATGCGTTTTTTTACAAAGTCATTGAACCTGAATATTAGTCGAAAAGTAATTATTCCATTTTTAATTGGAAAAAAGTAGCAACATTCTCAAATTTGCATAATGCACAACATGCACAAATGCATCGTTCGGATTTGCCGGTGAAGCCTTATCGATTAACGCAGATGAAAGGTGTCTGTATTATCCATCGACATTGTGTAATCAACCCTCGCAGCTTCTCCCGCTCTTTCGTTTGTTACCTCTCATGTTTTATTCTAATGACATCGGGGAAACTTTATTACATTTGTCATTCGATAAGCTTTCTCGAACAGAAATCGGATAGGTAAGTGTATAATAATACAGAGCGCATTACAAATTTTGATTTTACAAAGATAAAATCCATTACTGAAAGTCGGGAAGTAGATACTGCCAGCGAGATTCTTCATCAAAGCTTTGTCATTGATACAGTCGAACGGGTCAGTAGATGAAACTAAAACACATCCAGTATACCGTGGTGAAATTACGTCAAATTTTATAGGCAGTATTAAACGAAGAAACGGTCGTTTTATTTCGAGTTGAATTTACAAGAGGTCGATTTAAATAAGAAGAAAAAACGTGCCAGCATTACCAGCAGCCAGATATGGCCCGTTTCGGAAAAATGTTCCTCGGCCGGTTTCTTTTTTGTGACGGTCGAGCGAATTGCATACGGTATAATGAACAATTAAATTACAAATGCAGTACTACCCAATTACTGTTTCCTTGTGGCGAACACGGTGTATACATTAATGAATAGAATATGCACGGTGTCAATAAATATTTTTTGCGTCGACGACTCTTCTTTCATTAATTTATAGCCGGCAATTAAAGTTAATTCATGCGCGTAATATTTTTTTCCAAATGCCAAATTGGTACGTCCCCTACTGCTATATTACGATATTAAATGCTCTATACCGTTCCGTCGATTGTTATTGCGCGCCCTCTTCCGATGACATATCCGTTGCTCAGATCAACAAGTTCATAGAAAACCCCATTGTTGATTAATGCACCGTACTCGGTGGGCCTATTGTGCTCGGACCCTCCAATCTGACGTTCCCAATGATCCCGTACAAAAAAAAACTACCCGATATCTATCTTAGTATTTGGAATATTGAAAGCGCACCGTCGCTTTTCAATTTCTGAACTGCCAACTTTTTCGACGTTTATTAAATTTCACTTTGGGGCGGTTGTACAAATGTTGTGTTCACTATATGAAAAACTATATACACGGTGTTACTAACCATACATGCAAAAATATTCACGATTATTTCACATTTTTCGGAATATATTTTCCTAATCGTAACCCCTTTTTTCTTCTGCTGAATATTTCTAATTTTTTTATAATTACTTATACTAAGCTTATTTTAACCGGATAACCACGTCACAGATTAAAATATTACTTTGCAATATTTCTCTATGTTTAATGACATATAAATTTTACTTACCAATATCTTTTTCATCTGCTTCGACTTTTCGATGTCGTTGAATTTTTAATAAAACAGTAATTACGCTCGGGTAGTGAATTAATAGAGTGTACCTTTTTTTGTACGGAGCTCGACGACGCTCGACGAAATAATCTTCGCAAAGGACCGTAAAATGAACAGCCGTACCACGTTAGGATACCTGATAATTCCTTAAGCCGAAACTGATTAAAGTACGATTTTTTGTTATAGGGCGGAACGTTATAGGGTGGCTCGTAGGAAAATTATTAATGAAGTGATGAATGGAGATAATCCAACGCCGCGTATCGATCGAGATTTTTATAATGTTATCGTCGTTTCGTTCACTTTCGTTCCCCGTCTGCTATGCATTTTCATATCGCGAATCGAATTGATGAGTCAAATCCTCTAAAGTTGATTTCTAAAAGGATTTCAACGTTCAATTTCAACTCGTTTGGAAAATCGGGGAGCTATATTTGGATTTCTTCCCGATATACGTATACATACGAAGGGGAAGTTTCGTTCATTGTACGAATTGTTATTTCATTAAAATCGATTTAAATGATACACTTCACGGTGTATACGCAATAGTTGTTATTAAATAATACGCTATTATATCATAAACTACAGGCTACTGCCCTCCACCACTAATTAATAGTTACCATCGTGTGTATTTATCCTTCATAGAGAACGTAAGTTGCAAAAAAATAATCGCACAGAAATTATCAAAGAATCTCATTTACTGCAAATTAATTGATAAAAAAATACAACAGCCTCTTCCTTTCAACGAACTTCAACTTTAACATTAGTACTACTCACAATCTACCCAAAAAAAATTATAAAATTCGACTTTAGTAAAAATTAATGATTGTTTATAAGTTCGCTATGAAGGCGATATCAGGTAATCGGATACACCGATGGCAATGTCTCGTCGAATACCTGTGGCGGCGAGCAGCGGCCCGAGACGTCTCCATTCGGCGGGGCTGAGAGGTTGCGGCTGCGGCGAGCCCCCGTACTCACCCATGGATGCCGCCCCCTTGCTGTCCAACTGGTACGGTGGGATGCCCATGTGGGCTGGCGGCGGTTGCGACAGCGGATCTCCGTTGTGGCAAAAGAAAGGCATGTGACCTGTGGGGCCGAGTCCCATCTTGCTGGCCTGGAAACAATACGAACGATATTAGAGGATTGATAAAAACGGGCCGACGTTATTTACGTCGATCGAAGGGAATCGCGAAAATTAGAACGGAAAGTCGAATCTTCCTCGACCGGGTGACATTGCTCTAGCCGACTTCAAAGGGTCGGGGAAACTTTGAAGTAAGCGAGACGAAGGAACTCACTCAAAAGCGTTTTTAATCAAGTCACGAGACACTTCTACTACTTTGACCCACATTTCCAGCCGGATTATTATATGTAGAAATAGAAATAGAAACAAAAGAGTATTATATTTCATTTACACTCTTTTCGACGGCGTGTTAAGATGGACCTAGTAACAACGCCCTAAATTAGTTAGCTCTAATTGAAACTTTAGGTACTTTTTTCCCATGCAAGTACACAGTTTTATGAATAAACATCATCGAGATTTATTTGTCCTGACTGCTCGCATTCGTTTCTGCCTGGGAGTTCGAGCTGCTTCGTTTCCTGTCCGAGTCTTTTGTTTATTCATGCAAATGCACGGCGACGACGACGACGACGTCGATATATATACAGTAGGAAGAGACACCACACACACACACATACACTCACACACGCTCACACACCTGAAGGTTTCAAGTTCTCTTTGTGAGTCATTAATTTGTCGATACATATCCGAGTGCTCGGAAACGCTTACTTTTATTTCTCCTTTAGAGGTATTGAATAATTGGAGGTGTATTAATATTTATTGTGTAAGAGTATAAATTATTCAATTAATTGCCTTTGTAGAAATATCGAACACTTCAAAGGAGATATTAACAGAATCTGATTTTGTTTGAAAAAAATTTTCAGTTTCTTAAAAAGTTTTTAATTCTTGACATCAAATTTATTTACGAAAAACAACAGTTTAAATTTAGGCACGAATTGCATTTATCGCAATAGCATTATTATCGTCTCACGTTTACTTTTGATAATACGTTAGAAAAGATCTACTCTTTTATAAACGGAAACCCGGTTTACTACAAATATTTGTTCTAGATGAAATTTTTCATTTATGTTTGCTCCTTTGTATCGGGATTTGTTTAACATCAGGATCAACAAACTCTAATAGAATGTAAAAATAGTGACATGTATACTGTATTGTAAAAACGCGGCTATTTTAAATTATTTATTTTTTCAAAAAAGAAACTCAATATCCGATTAGTAGAATTTTTATACCCGCTTTATTTATAATCCGTCTTCTCAACTCTAGTATTATCGATAAAGAAGCGCTTTTTCACAACCCCCAACACACGCAAAAGCTTTACTTTCCTCTTTTTTTCCCTCCGAATAGGAGGGTTTTTGCTCTTACGCCCTCGTCTCGTGTTTTTCCTAATCTCCCTAAATTTACGTTTTCTCTGGCGATTTTACACTTTCTGTGTTAACCTTTTGCGGGCGGTCGACGCCAAGCGAAACCAGCCAAGCGCAGACAAAGAGGGGATCTATACGGGATCAATAAATTCAAGACAGAAAATTTATATAATTTCAAATAAGTAGGTACCTATAGAAAAAAATGATAGGTCATCATTTAATTGCTTCAATAATTATTAGTACATAAAGTAAATTAGAAAAGCACTAAATAAAAGTAGGCGATTAGATAAATAAATTAAAAGAAATTTATCGAACGAGTTTCTTGAATTACACTAATAGAAACGCCAGGTTAGGTATGTTAAAAGCTCGTTCGCAGTAAATTAAGAGATCTCGTTTTCCCGCATCATAATCACGACGGAGGTTTATCCGAAAGCTTTAACGAGACGCGACGCCGAAGGAAAGCGAGAAAAGAAAGCCGCCGTACGCAGGCGTCGGAAAAACGGGCGAACGAACCAATTGAGCGGCGTCGCGGCGCACACGGAACGGCGACGACGCCGGTTCAGGTCCCGCCCAAATGGTCCATGCGGACGCTGATCGACGAGGGAAAATCGAAATTCGGAAAAACCAACTTTACACCTCGCTGGGGGCATTCTTTTAAATGCTAATTAATAAAAGTGAGGGATTTATTGCTCCAAAATATATTTAATAAATTAATAATTAAGTTTGTTGTAAACCTACATGCATGTATTTGTAATTCATTTAAATCTTATTTATATTACAAAAAACTTGGTTAACTTTCGAAACTCCATTTTCATTATAGGTACCAATGCAATTAGTAAATTAAAAGGGATATTTATTAAAAGGCCGTAAACCGAGAGCGCTAATAGAATAGTCTCAGTAATAAGCCCGTAGTTTTTAATAACGCCGATATGTAAATTGAGCCGTTAACTTTCTTAATGTCCAGTTGTAAAATGGCTCGTAAAACTTTTAAAAACAATGGATTAACGACGGCGAGCGGACTTACTGGTTTAATATTCCCATTTCTCAGTCGAATACGGCTCGCCCGAGGTGCACCGTAACTTTGTTCGATGAAAATGAAGGAATTATAAATTTCGAAAGCGCATTAACTTCGGTAATTGGGCGCGCTTGAATTATGGGAATATTTTCGAAATATAAACCTATCTAAAATGTTCGTTTTATCACCTTAGCTGTCCATCTAACTAGAATGTGCTCAATTTATTTGAGTAAATTAATTAGTAGATAAGAAAAAAAATTGGTGCTTTGGAAATAATATATCTATTGCAGAAAAATTGACAGTTGTCTCTATGAATGCACTTTACCTTTTTGGATATGTATATCCCGTACACGAATTATCCCTTATCTAAGCATCTCCCCTACGAATTTGCTAAAAGCACGTCGCAATAGGCTTTCATCGCGAAAGGACCTCATCGCGTATATACAGTGGACAAGGAGAGGACCCCGCAAAAAGTCCATTGTATCACGAAATGATGCATGTTTTATAACATCCCCCTGTTGACATAAGGTTAAAGTATTATGTTCTGTCAATAAAAGGGCTTTTATCTATTCCATTATGCAACTTCTTTTCGACCGCAACGAGCGCCTACTACCGTACGAAGCGCAAACGAAATTTATGTCGAAAAAATTCTACAGCTAATAACGTGCTAAAGACAGGCCGGCATGCGGCGTCGGCGTCGAGGCGCTGCGTTAAAAAAATCATAAACAAGTTGTGGCAGTGACAGGACGGGAGGAAACGGGCGCGCCGTCGATTAACAACTCGCTTTTGCCCAAACGCCGCTTTATACTTACTAATTATTTTCCCAATTACTCAGGTGTCCGTCGGATTACGAAAAAAATTACCGGAATTAACTCTCCGATAATAATTTTATAATTAAAAAAGTAATATTGCGTTCAAGTGAAACTAGCGATGACGCTTCGAGTTTGAAATACCTACATTAATGTATAAAGGATATATTTTTGTTACATGAATCATTTATTACCTCCACTTATACGCTTCCTTTACAATTAACTGCATTAAAAAGTAACAAAAAAAACCTCGCATACGAAATTCCCAAGTCGCTAATTAGCCCTCGAAAAAAGCAAAAGGAGAAGCTGAAAAAATAGAAGATAATAAACTTGCCGTTGCGACGGTCGTACGTACGGCGGAATAAATAGATGACTTGTGATGCGTACGGCGTATGTGTACGCGAAACAAACAGCAGAGAGAACAGTGTAGTGGCATGCATTCAATTCATTTCCATATCCTGCTGAAGTCGTCGCCATGGCGACCGGAGAGGGCGAAGCGAGCGCGGAAGGCAGCACGGGGGGTGTTCCAGGACCGTTTAGAAAATCGAAAATTCCACGATTTAAGATTACGAAATGGGATTTGAGAGAGCTTTGTTGATTAAAAAAAGTTACAATTACTAGTTGCTAAAAAAACTTGCAGTTTTTAAGGGAATATTTTAGAGTAGGTCAAAATTTAATTGCATCACTACAAAATACAAAATATACGAACTCAAGATTCTTATTCACTCATTGTTTCAAATAAAATTTAATTAAATCGTGAATATTTACGCTTAATAAGAATTTTAAAAATTTTCTGGTGCACAAAAAAGGTCGGAAAATGCGGTTCTGTCCAATCTAGCGTTCCTCCACTTTGCTCTCTGCTCCGCGTGTACCCTCCCTCATCGAGCCGCGTTCGGCTTTCCGGCGTCCCTCCGGCGTCCGGAAGATTACGGCTCTAAGCCGAACCAGCGAGGACTAATCACCGGCTCGATTAAAAATTCACAAATTTTCTCCAAAGCCGAAATGTGCATGTACGCCGAGCGCAATTGCTTTTTTAATCAGTCAACGATACAATGCGGCCGGGCGCCGGGCGACGTCGAGAGGACCCACCGGGAGGGTTTCTTGTTTTTAATTTTTTTTCTACATGCATAAGTTAGTCGGGGTTTTTTATTGCTTTTCTCTTAGCTGCAATTTTCCAGGAAGAAACGGGATTACGCGAGAGCTTTGCGCGTTACTACTGTGGAAGATTATTTTTTTTTGCTTTAGCGCTTTAATATTGCATGTGTTCGAACACAAAAATCACATCTGCTCTACCAATTAGCACGCATTTACACATACAAAACGTTAACTGATAAAAGATAAAACGTCGGAGAGAGTCTATAATTTTCGACCAGTTTCCCTTAAACGCTATATAAGCCGATCGCTTATCCAAAATGCCCCTATAGTTCGTAAGGACACAATGTAATGCGTGTAGTATAATGTATCTGAGCAGATTATCTCTATCATAAACACATATATGGCCATATCGCCCGTAATCTGGTACCGTATTGAGAAACGTGTAATTTAGCCAATTGCCCGAAGGGTGATCTTCGTAATACAAGCGAGGGCGTGGGGTCAATCGAACGCCCCGAGATAAAGGGATACGCGAGTTCCAAACTAAAAACGATAAGCAACGGGAATATCACTTATGTGGGTCACACGGTATTTAATAAAATGATTAATGGTACTCGAAAATAATAATGCATTAAAAAAATGCACCCAAGGTATTTTATTTTTAGTTGTTTTCCAATATGCAAAATTTTAGGCCTCCATTATCGCCTGTTCGTTGAACTTATTTATGAATTTCGATGAAATCGACTGAATATTTTCATC